GTAGCTGTCACCTCTGCCGGAAGGTTGAGTTATGGACCTTTTGTTCTCTTTCTGCCGCCCCCATGTAGTAGCTCCCACAGGCAGGCAAATGGTTCAGGCTGGGTGTGCCAGGAAGACACGCTCTTCGCTGAGCGAGACCAGATGGGTTACAAGAGTCGTGTCTGATGGAGATTTGACTTTTTACGGGAACTAGCATTCGTGGCTGTTCTTCTGAGGTTGTCCTGTGATCAATCGCGTTGGTTTTGTGCCTCTTACTTCCGACACTTGTTACCATAGAGGAATGGTAAGTCGGTGGCTAAGATGAAGCTTTATTTTAGAGATTTTTGAGGCAGATTTAGCCAAAACACAGATGGTATTCATTTTGGTTGGTGGTTAGGAGGAAGAAGCAAGACAAAAGTGATTACGTTAAGTGGAAGTTAGCAAAACTGTGATAATCAAAGTAAGTTGTCAACCCTACTTCCGACTCCTTAGTTGTACTACTCAGAAGCATACCAAAAGCTTCCTACGAGTCCCAAATGTATGACCGACTGGCATAAATAGTGCCGCAGGTCCAGCAATCGCACGGTTGTCCGCATAAGTTTGAAAAAAGGGGAGATCATTTTCAGCTAAAATGGCATGATCCAGAAATAGTGAGGGATGTTTCCTTGGGCTCTATCTGTCTAAACCAGGTGCGTCCTTGATTTGGAATGGCCAAAACTCTTTGTCCACCACCGGAAATCTGAAAGGATACAGGTAATCAATCATCGGTTGGTCACCTCTCCATCGATGGTAAGGCCATCCATAGACTGTTACTGTAAGAGGCTTTTTGAGCACGACCCACGTGTAAAGGGGGGCCTACCTGTGCAACAGACCCTTTGAAAGCGTCCGGAAGGTGTACTGTAACAGTTTCTGCTGGAAGAGAGTTTCACGGCTTATACACCTCAACTGTAAATGAGTCAGCGCGGATCACCGAGTATGCTCTCTGAAGCTCCAATCCGAAACGGTGCTGCTTCTGATTAATGCTAAAGAGTGATCGGTTGGTATGAAGAAGATTGTCGGTGATACAATGCACTACGGTCGTATCTCCTCTCGTTCTCCTGCACTGTTCCAGACACAGCTTAAGAGCATCCAGGCGTTCCGGACATGGCTTATGCCGTAGCCCGATCCCTCTCTTTGAAACTCTTCTCTGAACCCGTTCTAAGATACCGGTGTCTTGCGATGAGCTTGAGGGGCTATCGCGTGAATTTTTCGTGGGGTGAGGAGGGATATGCATCCCGTGAGCTGTGGTGAAAACGCGTTGGGTTTGACTGCCCGGGGCGCGGGAGAGAAATCCCAGGACTCTACGTGCCCTATTCACTGCGAGGCTATAATGGGCAGAAACTTCAGTCGTGCCACTCGGCATAAGATGCGAATATTTTTCAGTGTTTGAACGAGAGACCCATTTTCACAACGAAGTAAGAACCAGAATTATGTCTTTATTTGTCTACAGTTCTTACCCCACACTTCTCCCCGCTCGGAAGGTATGATTCTTCGTTCAACCAGTTCATGTTTTTTGGAAGGTCATCCTGGAGAACCAAGATATCTGTCGGCCCTGCATTCCCGTTCACACCTTCAGAGCATCAACACATATTGGCGGATGTGAACTTGAGGAGATCGGTAAGTCAGCTATGAAAGATAGAGACAGCAGTGGACTGCGAGTGATACCCTGAGACATCGCTCAATACTCGGGGCCGCTTTGATGAGAAAAAGGCAGCTCCAACTGGTTGCATTTCAGTGTTAAGGTCTTCTTTAAACCATTCGAGCAACTTTCCGTTGGAAAGTTAAGCAACTGGTATGAATGTGATTCTTCTGCCCCACAAAATGAGTGAGATTGCTACCCGACCGATGACCGCTACCTTGATGTGGTGGTCTGGCTAGGATATCACAGCAATTCAGAGAACTATGCTAGTGAAACGCATGTTCCCTCGAGATTTTACAGTACCACTAAGGTCTGTTGGATAGTGGTTAAACAAAAGTGGATTTCGTTATGGTGTAAGTATATACTCTATAAGGTGGTCCTGACGCAGAAGTTGCACCGTTGGCTAGACAGGAGTGCGACAGCAGTAAGACGACTCCCGTAGATTACCAGAGGTGCCATGTTGGAGGTCACGTTGAGTTCCCAGTTGAATGATCAGATAACGACAATCACCCACCACAACTGAGGTCAGATAAATGTTTATTTCCAGCCGGCACAAACTTCGGACTTAAAGGGAGGCGTTAATTAACATGGCGTCCGCCTGGCTCAACTCAGTAGTGGGCCCAGTTTGGCCGCAGTGCCATCACCCATAGGTGGGGGGGGGGTCGGTAAAAGAGTGCCGCTCTCTGGAGCATCTGTTTAGACAACTACCATGCGTTAGTTTCAACACGTGTGTTTTGCGTCTTCAAGGTATAGGGAAACCAGCAACGAGACCATTTCGAGTGCAGCTTGACAATGAGAGCACCAGGGCTAATTCCAGGGAGAGACTGGTTCCACACTTATAGGAACAGAGCGATACAAGTTATCCATTGGGTGACTGGCACTATTTCCAGTCAGTTGTAAGGACAGTAACACCGTAGCCAACTCTCAGGCAATGGTTAAAAAGGGTTGATGGATCTCAGCCGATCCGAGTAAAATGAGGAGCAACTTAAGCCTGGACTGAAAACTGCGAAGAATGTGCCAACTGAGATGCTTTGTGAGTTCATGTATTTGGTGACCGTCTATTTTTACCCGTGACGAGATTAATACTACTTTACCCCTATTACTATTGAAGTGTTTATATCATCATTCCCGACAGACGATCCTCATTTCAGGCTCCACTTCTTCGGAGTATATAAAAGAGATAGCCTGCACCATAAACAGACTTCTCGCTCTCTTTCGTGAGAAGGCGTTTAAGTTTCTCGGTGCTCATCCTTCAACGCACATATATACTCTTACAAAAGTGGAGTGCTAGACTACCGGTTGAAGATATCTCTCCATACGTGATGACTTGTGTTGAAAGTTGATGCCAGACATACAACGGAGGTTGTGAGGATTCGCCACAAGGAGAAGACAGAACAGTTGTTAAATGTCAAGTGCCGGCTCCTTGAAGTTTATGGGTGACCCTCAGAACCTGATCCCTCTCCTCTGTTGACGTGAACATGACTTTAGGTGACCGAAACGTATTTTTGGTGGGGAATGTCTCTTTCTTGCCCACTCTATGTCTTGAGTAGGCTGACTCGTGGTATGTTTTCCGGGAAAAGATTGTTAACCAGTCTTAGTACTTTACCCGCTGTTTGTCGGCCAGATGTTGAAGGCTAACTGAGGCATAGCTCAGTGACCCTGACGCTGACAGCCTTAGGGTGGGTCTTCATCCTCTTTTGCGTACCTGTTGCCACTAGTTAGATCGCCGACTTGTGTGGGACCTGCAGCCTGAATGGCTCTGTGGTTAGACGTGGGAGAGCTCCACTAGCACCTCTTTTGACGGTGGCTGACCTGGTCAAACAGTCTGTAGTTTTCCGGCCGAATCTGCCAACTCTGGAGATTCGAGAACGTGAAGATTATCGTCCCACACTGCTTTGTGTGGTTTCTTCCAAGTCCCCTTTGCAAAGTGTATCGAAAAACTGCTTCGCCAGAAACATTTCTTAAAAACCAGGTGGTCAACTATTGTAAATTCACCCGAAAAATTTTGTCTCATTTTAGTCGGAGATTGTTTTGGATACAACAGAAATACATTGGGCTTGGACATGTGGACGCAAAAGGGGCAAGAATGTGACAAAATATGCGAGTCATTTCATTGACAATCATCCTCCTTTTCTCTGATGACATTTAAAGGTGGAATATAGCAAACGAAGAGGCTGCTGTGTGTCACTACAACATGACCGGCAGAGACTTGAACCCTGGTCGTTGGAAAATGGCTTGGGCTTCAACCTGGAGAAGTGCAAAGCAATGCACATCAGTGAATATGAAGCATGGACGGCTGACTTCCAGGAAATGTTGAGCGGCCGTGCTGTCACCATAGTGCCCAAGGAGAAAGGTTTAGGGTACAACCTCTCCGACACCTTGCACGCCAGCTCCAACTACAAAGGCACGGGAACCAGGGCGGACACCACTCTGTACTTTCTGGGTTGACAGCTAGGTATTCCAGCCCCCGAACTCTTCCTTACAGATTCACATCCTAATAACGGCCGCTTCTAGAGGTCTTTAGTGCTGTGGCTCCCCCAGCACTCAAGGGAGATTCTAGCCCCCCCGAAAAGTAAAAAGATCTGAAAGACTAAAGTAACTTATTTACCTTGGGTCGTCGCAGAAAGAGGAGTGACCTTAATATGGCTGACGAAGTCATCCATCAGGCAAACCACACGAACAAATTTGCCTTGCCTGAAACACAGTGATCATCATCAGGGAGCACCACCAGGATAGCACGTCAGTGAGCTAACACCACTCCCAGGCCCAACCTCTTCTCCTTGGGAGTATGTGGTCTATGGAGTGCCCTACCGCGGGATATTGTCACAGCCCCTCGATAGACTCATTCAGAAAACGGTTGGACAGTCATGTCATTTCTCACAGTTTACCACGGGCATACTCAGGGAGTCACCAACCTCACAAGTCCATCATCGTTTATCTCCCAACCACCACTTAGTACCTCTTTTAACATACCTACATTATTTACTAACTCTTCTGAAGCAACTAGATTCATGCTTTCTACTTTTACCTTCCGGGCAATTTCTACATACTTTTTACTACTGTCCTGCGATTTCTATCCGTCACAACATACCTCTAATCGGCCTAAAGACTCGTAACTGCATAATCACCCCACACATTGCAGTTTTTATAACCCATATAGCATCCACCTCACCGAAGCTAAAAGCAAGAAAGCAAAATAAATTTCTTTGAACACTGCAGGAGCACACCGAACAAATCTAATCAAGCCTTGAGAACTAGACGTGAAAGCTCAAAAACTATCAGCTTTCTACACTCACAACATCAATGTTGGATATTGGAAATTTCACCTAACCTTGGACACTATGGCACTCACAGAACAACTACCGCAGCGTTCGAAGGATGAAAACTAACTTACCTGTTTGCAAGTTCAACGGAGCTGAAATAACGAAGGAAATTGTTTGGGAGAATTGGCTCCCTCGGAGAAGTTACACAAAGATTCTCAAATTACATAATGTAGACAAAACGTTGAAAACTGGCACATTTTCGTAAGTGTTTACTGAAAATCTGTAAACTGCTTGTAATTAAGAATTCCTTGTTCTGAAGTTTTTAGTAGCACACATCCAGAACACCTAAAGGTAGCTCCTGGTGAAACTGTATTAGTGCCAATCACCTTCAGGCCTACAAAGAAGATGGAATTCTATCATGAAATGTCACTTCAGTTATCGGTATTTTTATCACTGTTTGAATCCTGTCATTGATCCATTCATCAGGGTAAGACGATAAATGTTGCCTTAAAAGGCATTTTGCCTCACTTCCATGTGGAACTGCCGATAAGAGTCGATTTTGGCTCTGTTGCAGTGTTTACGTCAAAAACGCAGACCTTTACTTTGAGAAACATGATGTGAGTGTTTTCTATTTTTACCAATGTCTAGGAAGTTGAAGACAAGTTTCAGGTTGAGAACCATCTTACCGGTTCATGTCTGTCCCGATGAAGGACTACTTAACTCTCTCGAAAAGAAAGTGATTAGGATTAGTTTCACACCAAAAGTAAGTGATGTACTATTACGAAACTTTAAAATTAGATAGCCGGGTCAGTTCAAGTAGACGTTGAATGTACTTTTGGTGACGAGAGTTGTCAGCAAGTGAAATATATGGGTGTCACAGGAGAAGGTATTATTTGCTTTGAAACTAACCAATGAATATAGCGGAACATGCCAGGATTTACGTTTATTCTGAGGATAAAAAGAAGCTTGAAGATATGGGTTCAAATCTGGCTATTTCTTTATCATTTAACAAGACATCTCCTGGTTGTTCATCGTTGAAGCATGTTTTGGTTGAAAATTATTCAGATGTAAGTGATGGAAATCATGGATTATGGAAACTACTGATGACTTTAGTCCGACTAAGAGGATTGTAAGCAATACTTTGTATGGGTGGTGATTCATTTGTAAATCTCTCTTACCTGATGATGATATGATTCTAGGATTTATTAGCTTGAGTTTTTTTCCGGATCAAGCACTAATATACGACAATGAAAACATCAAGCCTTTGGAGATTTCGAACTAGTCTGATTTCGACGTTGCCATCAGTACCAGTAAATTTATACTGCATAATTTCCGGGTGTTAGTTGGAGGTTGAAGCGATAAATTGAAAGGCAACTATCGATTTGCATACCCTAAAAATTTTGGGGTTAAATATCCCCCGTGTTTTCGATTTTGGTGACTAGGATTGAAAGATGACTGATGAAGATTCACTCCTGATAGTTTCCCTCTTCTTTTTCGGTATTTTGTTTTGTAAACCAATCAGTAAAGTACACACCACTTTTTCACTTTTAAACTTTCAGAAGGTAGGTCAGTTGTGAAGGTAGGAGTGTATTGTAGTTCATGGTCTACTTTCGAGCTTTCTTACAATGTCTTTTAACGTGATGTACGAAATGAGAGGGGATTGTTGAGTGAAACGTCCCTTCCTAAAATCTTTTTCATCAAAAATAAGCTGCTTTTCTTTCTCAGAAGTGAGATTTTTGGTACCAAAGACCCTTCATATCACTCAAGAGTTAGTATTTATGGCGCTCATGCTTGTTACTTCTTAAATACATCAGCCAACTTCCTGATGGGGAACTATTGGTTTTAAAGGATTCTCCAGAAAAAATTGACCTTTAAAAGCTCATTATTACATCAGTGATGACTGATAAGTGTCTCATATATGATTTAACACGTTTCAAAGCTATAGGGTTTCCGACTCCCCTTCTTTCAACCTGTCGAAATGAAAATATTTAGAGGCCAATATACCTTTTAGTGGGAGTAAACACAACTTACAGTGGCTGAACATTTGCTTTATGTATCTTGGTTGTACACATAAGCCTTTTTAAGATGATCTATTTACCTTTTTTCACCACTGTTCCTCCTTCATGACGTGAACCACTTTTAATAAACTGTTTGACTTCCTTTGGATTTCGTTTGTTGGATCCATTTTCAGATGCTGACAAATGCCTTTGCCAACCAGTAGTTCTTGTGCCTTTATAACGCAGTCTTTTTTCATAACAATGGTCTTCTCCTTTCATTTACCCATAACACCACTGTAACCTACTCGGACATCACTGGCCCGGATGCTCTTTTTCTTTAGCATACAGGAAAGGCCAATTTTCTTTAACTTACACTCACGGTACATGCCAACGTCGGGGTTTTGTTTTACTGTCACTCCTGATGTTTCTGTTTAAAAATTTTTTGAGGCCTAAAAATCTAATTTGTTCATGTTTCTGGTTTTATAGTTGGCCATTCTGAAGTAAAAGATATTTTCTTAGAGACCGTGTTCCTTCTCAAGGATTTGCTGCACATTCATAATGTCTTTTTCTCCCTCAATATTAATGGACAAAGCGGTTTTCTCAAAATCACTCATTTTATCGGTTTCGATCTTTTTTTTTCCAAACTGACAACTGTCGTTATTTTAATCATTACTTCTGCCCCCAGTTATTGATTCCATTGTGTACTGATGAGTCTAACTACAGTATGATATCTCAACGGCCCACTGTTTGTAGCTGGAGTCATTCCCCTCCCCCCCCCCCGCTTTGTCGTTCAGTTTTTCATGGAGTGGTCTGTGGCCTACAGTCAGTGGTTCGGGGTAAGGTGTTTCGCTGTTAATATTCATGGGGATAAAAGGGGTTTTTAACAAGTTGAGTCTTTAGTAAGCAAATTTTTCATAAAGGGCCTAAGGTCTTCATCAATTAGTACGCACTCAGTTAACTAAACAACCTGATTTCTGGATCAAATAAAGTTTCTGAAGGTATAAGGTAACGAATATATCATCTTAAATGTGACTATTGTACTCACAAAAAATGCAGTGCAAAAAGACCGAAATTTCTTGTGGTGTATTCAAAACAAATGGCTAAAAGCCTTTTAGAGTTGATTAATTCTTGTCGAAACACCTAATAACACGTCATTGGCACGATTTACGGGTAAATAGAGAGGGTGCCTGTGAGATTGTAAATATCAGTAGTGCTTACTAGAGCTGTGACGCAGTGGCTGGGATCGGTATACATTCCATTTATCAGACTTAAAATCTTGTTGGGTTTATTTAGTCAATGAAACCAAAGTAACTCTCAAAAATAAGGAAAAGAAAAGTATGTGCAAACTCGCCAGCCAAACCGAAGAAATTCAGCACAGGAAGAAAGAAGCAGCATACAGTGAAATTTCGTTCTTAGATGTGATCATTAATAAAATAAATCAACGTTTTTTAGTTCCTGTAGATGTGAAAAGGCAATTGTATGACCTCATCAAATTTATGAAGTAACTGTTTTCTTTCTTGCACGATGATATTTTTGACTGACTGCTAGTATCTGTAACGCTGACCTGTAATGATCTGCGGGCTTGATTTCTATGACGTACAGGTGCAGTCACTACAGAACATCAGTGCCAGTGATCATGTATTTATATTTATTATTATTTGTCCCTTGGGTTCCTACTGAAACATAGGGCTTCCGTAGCACGTCTCCATTGCACTTCTTTTCTACAGTCTTTTCAACCTGGCTCCACACGCTTTCACTTCTTCCTCACACCCCCCTCTCCATGTCACTCTCACCTCGGACGCCCAACTTGTCGTTTCACTTTTGGATTCCACTCGAGAGCCTAGCCCGCGTGATGTCCCCAATGGTCTTAATGTGTGCCTAATCCATCTCCACTTTCTTCAGCATATTTGCTAGCCAATGGGTTCTTGGTTGGTTCGTTGCCATGCCAGAGTGGGCTCCTTGTTACTTATTTTTTCTGGTCATCTGATCTTCAGTGACAGTATCGAGTGAGCGTAGGCGGCAGCTGTTGATGAATGTCTGTAGTTTGTTGGAAATGCTTTTCGCAACGCGCCAAGTTTCTGAAACATATAGAAGCACTGACTTGACGTTGGTGTTGAAAATCCGGATCTTTTTCAGGCTTCGTACTGGGTGCAGCAGATCTCCACACTGATTTCAGGTTAGTGAAGGTGTGTCTGGCTTTTCCACTCCTGACATTGACGTCGTGATCTGTGCCACCGCCTGTGGTTGAAACGATGATGCCTGCCTAGGTAGGTGAACGAGATAACCTCGTTTACATTTCTCCCATTGATGGTGATTGGAGTTTGTTGTTGTTAGTGGTGTTGATTGGGTATCTTCATCACCTCTGTCTTCTCTACATTCACTTGAAGTCCCGTCTTCGCTGACTCGCCTCTTCTGTCAACTTGTTAGATTTTGCCTGTAGATCTTCGAGTTTATGTGACATTAGACACAAGTCATCGGCGAAATCCGAATCTTCTAGGATCGTTTCCTCAGTCCAGCGTATGCCCCTCTTCTCGCTCCTCACTGTTTGTTGCATGATCCAGTCGACCATAATCACGAAGGTCATACGTGTTATTAGATAGCCCTGTCTTACTACTGTCTTCACTTCAAAGGCATCACTGAGCTTGCCATTGTGAATCACATGGCATGTGGCGTCTTCACATAGCTGTTGAATGAGTCTGATAAAGGTTTGTGGTATTACGTAGTGTTGAAGCAACTGCCTGGCAAATTACTTCCCGGTCGACGTTTTCAAAAGCCTTTTCAAAGTTGATGAAGTTGAGGTGGAGGGTTGACTGCCATTCTATACTCTGTTCAATGATGATGCGTAGAGTGGCGTTGCAATGTGATCCGCATATGATTTGTTTTACCTGAGGCCAGTCAGCCTGTTTCGGTCGTAGTTTTGAATCCAGCGCAACCATTAGTCTCTCCAGGATGGTGTGGCTTAATATTTTGCTTGCTTTGGGTGGACAGGAGCATGATTCCGCACCAGTTCTTGCAAAGGCTTAGGTCGACCTTCTTCGGGAGTTTGACAAGGTAACCCTTCTTCCAATCTGCAGGTACCTTCCCTTCTTTGCAAACCTTCTGCAGTAGTGGTGTGGTGTGAGCATGTCCGCTGTTGTCTCTGCGTCTGCTCCCAGTGCTTCTGGCGGGATTCCATCTGGTCTTGCTGCTTTACTGCATTTCAGTAGCTTTATAGCTCTCAATACTTCGACTTTTGTTGGAGGATTTGTGTTCACTTGTAGTTGTGTGGCTGCAGGTGGTATTTGTGGACGAAGTGCAGGTGGTGATCGACTCAAGAGCTTTTTGAAGTGGTCATCTCATCCTTTCCTTTGTTTCTTCTCCTCGTTAACTAGGTTTCCTTTATCATCTTTCATTGGTTTCATCTGCGTTGATCTCTTCCCCTCCAGATAGTAACCTGGTTATTTGATATAATGTTGTCAGATGTCTGTCTCTCCTACCAGCAGCCTGTTCTATTCCACTTGCCAGTGTGTCGAGGGAGTGTCTTTTGTCGTTCCGCACACTCTTATTCACTTCTTTGTCCAGTGTAGTGTTCTATACGTTGTACTCAGTTGCTCTTCTCGTCGTTCATCCTTGCATTGGTTTATCTTCTGCTTCACCATCTTCTTTCTTCTTCCTTCCCAACACGTTATTGCAGGTTTCCTTCCACATCTCTTTCAAAGAGTTCTAGTGCTCGTCCACACAGGTTTCTTCAGGGATGTTGCTCGATATCTCCCATTTTGTCTTGATGGCTGACGTGAAGATGTCCCTTGTAGTTTCGTCATTCAGTTCAGTTCCTGGGTGGGCGTTGAACTTGGACTGTGGTCTACCACCAACTTGTTTGAAGGCTTTCAACTTGATTTGAAAGGCAGGTTCCTTGCACTAGATAGTGAGTGGTGTGAACCTACATCTGTTCCCGTTCTTCATCTTGTGTCCGGTAGGCCGCGTCTCCACTTTCGTCACATTCAGGTGAAGTCGATCCGATTTTTAGTGTGTCCTGGTGTCTGGTGAAATAAGACCGTGTCGGTTTATAGATGTCCTTGTGCTTGAACACACTGCCTCCCCTCCAATCACCAAATCGTTGAATGCGCAGAAGTCTGCAAACAGTTCTCCATTCTCGTTTATTCCACCGAGCGCTTCTCGGTCCATGGTTTGTTCTCTTCCTGTGTTGTCCGCTCCCAGTTTGGTATTCATGTCACCCCACCCCTTAGAATGAGTTTTGATGTCGCCAACTTGCGTGGGGTCTTGTCCAGTGTTGATTCCAGTTGTCTGTAGAATTCCTCCTTCTTCTCTTGATCTGCATCATTTGTAGGTGCGTCGCGTTGTACGATTGTGACTTCCCTTGCTTTTGAGTTGGACCTTGCTGTCATGATCTTGGAGGAGATTGGTTCCCATTGTATGAGAGCCTTTGATGATGTCAAGGATATCATGATGGCCACTTCCTCCGTGTGCTCATGGTTGTCGTCTGGGTGACCGGAGTAAGTTATTGACTCTCGAGTTGACAGTTTAGAGAGTCCACTTCCATTCCACCTGCTTTCGCAGAAACCCAGCATAGCACTTGTATGCTGCACCTTCTCATCTCTTTTGCAATCTGGACAGGCTTGCTAGGTTCAAACATGGTGCAGACATTCCATGTCGCCACGTTTACTTTCGCTTTGATGGAGGGAGAGAAGACACATCGGCCCGTCCGATTGGTTTCCCGAAGGCTTTCACCAGGCGGCGTCATTTTGTCTCCCCGATTCCAGCGAGGAATAAGTTTGTTTTTATTTCTTATGTTTTGTGTGTTGTTTGATGTTTCTGTAGCAGTTGGTTTGGTTTTACAGGATTGGGTTGCTAGCCCTATTCATGAGCTTCCCTCTTAATCCGGGCTTAGGCTCGGCTAGTAACTAGTGGACTAGTTACCTAGGCGCGTTGGTATATATTTATATAATCCTAAAAATTGTGGCTTACCTACCTACTTGGCTTTAAAATTAATTCATTTCTTCTCAATTATAATATCAGGAAACGTATATTAGTTTGAATAGTTAGGCTGTTTATGTGAATCGTATTTGTTGAGAATTTATTGCAAAGTGTATCTTAATTATTGGATTGCTTGGTTCATATTAACATGCTTTGGAATCTGTAGTCAGAGATGATGTCATACCAACTCTGTGTTTTTTAAAATGGATTGAATGGAGTAGACGAATGTCATCACAATGGTGAAATAAATGAACGATACTGAGAATAGTGTTATCTTGATACCGTAAAGCCGAGTATGTTCTGAAGATCCTCAGTGTTTTCTGTTTATACACTGCTCATTTAACAATTGGTGGGTTATTATGAGCCCTGTGTAAATCACTGCTTTAATTTCTGCAATAATGAATGGAGTTACTATATGCATTGAGTAATGAACTGAGATCTTTTGTAATGATACTTATAATTTCCCGTTGCTACATAGGGACGAATTGATTGACGTCTGTAGACAGAATGGCTCTTATGCGGATGCCTAGATAATACCGAATATTCATGATGTTGTATTGATCTTGGTGACTAGCAGAGGAATAGGGGATGCGCGTACCGTCCTATTTGGGACTCATCAGCGGTATTGAGGCATGCGCATAGGAGTGCATCTGACAACCTATGTCGAGTAATTCGGCTTTGTATAGCGACAGGAAATTACGACTTTCAATACAACAACTGGGTTCGAGCCTTAGTGGGAGCAACATCACCCACTGGGGCTCAGGTACGTCCAACTGACGCGTCCCAAATAGGACAAAACGCGCATCCTGGATTCCTCTGCTAATCATCAAAATCAACAGAATCGAGGTCTATTTTAAAGTATTCGCACAGCTTATTCAAAAATAGAATCGTGTGAAAGTGAGTGAATGAGTTATTGAGTGTTTTTCATTTAAGACTCATATATGAAAAATGTTGCATGAATTTCGAGATAAAATCTTTCATTAAATAATTATAATTAAAATTATGTAGTTTGACTACTGTTGACTTTATCATTTCAAGGCCAGTTCAATTCACAGTCATAGGTCCTTTACAGTTAACAAGATACAATCACTGAACACAGAAATTGTGCTGACGACTTACATTGTACACATAACAGCTATTTTCCATCAGAAATATATTTTATCAATGTTCAAATGCCAATGTGTCAAAATAAATTAATCTTCGCTGAAACCTGACTGGTCAGGTTTCGAATGAATATCTTTATATTCATTCGATTGTTGCTGAAAGTTGTTTATGTGCAGAATGACTTCTAGTTACACATATTTCATGTTAATCATTTTGCATAAAAGTGGGCTTCTTATTTTATTGCATGGAAGACTAAGCTGGATGTTAGTTACACCTGAGAAATTCTTTTTCAGGGCTTTGATGAGTCATTACTACCTGGTTACTTTTCATAATTCCAGCCGATAGACAAGTAAAATTTTAGGGTTTTTTTACCACTATAATAGTAGGCAATAGTTATTATGTCATATGACAAAAATTGTAATTTAAAAATTCTTTAATTACTATATTGTTTCGAAGAAGAGTGTGTTAGTATTATGGTTAATATAATTGAATTCTACTAGCTTAAACGCTCTATAAATAAGTATGTTAATTGTAATGGGCAATGAATTGAGCCCATTTTACTGATACTGGATATTTTCCTACACTTCGGTCTCTGGGTTGACGTTCGAACCCATGACTTCTTGGTTTGTTCCAAGTTGCTTGTCTAATCCAGATCGCACTACAACTGCAATGAAAAGAAGCCTGGTCAGTGAAACAAGTGAATGATGAAAATGTTTTACTTGTGGGGAATAGGAAAGTTAAAAAGGTTTCACTCAAGAAGTTTATTATATTTGTTAGTCAAGACCGCTTGAAGCATTTTGATTGGTCAGTATTTAATTCATATTTTGATAATTGTTTAAACATATTGTGTACAGTGAAGTTCTTACCCAATTCATACAAGTTAAATTAACTACTTTTTCGATGGTTTTTGTGTGTGTTTGCTTCAATAGAAGTATCATCAACAGTAAACTTGTCTGATAGATTAACTTATTATTTCTTATATTTAAAATTATCAACTTATTTTCAGGTTGATGGATCAATTAAGATTGAACCTGTTAGTCGGAATGCTAGTTTTATTGGCAATACAGTTTTTCGGTCAACATTATCTGATATTATTATTCCTGCGCAGTCTAGCTCACGTATCGGTGTAAGTTGTATACAGTAACACTGATGGATATCTTATCTAGTAAAATTATAACTCTTTTGTGCCTCACTGCAACCATACATATACATATTTCATTTAGTTTTGATATATGAATAGTGTGTAACCAAGAAATAGTAACAGCTGTGCCACATTTTTTCATTCAGAATGACTATTGTAAGTGATCGAGTAACCTAAGTTGCGTTGGAAGGGTTTATAATTGTTTCAGTTTCTGTTATCAGATGATTCGGTTGTCAGTAAAATAAAAACACTGGATCCATTTCACAGACTTATGCCCCATATAAACATTTTAGGATGATTGGGGTATTGTAATCTTCAGTTATGTCTAAGGTCCTTTAACTCATTATCTATCTAGTGGTCAGTGGGCTAGACGATTTAACATTATTGTACATCTTTGCTTGAGAATCATGCTTGGAAATATTCAACAGGAAGTTGAAATGTCCATTCTAACATCCTAAACTTAGTGAAATAAGTATGTGATCAATAAGCCTGTTAAGGTCAACGAGTTTCAGGTGTGTGAAGTGTTCTTCGGTTTGCATACTTTTCAGTTAGTATGATCGTAAACGTTGAAAATATAGTTTGATGCCATCGGCACAAAATACTACAAAAGAAATTGTTAGTTACAGAATATCTGGGAGTACTATACTCCTTATCACCTAAGATGTTTGAAATCTGTTGGTCAAGAATATCATTAGAAAGTGTAGTACCTCAGTTGAGTAATGTGGGCTTCTGCGTAATAACATATGATTACGTTTTTGAGCAATTTCTGCTTCCATCAAAATTAAGCATTTGTATTAATTTACCTAGGTACTGTTGAAAAAGAAGAGTACAGAAAGAACGGCAATAATTGGTTGCTGATAAATCCACACACAATGTTTCCTAAGTAGAATTATTATTCCTACTCAGTACCTATTTTAAAATAGTAGTATAAATCAAGAATAAAGGGTCGCATAAGTAAACACACTTGTTACTAAAATTGTACTTTTTCATCGTAGGACGCTACAATGAAAAATAGAGAATAACAAGAAAAACATAAATAATCGTTTCTTCTACCTAGAAAAAAAATGTGAGAATTCCAACAGGATCTTTTATGAAAATATTCATTAATTCCATTTTAGTCTGTTTATTAGAAATGTCATACAGTGAAACAGTATCATTTGATACCGTTTGATTTAATTTGATACTGTTTCACTGTATGATATTTTTAAGAAACAGACCAAGATGGAATTACAATCTACTACAGTGTCCAAGTTTTACTCCTGTATTAAGGAAACATATGGTCTTTGTGTTCGAAGACTACTAATCAACAAACTCACACGACTTTCACAGACTCAAGTCAAATACACAAACCACCGTATATTTAATATTTGATCTCTCAGAAATCAAATCGTTCTTAAATATCTGTGCCTACGTGCACCAATTCCAACAGCCAAAGTCAAAGCAGCTATAGAACGTTTGAGTAAACTCTGTCTTAAAGAAATAATCCATAGAATAGTCAAAAAGGTTGCACAACATCAGGAATTATATCGAAGAACTTAAACATAAATTGATAACAGCAGTTAGTAAAAAAGATTATTAGCTTTTGATGGACAATTGCAATAAAATAAGATCAGCCACATTCAAGAAACCCATAAATACTCCGATTAGGAAATTGAACAAACTTATGAAAGAAAAGCATGCATTATCCAGTAAGTGATACTGTTTCACTGTGACATTTCTAATAAACAGACTAAAATGGAATTACAATCTACCACAGTACCCAAGTTTTCCTCCTATATTAAGGATTCATTAGTTTTAGGTTAGTCTTCATAATGGACTGAGATCATTTAGTGTATATTTGAAAACCGGAGGGCAATTGACAGCTATTTGGGACTTTTCAGCTGTGCACAAACACGACACTCTCAATGGTCAAGTTTAGGACAGTCAGATCTCGTGGTGTCTGCATTACAGTTTAGCTCTCCTGAGATCCTAGGTTTCCAATTTCTGCTCAGCTGATATCAGTCAGTGGGAAAACCACTTTGAAGTTTAGAGACCTGCATGCTAATTTCTTATCTTTGATTGTTTGACTCCTGACCAAACATCAGATATTATCTCTCTTTTCATCTTAGTTTCCACGCTCTTAGTTTAGCTTCACTATTTCAGATATTCTGAATCATAAAGTTAAAAATCAAACACATGAAGAAGAATAACATTCCCTTCTAGAACCAGTTGTTCAGTGGATTAAAATCCTAAATGACGCTACAGCACGTATACTTAGTAAAGCAACATTGATCAGTCGATATTTTCGCAAATTCAGGTTAGACAAAAAGCCTTAACTGAGGCCAAGTTTGAAGCTGCATACTGGGAATTTTCTAGCTTGAGTTCTAATGACGGAGATACTCGATTACTACTGTTATATTTACATTCATTTTACAATGTGACTGAAGTGTTTCAATAGCCTTACTTCCTAGCTAATATCTAAATATTCTAAGCTGTGAAAGGTCAAATAGAAGTAATGGAACAACAACAAAATAATTGTATAAGGTTTATCTTGTTTTCGTTGCTGTGATAAAGGAGTTTCATAAATGATTTAGTGTCCTTACATAAGAAGGTAGTCTTCTTCATTATACGACATTTCAGTCTAGGAAATTTCCCTATCCCACTAAATCATCTATAAAAACTGTCCAGTCGTATTCATAGTTATTCAACTTAACGGTCAAGTCATTACACAGATCAGCATTAAAACGTGGATGAAGTTTTTAGAGAGGATCGTTAAATTAGCCCTACACATTAGGCAAGACATTGTGTAGTCATGAAAGTGGAGGGAAGAGTATTTAAATTTGTACAGAGAAGATTGTTAGTGTTTTCAATGATTAAATATGTGAATATGATCTAGCAAAATGAGAACTAGGAATTGACACAAACATTGAGAGTAGGTGAAAGACAGTGATGATGGCTGGCGATACCCGCCGTTACTTTTCTTGTTTAGCTTCTTTAATGACGTAAAAGTGAACATAAGCCTAGGTTCTTCTGGTTTTACAGAGGTTGATCAACATTTTGGAGGGCATATGGTTGACGTTAGGAGTACGCACACGTTATTTTGGGTAAAGGTGCTGAGAAAATGTAAGCTGTTCTGAACACATTCGGCAGAAATTCGAGTATGTTTGGCATGCATTTCGTACCTGTGAAATGTAAGATGATGCTTCGGGATTGGTCTGCAGCTAATCACATTTAAAGGACAAGGAGTGAAGTGACTCAACGCGTTGATCCCTTCTCTTTTCTGGGATTAGCCTCATCCTGAACGAGCTAATTGTTGGATGAATCTCAGCTTGGATACAGAAGATCCGTTTGGCACTTCCCAACTGGTGCAGGCGCAATATTTCATTACTTGTTAAAGGACGAAAATACTTCTTTGTAGTCCGTTCTCCCCTATAATGTGGCTGTGATACAAGGTTACTTAAAGTAGATGTGAAGAGATTACAAGTTTTTGATCACAGGTGTCGTCATAATGTTGCTCCGGTATGGCGGAATCATCATCTGAGCAGTGTCAAGTTTAGGGGAAAGGTACTTAGCAAGAAAAGAAAGTCCATCGATTCGTTTTCGGACCTTCAGCGACTGAGATGTCTTGGACATATGTTGTGTATGCCAAAGTACTGCCTACCTCAACGTACAATGTTAACCGAGGTTAGACTGGGTTGGAAGAAGGCTCAGAGTAGTCAGATCAAGACGTCACACTAATCCATGAAGATTTTGACTACCAGTGCAGACTTCTTAAATGCGCTTCTCAAGACTCAGTGATTGGAGACCTTGATGATATGGGTAGAAGTCGGTAGCAATGGTGCAGATGTATAAATCGTTTGATATTTTTGAAAGCTTTAATATTTCATTGACCTTCATATTTTACGTTCTTTTTTCTCACAAGCACCTTTATCTAGCTTGGTATCACTCTTTTTCTACCCCTTCGCTCTTTGTGTGTATATGGCAACTTGAACTGATGTACTTCTGTACGACGTTCTATGTTGACTTTCTCTATCTGTTTCTTTGACTGTGAAAACACCTCATCAACGAACTCTATCACTGTACTGAGTCGGCTTAGCCTTCTGGAAGGGATGAAAATAATAATAGGAGTCCTTGCTTAGGATTTTATATTCTCTTACAGTCATCTACAAGCCATATCTGTAACCAAGTGGATATGCATGACAACTTGTGTTATGAATCTGAATAGCTTATTGCTAAAGAATGCAACACATGCTGAAACGTATGAAATGTAACATGAACAAATATACACTTTTTCATTTTCAAATATACGGTTATTACTTTACAAATTTTATTATTCTTTTGTCAAAAATAAAATACAGTTTACGTATACTCCAAGAACACCAAATGCATATGATATTGGCTATTTTAAAATTTGTCAATTGAATGGTTACAGTGAGACACTTATAAAATGTGTAGGAGATTCAACAGGTTAGTTTAGAAATATCTTTGCTGTATAAGCTTTATGATAATTCTGTTTTATTTTTTTTAATTTGATAATCGACAAAATGTATCATTATACTTGTAAGTACTTTCGGAAAGCTTTTTAACTATTAAATAATGATAACTGAGCTTGATTTAAAATCTGGATTGTTGCAAGATTTGATACATATCAGAAAGATGGACAACTAAACTTAATACCTTTAACTGGAGAAAATTAAATCATCTTGGCATATTTCACAGCAGCATACAGAGAAGAGGCTAAAGCGACATTAAATTTAACAAAATATATAGGAGAGGAGAGAATAAATAGGCGAAGGTTAATGTGAGTGTTTGAAGACATTTAAATGAAAATCAGGGTGTGCATTTGTGCGCCACTGTGATAGGTTTGGAAACATATCATGAATAGTTGTCAACTACTGATTTATATCACCTCGAGCAACCATGTGAAACAGTCTACATCTTCCACTATACTTTAGGCCAACAGCTACGGACATTATGAATTAGTACCATGTCTTGATCTGACTACCCTTAACTTTTTTCCAACCTGATCCCATTTTGGTCAACGTCACACATCCTGGTGGACTTTAAAAACTAAGCGCATTACTGACTGAGCTACAAGAACCAACTATCAGTCAGATCTCACTTTTACTTCACACACTAATTGCCTGTACGAATTATTGTGCGAATGAAAAATATACTTTCTTGCAGCAATAATTCAAATCTTACAATTACTAAAGTTTCTGTCAGCTTGCTCGCATCTGGTGGAGTCACCGTGTGAGGAATGTTGAAGTCAGGCAAATGGTACTAGGTAAGATAGGCAAGTTGATTGGTGAAGTTGGGAACGTTAGTCGACTGAGATGGCTTTGGCATGTATGCGCATGCCAATCCAACACCTGTCTCGAGGTGCCATGCTAGGGGAAGTTAGATTAGGATGGAAAAGGGTTCAGTGTGGTCATATTAAGACCTGGCGCTACTTGAAGTCCTTGACTGTTGGCTTGAGCCGTGTGGAGAGATGTAGACTGCCTGGTTGCGGTACTCGGAACGAAAGGAATCAGTGGTTAAGGACTCTTGGCGACATGGCTGAAAATCGGTCACAACAGAGCAGATGTACTCATTCCTTGACACATTCTAAAACTTAAGTATTCCCGCTAACCTTTATCTTCAAATTCTGTCACACTACTTTATCTACCTTGGTATCACCCCTTTTCTATCCACTTGTTTTTTGTGTACTTTTGTGAACTGTGAGGACTTGAGCCCATGCACCTGCGTGCAAGTTTCTATGTTGAATTTGTCAGTTAACACCAAGGGATGCCGTGAAAAGTATTACGGACAATGGATGCTAAACAGTTCACACCTTCGCTGTACTTTTTTTGGTTAATTGAAATTCATACATTTATCCTATAAGGACTAGTCAGTAAGTTCCAACCAGGATTTACTAATCATAAGTACTTACTAAGGTATTGAGAAACTGGACATACACAAAAAGTCTGATTGCTCTTTGTTGTAGAGGACGAATATTAGCGCTTACTTACAAGAAGGAAAATAGTTTGATTTTAATCTCTACCTACCTTCCTACTTTATGCTCTGTATTATATTGAATTTGGTTCAAAGAATGGCCTCTTATTCTGTTAAAGAAACAGCATGTATTTTACAGGTATTCAAAGTCATGTTCACAAAATTTGTAAACTAGTCGCTAAAACTAAATGCATAATGTAAAAAAGTGTCTATTCATTAGGTACTGTTTTACTATCATTTCAACATGTTTGTCATTCCTACTACAGTATAAGACAGTAATTCATATTTTCCTAATTGGCAAATGGTAAACTTGATGACATCATAGTACTTACTCTTACTACAGATAACCATCATGCGTGATTAGTATGTTATCTGCCTTGTAAATTGTACAAGACCGAAACCAGTTACAATTACAAAGCTTCTCAACCATTCAGTACATAGATAGGTCACTGGTTAGTTATGCATTTATTTCTACTTGTACCGAACTTTTGACTGAATTCTAGTAATCAATTATCCAGTCTAGTCATTATACTGAGCGTCGTCATTTTATGGTAAACTGTCTTCCAGGCTTTATTTTAAGAGAAAATCAGAAGGCGTTCGTAAAATGAAGTTTCAAGCTTGTTTACACTTATGAGTTAGGTGTATCTACAATCTTGTTGAAAAAGATGTTGTCTGAGATGCTAGAACATGTGTTTAAGAAGTTAAATATTTCAATATTAATTTATTCAGATCAAAACAGATCTTATTTATCTGAATTATGTTCAAAAATTATTCCTGAAAAGTTAACCAATGTAGCTGTCAAGTCCCGAGTGTTGATCGAAGTCTTTCCGTCTGTTCAACAAACTAAATGACTTGGCATGGGATTTGATATCGGATGGTTGAATAAAATCATTGGGAAGCCATAAATATCGTAGGAAGTCAGTTTGCACGTGTCATACGTCACTTGGCAAAGCCTATTGATCTCATATGCAGTTGAGTAATGTTGGTTGATGATCTGACACATAAGATCACTATTATCATCCCACTAATCATATCCGAATAAACACTGAAGCGAAGTATTTTCTTTGCAGTAATCAATTTATCAAGTTTACTCAGTTCTCGTCATTTTATTATAGATATCAACGTCCAACTTTCAACGAATTACTGTACATTTCCAATAACTCAAATTGATGAGTTAAAAAATCAAGTTGTTTACATATCAAACCATACTGACCATCCAACATTGTATGAAATGAAAACTGGTCATACACATATCTATATAAATGAGAATAATGAAAAGTGCCAACTCATTTCCACTGTATTTCCACTACTTAAAGGTTCACAGAATGGCATAATAAATCCTAGAGAAACAATCAGACTTGTAATTGGATTTAATCCACATGTGACTGGTCACTTTTATCGTCGATTTGTTTTGTTGGTGTGTAATCAGGTAATGACAGTTATATTAAGTCTGTTTAAGTGTAATATTCTTATTTCTGATGATATATAAAAGTGGTTGCAGTGGTTTAACATAAGGCTTGTGGAAAACTCTATCAATATTCAATGGTCTCAATCGTTTTCTGAATATGAGTGGTCCCTTAGATTCAAAGTTAATATCAGGCACGAAAAACCACTAAAGATTAGGGAGTACATCTTGGTATAATTTAGCTTTAAGCTCTCATGATGTAGTAGGGGATCGTAGAGTTGAATTACTTTAGCAATGGCTTTGAAGTTAGAAACGTTATACTTCCAAGGAATCTCAGTGTGGAAACAACAGTCTACTCAGTAAACTCTATTTATGATTGAACGTCACCATCAAGTTATATGTTTATCGCCTGTATTTGTTTAAGCAGTTTTCAAATTGTAGATCTTCAATTCATTCTCGTATTATCTAATCATTACCTCAAATTTTTCGCATGAGGAAGAATGAACAGGCGTAGTGATTTTCCCTGATTAAATTATGGGTGTTAGATACCTTTGTCAAAGAATTGTCAATACTACTTCTTTATGGAGTAATCGCTAAGTATTTAGTACCATAGGTAGTCAAGGTGTTTCGTTGGGAGCAGTTATGCTGGTTGGTGAACCTGCTCATTTGTATTGACTTAGCTATGTAGTATTTTTGTCTCAGCGTGAGATCTCAGTCAGAGTGACTGTTACACAATGAAATTCGTAAAGTGGTAAAGCCGAGAGAAGAACCCAGTTCACAAAGTCAGTGAAATAAAATAAAGGCTTTTTGTTCTACCTACACGAGGCTAAAAATTAATAGTTAAGGTTTCACGACGAACGCGTTAACCATCCAGTCATTGGGTCAGAGTGCAATGATTCATAGTTTCCAACTTCTGTTAATTCACGATATAGTGCAACTATCGTCCAAGGTCTTCAGTTGTCATCCATTTGCCTTCCTACTGGCTAACCCTACAGGTCACAGATTCTTATTCGAACTTCGTGATATCCATTTGGAATCATTTCACTAATGAGCACCATACAGTAATGTATTTGAGACGAATAGGGATTTTAATTTAGAAGTAGTATTCATCACGGACAGACATCAGTTAGAGAACTATTGAAAACCTGAGAGCACTGGACGGCTGTTTTATCTTGATATGGGACTCCTCAACAGTATGTACTCATGACACGGCTAGGGATAGAACTCAGGACCTTCAGGTTTCACAACGAACGCCAACTGAAAACCTTAGGTAATAATCCAACTATATCGAAAATAAATCGATCATGTGATTATTTCACCTGTTTGTTGTCAATACCTGTGACTTTCTGAGCATATGAAATATATATAAAGCGAAACAAACCTTGTTTTATAAATATGATACTTCTGAAGCAGAAAGAAAACTGAATAATCTGTGATTTTTAAGTGGAAGTTTTGTTAGCCACTGGCTGTCTACAGATATGAAATTAATAGCATTATTTGTTTAGGCCAACTCACAGTTTTAAAATTCTGCTGTTGGTGATGTGATTTTCATGAAGGTCGTTACCTAGAAGTATACTGTACTGGACAGTGACAGTTTATTGAGAAACCACACACCTAAAAAATGCTTGATTTATTTGAATAAGTCAGATAGAGAAGGTTTTAAATAAAGAAAGAATTCACTTAAAAGAAGAAGCAGATGAACTGCATGACTTTTACCACTTCAGTCGTCATGACTGAAAGCTATTACGTGAGAGCGAATTAGAGTGACTTGAAAGGGTACCCTAGTAACTGCTAAGATAACCGATCAGGTTTCTTCACTTTTTGAATAACTACCTTCCCTAACCAAAATACAGAAAGCTGGTTGGGCATTTCAGCAGTTGCTAGCATGGCCTTTAAAGTCGTTCATAAATTAAAGGTAATCTGTTCGTAGATACATCTATTCTTCATCCCCACCACATGCTTCTTGTCCTTTTTATTATCCTTTATTTTGTTGCTTAATTCTATCTGTACAATAAGGACGTGTGCTTGCCTGTAATGTTACAGTGGAAATTATTAAATTATGCCTGTAATATGTTAGAAAGGAAAAGAATTTTTCTCTGAATTACCATTCTTCGGAGCAAAGCTTTCAGTTACATTCTAGTTGTTGCCATTAATGTTAAAGCGAGTTGCGATCTTTTGAAAAATAGGAGTGTCCAAATGTATAGATGTACAAATCTTCCCAAAAACAAATAGTCTATTCTATAAATTTGGATACTATAATTACCCAATGGAGTTTATCTGTAAAATGTAATGTGTTTGCTCAATACATTTTGAATAATCTGATTACACACTTATCTAAAAATGGAAAGCAGGAAGGCAGATAAGCCTAATATGAAAAGATTGGACTTCAGTTAATAAGGATGATAAGGGAAGAATAAAATATTTTGACTCTGGTCGTGGTAATGAAGACATAACTCGTCAATTTAGAGGTCTTTTGGCAATGTCTCTTACTGAAAGGTGTGCCTATTGGGAACATCAATCTGTCGAACGCTCTGCATTCCAACATTCATGAGTGAGTCGGAGCCTATGGTACAAAATAAGATGAGTTGCACACGTTGATTGGTGACTATCAAAAACGTTCACTCTACATCATAGAAATCCGTATCGAGGTTTCCCTCCAGTTACCTGATTTCACAAGGATTGATCTTATCACAGGAGAATCCTCGATGGATTTGAAGTACGCGGATAACATAGTTCTTTTAGGTGAAGATTCTGACAAGATGCAGAGTCTTCTGGACACATCGAGTGTCAGTTTGAGACATATGTAGGAAGAGTTTCTCGTCTCACAAATACTTATTGTTGCTCGAGGACTAGTCTTCGGTGGCGCTTTGTTTACCAATAGTGAGTAAAATAGTAGAGTGTGTTGACCACTCCACTTACCTGAGAAGGCGGATCATCCCTGGTGCTCCAGTTTCGGGTGAGATCTCTGCACGGATATGACAGGTTGACTTGGCTTTCTCTAACTTACGCCATTTATGGTGGCGCTGTGGTGTCTGACTGCCGATTACAGGTTGAGTGCGTTGCGCTGCAGGTCACTAAAGTATGCCATTTGAATGTGAAAAATGGCCAATGAAGGGAGTGGAGGACATGAGGAAGTTTTTGTTGTTCGACCATCGTTGCCTTCGTAGCATGCGCCGTGTGCCATGACATCATCATACCAGTAACGTAGAAGTCAAGTTTAGAGTTTTTGGGAGAAAATAAAAGTCAGTTGATGAGGCTGTGAACCTTCATTGACGCAGGTGGATGTGACATATGTTACACAAGCCTAGCTTATTGTGTAGACTAGATAAAAGTGCACTATTTCCGAATGCATTATGTTACATTGTTGTTGAGGTGAGAATTCAAATCAATCACTAGTTCACTTTCTGAAAATTTGGTTAACTCTGACCATACAGCTTCAATAGAATTCTTTTTCAATGTCATCTACAAAGACGAAGAGAACAGCTCAAATGAATGCGCTTTAAAAATGATAGAAGCACTGGTAATTCATTAATTCAAGCTTGATATCTGTGAGCGTGTGAAATTTGTTTAATCTCTTATCTTGCTGTGGTCTTAACTCTTTCCCAATTTTCGCGGCTTCATCATAATTCATCAGTTTATTATTATCACCTTAGTTATGTCACTTGTTACGTTTTGTCTATTAAGTGGACACATACGTCGCATTTCACATCTACCATCATTTTTCACCCGGCGAAACCCTTCGGCTTTCTTTTTAACGATATCACTTTATAGATTCTTATAAAACTCCTTTCAACTCTTTATTTTAGCCTTGAGTACCGATCAAATTATGTAACTATACTCTAGTACTCCACAATAGACTATTATGTGTTTATGACATATCATAACTATGTATACACAACTTTAGAAAATGATATTCCTGGAAAAGAAAATTTTGCTTTTGAATTATCTGGCTTATCCTAACTGCATTGGTGGACAGGTGAATTGAATGGATCAGGTAACGAAAGACTTAGACGGAAATTACAGCTTCATCTTAAAGGAAAAAAACTGAAACTGATAACTTTACAATCCCTCAGTTAACGTATACTTGAATTTCGTCACTGTTAGATTTTCTCATAGTTTGAAGCAATCATATCTTTTGTTAATTTGCAATATTTGAATTTAAAGGAACCGCAGTTTTTACATTTACTTGGCACTTGTCATGATTTGACTGAACGACCTCATCATCTGACAGTGAAACATTTAGCCAATCTGAATTTATATGCTGACAAATCGAACAATGGAATAGATGTGAGTTATTTTTATTCTTCAGTTATTCATTGTTCATTATACGATGTGAAGTATAGGAATTAATTTTCTGAATAACGGAAAAATTTGAAGTTGGTGTTCATCATGGACTGATGTCAGTTAGAAAACTAGCTGTTTCGTTCCAATGCAAAACTCCTCAGCAGCGTGCACCCATGACCTCATCAGGTACTGAACCCAGGGTCTTCAGGTTTTATGGCGAGTACGTTACTGTTGAGTCACTTGGTCAGACTAGTGCTCCACATTCTTCTACTTTCTTTCAAATCCCGAAATAGAACAGCTGTTCATTATTCCTAGGTTTTTAGTGGTTCTCCAACGTATGTCAGTCCTTGATGAATGTTAACTTAAAATCAATAAATTCCTTTAAACCTCCAAATAGAAACATTTTGTCTCCTCAGGAATTCAGGAATTTGATGATAACTTAAGTTATGCAGTAATCTTGACTAAAAAGGAATACTGATGACTCAAAACCATATAAAGAGGTTTTAAGCTATTATTATATTATTATTTATTAGTCCCTTGGGTTCCTAGTGGAACATAGGGCTTCACTAGCACGTCTCCAGTGACCTCTGTTCTCTGAGATCTTTTGAACCTTGTCCCACGACAGCCCACAAGCTCTCATTTCCTCCTCGCACGACCTCCTCCATGTCACCCTCGGACGTCCAACTCGTCGCTTCCCATGGGGATTCCACTCGAGCAACTGGCCTGACGCGTGATGTCCTCAGTCGGCCTTCTCAGTGCATGGCCAATCCATCTCCACTTCTTCCTGCATATTTGTTGCGTGATAGGTTCTTGGTTGCTTCGTTCCCAGAGTTCCTTGTTGCTTATTATTTCTGGCCATCTGATCTTCAGTAGCGAGCGTAAGCAGTTGTTGATGAATGTCTGTAGTTTATTGGAAATTCCTTTCGTGACGCGCCAAGTCTCTGAGCCATACAAGAGCACTGACTTGACTAAGTTGGTGTTGAAAATCCGTATCTTGTTCCACATGCTGAGTGCAGAAGATCTCCACACTGGTTTCAGGCTAATGAACGCCTGTCTTGCTTTTTCGATTCTGACTTTGACATCCTCGTCCGTCCCACCTGTAGTTGAAACAGTGCTTCCTAGATAAGTGAAGGAGGTTACTTCCTTCAAGTTTCTCCCGTTGACGGTGATTGGGGTTTGTTGTTGTTGTTGTTGGAGTTGTTGGTTAGGTATCTTCATCACTTCTGTCTTCTCTATATTCACCTGAAGTCCCGTCTTAGCTGTCTCTTCTATCAACTTGTTAGTTTTTGCCTGCAGATCTTCAAGTTTGTGTGACATTAGGCATAAGTCATCGGCGAAATCCAAGTCTTCTAGGTTCTTTTCCGTCGTCCAGTGTATCCCCCTCTTCTCGCTGCCTACTGTTTGCTGCATGATCCAGTCCACCACAATAAGGAATATCATGCGAGATAGTAGGCAACCTTGTTTCACTCCTGTCTTCACTTCAAAATCATCACTGAGCTTCCCATTGTGGATTACTTGGCATGTGGCATCTTCATATAGTTGTTGAATGAGGCGGATAAAGGTTTGCGGTACTCCGTAGTATTGAAGCAGTTTCCAAATTACTTCTCGGTCGACGCTGTCAAAGGCCTTCTCAAAGTCGATGAAGTTGAGGTAGAGAGCTGATTGCCATTCTATGCTCTGTTCTATGATGATACGAAGCGTTGCAATTTGGTCTGCACATGATTTGTACTTCCTGAAGCCTGCCTGTTCCGGTCGCAGTTTTGAATCCAGTGCGTCTTTAAGCCTCTCTAGGATGATGCGGCTTAATATTTTACTTGGGGTGGACAGGAGAGTGATTCCGCGCCAGTTCTTGCAAGCACTGAGGTCTCCCTTCTTCGGCAGTTTGACAAGGTAACCCTTCTTCCAATCGTCAGGTACCTTCTCTTCCTTCCACACCTTCTGCAATAGTGGTGTGGTGTGAGCATGGCCGCTGTTGTCTCTGCATCTGTTCTCAGTGCTTCTGGCGGTATTCCATCTGGTCCTGCTGCTTTCCCGCATTTCAGTAGCTTTATGGCGTTCAGGACTTCCATTTTCGTTGGGGGATTAATGTTCACTTGTAGTTCAGCGGCTGCGGGTGGTATTTCTGGACGAAGTGCAGGTGGTGGTCGATTCAAGAGCTTCTTGAAGTGGTCGGCCCATCGTTTCCTCTGTTTCTCTTCTTTTGTAATTAAATTTCCTTCTTCATCTTTTATTGGTTTCATCTGTGTTGGTCTCTTCCCTGATTATTATTATTTATTATTATTAGTCCCTTGGGTTCCTAGTGGAACATAGGGCTTCAGTAGCACGCCTCCAGTGACCTCTCTTCTCTGAGATCTTTTGAACCTGGTCCCACGACAGCCCAGAAGCTCTCATTTCCTGCTCGCACGACCTCCTCCATGTCACCCTTGGACGTCCAACTCGTCGCTTCCTCTTCCCTGATAGCAACCCGGTTATTTGATACAATGTCGTCAGGTCTCTCTTACCTGCAGCCTGTTCTGCTTCACTTGCCAGTGTTTCGTAGAAGTGTCTTTTGTCTTTGCGTGCACTCTTCTTCACTTCTTTGTCCAGTGTTTTATACATTGTGCTCAGTTCCTCTTGTCGTTGAGCATCCTTGCACTGGTTTATCTTCTGCTTCACCATCCTCCTCTCCCTGCTCTATCAGCTTCCATGTATCCGTCGAGATCCATTCCTTGTCTTCTTTCTTCTTCCTTCCTAATACGGCTGTGCAGGTTTCTTTCCATATCTCTTTCAAAGACTTCCAGTGTTCTTCCATACAGGTTTTTTCAGAGATGTTCCTTGATATCTCCCATTTTGTCTTGATGGCTGATCGACGTGAAGATCTCCTTTGTAGTTTCATCCTTCAGTTTCCGAGTGTTGTACTTGAATTGAGGTCTATCACCAGCTTCCTTGAAGGCTTTTAACTTGATTTGGAAGGTTCCTTGCACTAGGTAGTGAGTGGTGTGAACCTACATCTGCTCCTCTTCTTGACCTTGTGTTAAGTAGACCGCATCTCCATTTTCTTGAGATTGAGATAAAGTCGATTTGATTTTTGGTGTGTCCATCTGGTGAAATCCATGTCGCTTTGTGGATATCTTTGTGCCTGAACACACTGCCTCCAATCACCAAATCGTTGAATGCGCAGAATTCTGCAAACAATTCTCCATTCTCATTCATTTCACCTAGCGCCTCTCGACCCATGGTTAGTTCTCTTCCCGTGTTGTCCCCTCCCAGTTTCGCATTGATGTCGCCCATCAGAATTTTAATATCGCCAACTGACGTCTTGTCCAGTGTTGATTGAAGTTGTCTGTAGAAATCCTCCTTTTTCTCTTGCTCTGCATTATTTGTAGGTGCATAGCGTAGCATTGTATGATTGTGACCTTTCTTCCTTTTGAGTTGAATCTTGCTGTCATGATCCTGGAGGAGATTGGTTCCCACTGCATGAGAGCCTTCGATGCTCTTGAGGACATCATGATAGCCACTCCCTCAGTGTGCTCGTGGTTGGCGTCTGGGTGACCGGAGTAGATTATTGATTCTCCAGTTGACAGTTTGGAGAGTCCACTCCCATTCCATCTGCTTTCGCAAATCCCAAGCACTTCGATGTTATACCTTCTCATCTCCTTTGCAATCTGGGCTGCCTTACTGGGTTCACACATGGTGCGGACATTCCATGTCCCCACGTTTACTTTCGCTTTCATGGAGGAGAGAAGACACATTGGCCAATTGGCTTCCCGAAGGCTTTCACCAACTGGCGTCATTTCGCCTCTCCGATTCCAGCGGGGAATAAGTTTGTTTTCATTTTTTATATTTCGTTTGTGCTTTGAAGTTTCTTTAGCGGTTAGATTTGTTTTACGGGGTAGGGTTGCTAGCCGTATGCCCAACCTTCTGTGTTTACCCGGGCTTAGGACCGGCTAGTAACTAGTAAACTAGTTAACCAGGCGAGGTTGGTTATAAGCTATAGGGGTATTTTAATAGATAAACAGTCGCTTAATCATTTTGTTAACCGACTGACTTCATACGCTATTCTACCAGATCCATGTAACAACTTTTCAGTAAAAAGAAACAGTTATTCAACGTTTCTTGGTTTTTCTTCATCTTCTTTCCAAAGAAGCTAATTTCCAATAAGACTCACCTATCTCCATGCTTAGTGTACGTTTTCTTTATGATGCTTAAAAACCCAGTTGTGGTAAATTGAATTCAATAAACAAAATAAAAATTGTTAGAATAAAGTGAATTGACACAGTTTATCTGTTCAATAATAAATAGCAGGTTAGCGATACGTGATAAAATTCTTACAAGTAACTCAAATAAATTCTGTTAGTGTCACCATGACTTGAAAAAATTGTGCCTCTAAATAGAACTAAAGTTCTATGATACTTGTTTCATAGGTACTAATAGCGTAGTACATTGATAGATAGACGATTATTTTCACTTTTAGTTGCGTATATTCCCGAAGCATGAAAAATAGAAGTTGATGTTTCGTTGATATTACATGAGACACATATTAGTAAGCCTTTTCATGTGTTAATGACTGATATGAATACTTGAGAATTACTCACACTGACCTTTAAATTTATGGAATTAATAACTGCTTATGTTGTTCGACAGTGTCTTTCAGTGGTTGAAAACAGCTTGAAATTGGCTTTAGGCAGTTATTTTCTGAGCTAATATGATTGTAGTAAGAAACCCTATTGACATCAAAGTTTAATAGAAGATAACTATGCATAATTCATATGACTTTTGCAATTAGTTGGTTACTTTTAAATCCATTGAACCAGATGGATGCATATTTCGATGCAACTCAACTACATGGTACAATTTCTTAAATTGAACTCTGAGATACATTTTTTGTGTGAATGGCGACGATACTACAAGTGATTCAACTGATTACATTATTCTGCGGCATATTTCAGCCTTCATTTCTGTGATTGTTTATTGAACTAAAATAAAGGATCCGTGCGAATGTCAGACGAAACATGCATTGAAATAAACGTGTCACTTGCTTTTTACTAGATAATTCAGCTAAACTCAAATCTTTAACTTAGTGATAGCTAAGCATACTATCGAAAGTTATTGATTTTTTTCCTTGAATAAACTAAGCCAGTATATCAGTTTTCTATATTGGAATCCAGATATACCTAATCTGTTGCAAATTTGGAAATACTAATGATGATCATTCATATACACATATACATATATAATAAGAGATCGCCTACAGTACTTTCAAAAAGCGGCAACCACATAAGTAAGTAAATACTTCGGTCGCTTGAACAAACAGATGTGTTTTTTGCGTCCTATTCGTATTTGAAGGTGAAAAAAACTTCGAATCACTGTAGTATCATCTTTTCAATTCTTTGATTACAAGAATGTTTCGGACCAAATTTGGATGGTTGCAAGTCCGTCAAAATGATTTTTCACACTAAATTCTGTTTGAAATTCTATTTAAAAGGGATGAACTGATTTCGTGACAGTTGTATCTATATTGTGATAAGTATTTGCAGCTCAACTTGTAGATGTCCTGGCAGAGTCTTTCAAGACAAAGATTCTGACATCGGTCTTAGCGTCATATTCAGCGTTAATGACGGAGAAACACTACATCCGTTCCTGATTGTTAAATATTCCTAATTTGTTCAAATAAACTGGATATCTGATTCGACAGCATGTTCTTCAATGAAATGAACTTACACATTCATCACAGTTATCCTTGAACTATTCCGTAAAGCTTTAATTTCATCAGCGAGAGAGATTCCTATCAAATTCAATATTTAAGTTCATATGTTGTCTGAGTTTCTCACCTAACCTGTTTGTACCGTATCTCTAAAATCAACAACAAATCACTCCACTCAGTGATATACGGAAGATCGAATAGTTTCAAATAGCTTTTTTATCCTCATTATTGAATGACTTTGAGATGGCACTGATGATATTGTAATTAGAGTATGCGGTCTTTACAGTCAGTCAAGCTGAGTTTAGAGTTGAATGAGGATTTATGCTACTGGTTGATGGTCATAGTATGGTTTAAAATGATGAGCGCTGAAATCGGTAGACGTTTAAATTTCAACTAAATGACCGCATGAGAGTGTTTTCTACACACCTGGATGTACACAGTACTGAGTGTCCTTAGATTACCAAGAAGCTAGCATCCAAGCCTTTTGGTTCTCTTTAATATTTTGGTATATTTCCATTTGTGCTGAGCGTACTCTGGACAAAAATGTCTAAATATATAAAATATTTTATTTATGACTCACCAGTTGTTTCATAATGCTTAGAATCTTCTATGATATATTGAGTGATAAAGTTTTGACAAGACGTAGGGATAATTTGCCCTTATAGGAAGAAATTTATGTTTTCCCAGAGCATCATTTTTGTTCTATCAATCAAACTCTTGCATACCTTTACTTCCTCTGTAGGACTTGTAAAAACATTTCTGAAGTTTATATATATTTTTTTTATGTCACTTTGCAGTCACTTGAAAAATCCAATGAGTGGGAGAAAAACAAACTAAATGGCTATGAAAACTACGCTGAAATGATGCAGCCACCAGAAATCTTGGTATGTCCTTTCTCATATCTACATACAAAGAAACGTGACAGCTGGTTTTACTTTACTTGTTTATGTAAATGTGTTTTCGCTCAAGTCTGAATTATAACGTAAGTCAGATTTTCACTGGAGAAGATCTCGATATCAGCTACAATGTCCTTATGGTATCTGCTTTGTGGTAATGATTACTATATATTGTTAATTAACATAATTGGTGATTTTATCAGAATGTCCTATCCGTTATTATTAGTTCTCATCTAGCTAGTCAACTCAGTTTACCGCTGTCTGTAAACTGATAGAATACATGATAACTCACAGTAAGGCAAACCTACCAAACTACGGTAACCGCTTCATGCTGAAGACGAAATTATTTTATCTCTTCTTTTTCTTGTTTTCTTCATTCTAATTGGGCAGATTTATGGATTTCATTGTTCCTACCAGATCTTGCAACAGTCATGTTGATAGCACTGTTCACATTTCTACACACAACTTAATTTCTGCCACTCTTTGGTTTGGCGAATTTAAAGTTTCTCGTTTTCGACATATAACAATTACCAGATTAGAACAGTAACCAGTAAATTTACAGTTTGCTGATATTTTCTAATCAAACCGTCTTTAGCCATCGTTCACTCACCTGTTCAATAAACAAGAGCGAACTAAGATTCTGTCATGCAACAAGTGGTCATCGTAACTCAATAACTTAGTGGATAATGGTCCGGCTCTTCAAAGGATTGGTCCTGGGTTCCATTCCTGGCAGTGAACCACACCATAAAGTGGGAGGCAAAAATATCCAACTGAAGAGTCTTAAATAGGACAAAACGCCTCTTCGACTCCACTTCTAGCCGCTAACCATCAATTTAGAACTGCATTCCGGTTAGTAATTATTTCGGTCAACTAAGACTGACTTTGTCAAATTGTTTCTGGTAGTCTTTAATCATTGTCGTCCAGTAATTGAAGATAATCCACACATCTTACAAATATTATGATGGCATATGGATTTACATATAGTCTTAATATTTTATCCCTTTTCAACACTGATATCTCACAAAGATATGCCAAATTACTCAGTCGTATAGGTTCGTTGTATTAGACAACTGGATATATTGCTAAAGCACCACGATTTTCGGGTTATCAGATGTTGAAAGAGTCTTCTTTTTCACCGGACGAAGTTGTTTATACAACTGGCTCATTAAAAAATAATGCACTTATCATAGGAAACTAATAACTTGATTCTTTCATCTAGCTCATCTCTTATAGTTAGTGTGCATCAGTGCAGGTAAGTTTCATACCATTACTTTCCATTGAACTAGAGGAAAAGGCATGGCAAACTCTTTCTCATTTCTGAAAAGTGTAATCAATAAACCCTTCATTTTGCTAGCATCTGGACTTAATATGAAAGTGTCGTCTGCATACTACCAGCAAATGAAATGGTTTGTGTTTAAGACAACAATCCAAAATGATTCAACCCTAAAAAGAGTCCCTTCTTACATATCGGACAATATGTTTTTCTTCTCCAACCACATTGGCGTTTTCCAGTTTATGAAATTTCTGATGCTTGGGAGAGATCCTACTACCTATCAGATAACGAGTGTGATGCTCAGGAACCCTCTCTCTCCTATGGTAACTCTGTGAAACTCAGCCAGTTTACAGTGGAAGAAATGAGATGAGGGGTTTTATAAACACACATGTCTCCATAGCATTTCTCACTTGAAATTAATGCTGAGGCAAGGTATATCCTGCGAATTTCAAAAGGCAACTTTATCAATAGGACTGTGAAATTTTGTAGACTGAGTTGGCTTCAGTATGAACGATATGCCTGGGCTCCTGTCTATCTCCAAATCTCAAGTTAACTGAAGTAAAACAAAGTTCTAGAGGAAAGGATTTGCAAGTGATCATAGCTAAACACCGTGCAGATCCATGAGGTCTCAACCTACTGACCTGAGCCATATAGGAATTTACAGCCTGTTTCCTCAAGAGGATAGTTATTAGCGGTTGGTGACTGTAGAACATATGGCTTAGAATTGATCATAGCAGTGTTGACACATCAAATCTCAATCATTCTCGAGTATTCGAAAATCTTATTGACCTTTGCTTAGTTTCTCTCCCTTCTCAAATCTTTCTTCTTTTTTGACATCATGCAATTTCCACTGAAATCTTTATGCTTTTGTGTAGTATTTTAACTCGAACTTATGCACTTCTTTATCAAGTTCTGTGGTCATTTATGTGTCTATTTTTGGATCAAAACATCAAAATTTAATCACCTTTCTATGGACTTTCCAAGACTTTATTTTGCTTGAAATTATCTGATTTTATTTATCTCTCAAAGCTGAATCCTCCTTCATTATCCCTTAATCATACAAATTGGGATTTTACGTCAAATTCAAGCTTACTGGCTGAAGCAACCTCATGCGCAGAAAAGTTGGACAAAGCTATCAGTCAAGGTTTAGAAATAAATTTTGACAACTTAGCAATTCGAAATATCCTGATTGTACAGAACCACACTAATGATGTGATGATAATTAACTGGTCACCAATTAGGCATTTAAATTTACCACTGAAAACAAGTCAGGCCAATTTAAACAAGCATATAATAGAAAGAGTCTGCTGCTTCAGAATTGAACCAATATCAAAAGAATTAGCACCCAACAGTTCAACAGAATTTACTATTTTGTTTACACCGGTAAGTTGCAGGTTATTGTTATAATGGATGAAATTTTTGTTAATTTTGATAATTTTAATCAACTACTAAAAATATTTTTAGCAGTCTGTTGCAGCACAATAAAATAAGTTAAATTGTTTTGAACCGACGGAATCACCGAATGTCTTATTTCTTTTCTTAAAACTGTCAGTTCTAACAAATTCTGAACTCAAAATTTTCAAAGTTTCACATGTGTCACTTTTTCAGAGATTAAAACAAACCTGTGTGATTGATATTCTGTCATGCTGATTTGAAACGTGCATATAAAACCAAATTAAAGAAAACATTGTTACTCATGAAAAATATTTTGGAGAAAATGTTTATATTAATATATTTTCTAAGATATTTGGAGTATAAAAGATGATAAAAAAGGGTCAGTTACCGAAAAACACCCAGTTTTCATTGGTCTTTTCATTCAAAAAAGATAATATATTAGGTAATTGAACAGAAGAATCTATAGAGCAGTGAAACTAATTTTCTAACAAGTGCTGAGTATCCAGGGGAATAATTTCTTTAATTATGTAGCACTGAAAAAGATAATGAAACTTTTTACCAGTTCTCATGAACTATAAGCGTTTTGTAGTAAAGTGATTTTCGTCAAACTGCTTTCGGAATTCTTATTCTTTTGGAAAGTTTGAGTGATTTTTGGCTAAGTTTCATATTGAATGAACGTATTATACAGATGACTAGAAAAATCATTCTCATTTTTGTATGTTGGTTCAGTTGCATCTTTTGCAATGATATGATTCACTTCAAAATACTTTCCATCATCATATTATGCCACAACAAATTAAAATCAGGGAGAAATAAAAAGTTGCTTTGTTTAACTTTTGGACTTCCTACACTCACGAATGAAAAAAGTTAAACATTGAACTTACAATTCTTAAATGTAACCATGAATACTTTACCAATCGTTTAAAGTTTGGGTTCCAGAAGTTTTCACTTTATCTATTGACCAGTTTACTATAAAGTGGCAGAATCACTCAGTTTTATTGGATGTCATTCGACTCAATTTTATTAGATGTTATATGTTGTTATTTCTTGTCATTGATCAGATTGAATTAATCAGCCACTGTTGGTAATATGCACTTTTGGGTGAATGCCTCTATATTGTCCGTAATTTCAGTTGGGTAGTAATATTGGGTAGTGTCCACCAATGGGATTCAGAATGCACGTCCCGTCCTATTTAGGATTTGTAATCTAGACTTACCTGCTTCACAATGAGTGACGCTGTTCCCACTGCGAATAGATATTCCCACGGTATCCGCATAGAAATCCATATACTAGAAGTTGTCGATTAATTCCATCTGATGAACTGCGGGAAATTACAAGTTGTAACATCAAAACTATACCTGTTGCACAAGTAGTGCCTATCGTGACTCAGCAGCTTAGTGGACAACTACCTGGTGTTTAATATGATGAATGCTGAACTGAATTCCCACTGGTAACAATATCAGTTACTGGGAAACAACTATACCCAGCTGACGAGTCCCACGTAGGGAAAAACGCACCTCCTGAATTCTACAGCTGGCAACTACCCATCACTACGATTTTGTACTGGCTGAGATTCATCATCTCTCTTATGTTTTGATAAAAACCGATCACACTTCATTCGTAACAAATGACTCTAATTTAAATACTGGCATTTTAAGCGTCATAGAATAATGTTATTGGGAAAACCATGTCTGAGAACCACTAGCGATAATTTGTTTGTAGTTTTCAAATGATATTCAAATAGAGAGCCGATTACAGAAAAGATAATCTCAACTTACCTTGTATATAAGCTCCAGGGTAAGCAGATTTGTTATCTTCACTGGTTGAATATCTTCATACTTTACCTTCAAAGAAATTTTTCACATTTGATGTTAACCACCATTAGAATCCATTTTACAGCTAATGAACTCTTCATAAGCTTTGTGACCGAATACATGTTAGTAGTGGTCGGTAAGGTCATTTGCTTACATAGTTCAAGTAATTTTACAGTGTCCAATGCCGATCATGTGCAGATCGTTTCTGTAAGCCAGACCTAATAATATTGATCTCTCATTTTAAGTTGTCCGTGATGATCTTTACATCGAAACGTTAAAGAAATGATTTGTTTCTACCAATATTCAAATGAATTACGTTTATTTTATTTTAGTCCAATATTTGTCAATATTATCATCAAGAATTTGAAGGATTTGCTATGTACAAAAAACAACAAGATGGTGCTTTAATTGATTCAAAATTAATAAAACCATCACATTGTTTATTAGTTAACTGTTATGGTATGTTAAAGCAGGTTATCTTTATTTTAACTGAATAGTTTCTGACTCTTTTTTATAATTTCATTGTGCTCTACAATAGTTAACTTGTACTCTGTAACAAGGAACATAAGTTTAAAGAATTCTGATAGAATCTTCCATGCACGTAGAGCATAATACTCTGCACAAGAACGTTTTATGCTTCACTGTAAGTAATTTCCTCAGAGCCTATCAGCAGGGCGTTTTCTAAGTGTCGGTGATGAGAAAGTTTTAGAATTGTCTGATGTTTTTGTTAAACCGAATACTTACAATCAGACAGATTTCTTACAGATAGATTCAATCACCATTTGAGTTTTAGGGTGATTATCGAAGTCAAAATATTTGAAGTGTTTAGTTACGTTAATCGTTAGGATACCGATTGAGATGGTCAACATTTGAGGTGTTTTTACATTGTCTCATTTCTGTAACGTTAAATTTCAGTTCAGGACTGCTAAAGATGTCTGCGGTCCACTTCAACTCATTGTATGTGAGGCTGTTTTCTCAAACTAAGTTGAAATGAGCCTTTTTAAAGTTCGATATAACTCTATCTTTGCTTATATAAGTACCAGAGCGCTAGGAAGAAGAAAGAGAACGGATCGAATATACTGTTAACAAACGTCAGCTAACGGGAACTACAGTCTGAAGATTTTAGGCAGTCAAAATAATTCAACCTAATTTCTTCGGGTACTTTTTCAACTATCAAACCTTCAATGAAATGAAATGAAAATCTTGTGTTTAAATTTATTCCGATCTGCCTAATCAAATCTACAGATCAATATGAGCGAATTGTAACTACTGATACGATTTAGTAGTATAGTTCATTTGTTCATGACTTTTTTGTATCGTGCATTATATTTTATAATCTGAGTTGGATGTTTTCTTATAGAATCTACATTTAGGCAGTTGTAACAGCTACAGAGTCATGGAAAATATCGACACGACTCGTCCGTTTGCTGTACAGTTTGCTGTCTAGTTAATCAACTTAACTACTGAATGTTTCAGGTCGTTTATCTCACGACACTACATTCAACCTTCACAAACATCTCCTCATTTCGTGATTTGATTCTGTTTCTATTTCTTAACGCCTAGTTGCATACAATAGAATTTAAGAAATCATTTCTTAGTCTTAGCTGTTCCTGGTAAAGTATTTTTCCCCTACAATTTATGAGCTCTGCAAAATCCTTTTTTAGATAAAAGCTGGAACTTTTTAGTTTTCTCTAGTTAATTGATTAAAGCGTCTAGTTTCATACAACTAAACATTTAAATACTACAAGACTGACCGTACACTCAACTGAATGATTCTCCAAGCTCTAAGATCCTTCATTTTGATGTTTTAGTCTGTTCAGATTTCACTCTTACACTAGAGAGTAACGTGATAGTATATCATGAAACTAAGAGCTTACCGCAAGTTTCCGTGTGTCAATATCCCCTTATTATCTCTACTGTGTACTTTTATCCATATATAATGGCACAAATATATTTCCTTATTCTTCTATTGTGAATCAGTATTTACTTATCTTTACAGGTCATACATTCCCCAACAGTAAACAGTCATTTACTCCTTCCTATGAAATTAGTAAACCAAAAGTTACATTTGATTCGATCGAATACTGTGAAAGTAAATTTGAGTCTGTTTCTATCTACAATAAAAGTGAATATCCATTGTTCTTACAACACAGTGAATGCTTAGGATTTTTAAATGATGAAACCTTAAACAAGTGAGTTACACTGACATGTGTTATTAGTTTGGTTTTTTGAAGCAGTTGTCAGTATTAATGCCTCAGGATGACGAATATTAAGATAGAAGCATACTCTTAGCCAAGGGTATTACTGAGAGACGTTTAAATGATATATATATATATATATATATATATATATATATATATATATATATATTCTTCGCTGATGCGCATTTACCTTCACCGAAATGGGGAAAATAAATACGGTCTTCATTTTCCTGGGATACTTGGATATTTAATTGCTTTTAACTTACTTATCCTCGCTCAACTATTGTCCTTCTTCATATCCCTTAGCATTTTTTTAACTGGTCTTGAGTTTTTTGTAAATTTTCAGTGTTAGTTTAAGTAGAGTTATGCTGGAAGAAAGCTAACAGTGACCTAGATCAAGACGTGGTACTAATTCAAAAAGTCTTCGACTGTTAGTTTAATGCGTTTAATGAGATAAAAGCTACATGATTGGCATCATTGAGCAGCATAGCTTGAATCCATTACAGCAGCGTAAATGTAATCAGTCCTCACTATATTCATTATCTAAGGTTGGAACTCATTATGGACTGACATTAGTTGGAGGAATATTGGAAACCTAGGAGTACTGGACAGCTGTTTCATTCACAAATTATTATCTAGCGCTCATTGGTGACTAGCTTTGAGAGGGGATTCCTGAAGTTCCAATGAGAAGTAATGACCAGTGGAGTCGACAAAGTCAAATATGAGGATAGCTGCTCAGCGACAAGATTGAATGTAGGTCGGGCTATGTTGTAAACTGATAGAAAAAGGAAGTGTAGACCATTAGATTCCGACCTAGTGTGTCATTTTTAGCGTGCTGGCCAGGGGATGAGGAGCTCCTGAGCTCGATCCCTGGCGGGGTGGGGCCATGGATGCGCACTGCCGAGGAGTCCCACACTTAGGGGTTTCCAAAGTTTCTTCACCTGATGTCAGTCCATGATGAACTTCAACCTGAAATCAATTAATTAATTCTCACCACCCTCCAGATAGAACATCTATGTGTTGGAAATCTTACTAATTTTCATCTATTTTGCCTCGCTTTCTCTTCCTATAGACGCTGTTGTTTTCTGCATTATGATTTTTCTTCAGTGCAGTTTCTCTTTATAAGATGTTGTGACAATTTAAGCTATAACGCTTACATATGAGATTTTATATTGATTTGTCGATCTGTTTCAACCAATGAGTCTGTTAAGAAAATACTAGTTAGCATACTTTACCGTATAGTAATTGTAAAATGATTCTCTTATTTATCCAGCTTATATCCAGGATACCGGCATAAATCATATTTGAGATTGCATAAAAGGATAACTAGTAAGAGTTTGATTGAAGTTGCAAGTGATCTATTAAATCTCAGACCTTTATAATTTTATTGATTTCTATGCATATCTTTTAGCGTAGAATACTCTGGCAAACCAAGTTTTTGACTCAGTATTAACTCTCAAAAGTTGTATTCATGAATGCTAATTTTAAAAATATTTTTTTTAAATGCAACTTGTGTAATTGAACACTGGATCATGTTATTTGGTGTTAGTAACAGAAAAATGTGTATGATAATGTGCATACCAAAGGTTCTTCCTGAAAAATATTTGTTCCTATTTGATCAAATTTGAAGTTATCTCAAGAAATACAAATTCTGAGTCAGAAACGTTTTGCAACCAACCAGTTAAAAAAAAATTCAGCTTTTGACTTCTTAAAAGCCTTGTATAGATCAGCTTTCAATGTTTGTTAAATGGACGTTGTATTAACTGATATCGTTTGATGAAGAACATTTATAATTCTGAAAGTACAAATAGAAATGATAGCACACAAGATACAAATGATTTCATTACAGGGAGGGCGTTTATCACTATCTGTCATGTTCGTTGAACTTTCAAGACAAGCTCATAACCTCGTCAACGGCGAATAAACCGTAGGATGAAAATTGAAGGATCAAAACATATTTGTAAGCTCTCAATCAAGTAGATGGAATTAAGTGTTATCATCATAAAGTATAAGTCAATGAATTCAAGGTAACGATATGAATTATTCAATTACTGGGGTATCAGTTCATTTGAGAAACGTGACATTCATTAAGAACTGAATTTGTGGAGTCTGTGTGTGTATGCATATAGATTTTTGAGGTGGCCTCAGTAATGATTGATTCGTATCTTATTTCAAACACAATTTTAGAGATTAAACAGTATTTACACTACTGTAGAATTTCTCCACAGTTGTCCATTCCCATAGCCTAATTAGTGCTCTAAACCAAATTCTTCATGTTAAGCTGTTATACTGATCGCGGTGTTAAGAGTAGTTGTTATTTTAAAAATTATATCAACAAAATTTACATGAATGGTTGTGGTATCGGAAGCAATCACTAGGATGCAGATACATCCAGCTAACGAGTCCCAAATAAGAAGAAATGTGTCCTGGATTCCACTGCTAGTCAGTATACCTCAGTTGAATTGCCTATGCTTAATAAAACGTTCTTATGTGTGAAAATTAAATGTTTCCTAGCTTGAACAAGGCTTGGTTACTCTGAGTTGGATAGGAGGGCTAAATAACTGTACCACATAGAAAAGTTTACAGTACTATTCATGTTACTTATTTAGCCAATTTTATTTAACTGTTTATACCTTTCAGGAGTATACTAAATATAAGTTTAATTCCTTCAATGTGTCTAATCGCTCCAAATTCATACAAAGTCATTGTTTTCCATTGTGAGTTATATTTACCACTTACTGAGGTTAAAGAAAAACTGGCAATTCGAGAGGATGAAATTAAACTTAAAGGGTTACAGGTCGTATCGATGAATAAAAGACCAGAATATGAATGGGTAGGTGTTGTTGATGTATGATGAAATTCATTTGTTTGTTAAATTACCATCATTTCGTTTCACTAGTCAAGTAATTTTATTCGACAACAAGCTGCCTATGTGATTATATCAACATTTAAAGTTTCAGAATCTTTAGTGACTAGCTGTGTTAATTTAGGCGCGGTGTCAACTCTACTCGTTAGTCTTTGTAAAATATGAGAACTTAAAGAAGAAACCTATAGTTTATAACTTGATTTCAAATAGACTAGCTGCTTCTTCCATTTGTTTTTGTTTGTTTAGGATCAAACATATATGTTTTGTATGAGTAGTTAGTGTATACAAAAACAGAATGCTCATTTGTCACCTATTTACACGAAGTGCAGAGCAGACATAAATGTAAGCTAGTTAGTTATTTCTTCCTCTAGAAACAGTGAACATTGTTTCAAGAAAACATTAAAAAATGAGCCTTAAAACTCAGTATAGTCTTATAACTAGCGTTGTTCATGCGATTTAGTCTTCACTGCTCAGTTATAAATTCTGAAAACTACTACAAAGGGATTAAAAATGGTCAACACTGAATTATAAATATACAGTCGTGGAACCGGATTAAAAAGACTACAGAGAACAGAGTGAAACGGTGGTGTGCTACTGAAGCCCTACCACTAGGAACCTAAGGGACAGATAATAATAATATTGTTGACTGAAAATATCAAGATGCGCACTGGAAAATAATGCTTGGAGGATAACTTTGAACTGTGCCCGTAATTCATTCGAATACTAACAGTCTGTAATAATGTATGTAGGAAAATTGTAGAAACTATCAAAAGCCTACTGAGTACTCGTATCCTCTGAAACCATTTTAATTTTTTGTCAGCAAAGTTTACTGTTTATCTCCTTATCATATTAGTGGATCGGCCAATTTGAAACAGTATACTTTTGTGTGAGAATTTATATCTTTTGGTCCTGTTGAGCTGATGAAATGCACAGTATTTTAAACAACTTGAGTAGAAAGCTGATGGTGTTTCGTATGCGTTTCACGATTGTCAAATGTAAGAGGATACTTCAAAACAGGTTTGGAGCAACTCCTTATTTAAAGATAGAGAACGAAATGATACTATGGATTGGCCACTTCACTTACTTGGTAAATTCCACTAGACGGAAAGAACTGGTTACTGAATAAGGCATCTTTTGGCATTTACTAACTTACATTATCTCTAGCGCCAAGACTTATTTGGTTACATATCTTAGAACACATATACTGTTCAGTTCTCTGTCTTCTACAACTGAAAGACAGGGGTCAAGAATAGAATATACGAAGAGGTAGTACACCTTTGACCACAGGTGTCCATTTAACAGTACTGGCGTATAGTGGAACTACAAAGGGAGTAGTATTGAGGTTGGAATGAAAGTACTAGGCAAGGAAAGCAAATCAGTCTTCGAGATAATGGGAACCAATATTTGCATACTAAAAATCGGTCACGATGGGGTAGTTGTAAGAACTCATTTTTACTCTCGAATTCGTAAATATTTCTTCCTTCTCTTCTTATACACTTGTCTACTTTAATATCAGTATTCTTCTATTCATTGCAATGATACTGTTGTAAAGCGTGGTATCTTCAAATTATGATGATGCATTCCTGTTCCAGGTTCTACAGTGATCTATTTGTCTGCGGCCACTTGTGACAGCCAACCTAGTCTCTAACATACTGTATCAGAATCACCATGAAATGAAAATTTGTAAAGTTGGTTAGACATAGATTTTAAGACAAGTAACCTTCACAAGTTAGAAAAGGATGAGAATAACATGCTTCAAGAGAAAGGTGTTATGAGTTTAGGCCATTGTTCAAAGTGTTTTGTGATTACCTTATTGAGATTAGGCATATTTCAGAAATGGATTTTTATATTTTTCGTTGTCATTATCAACTTCATAATTAACTTGCAAAAAAAGATCTGATTTTTGTTTTAGAAAATTCCTGTCGAAGTAAACTTGACCACGCCCATGATCACATTAGATAGTAATGGAGAACTTTATTTCATACCAACCCATGTTGGCTCCCAAACCCAAAAACTGTTTAACATAACTAATACTTCACCGTATGAAATTGAGTAAGTTTTTAGGATCATTTCAAATGTATGATGTCGTATGATATCTACTGGTTCATGTGTTCACTGTGGCCTGACCAAGATGTGGCACAAGTCGATGAAGACTTTGACTCCTGGTCTGAGCCGTGTAGGCTGCCTGGTTGGTTGGGGTCGAGACGAAACAAATCACTGGTTGAGGATTCTTGGTAACATGACTGAAAATCGGTCACAGTGGAGCAGATGTATTCTAAAGCTTGAATCTTCGCACTAACCTTTAACTTCAGACTGTTCATTCTCTTACGCAACTTTGTCCACTTTAATATCACCCTTATTATATCCACCTATCTCTGTATACTGCTGTGAAGTGTGACAACTTGGACCGATGCACTTCTATGTCTGTTTGTACTGTCATGTAGGGCTGTTGTAACTGTTAGTCATACCAAGTAACGTAAAATATACTTTTTCAATACAGGAAGTTGCAGAATATCAAAGATAATGGGGCCATGATTAACACTGATGGTCCAGACAAAGTCCCTTTAGTGTGTCCTACAGTGATAGTTGCTAACCGTGAAGTCGTAGAAATACTTTACCTAGATATGCTTGGAGCGTTTTAGGAAAATCGTACATTTATGACTAACATATGACCTAATTGATTGATGATGGAATCAGTATTATGTATAAAAATACGCGTCAACTATTGCCGAAGTATTGTGGTGCCGAAAACTGCCTGAATAAATGAAGATGACATGTGATTGAACGAAATTAGACAACATTAATATCGTCCACTTTGTGAATATAGCTGTTCTATAATGCCAATTATGAAAGTCAACGTTATGAGACACTAGTTTCAATTCAGTTTGTCTTATGGGTCGTTATTTTAAATGCATCACTATTTTGGTGGTGTTGAAAGATACCTTTCAGTGGAATTCAGGAAATCAGTATCATACTATTTTGTGCTGAATAACTGGTGCACTCCTGTTACAGTAAACATATTAGGATCTCAATATACTATACAAATGATTATGCACCCACCAACCTTGTGCACATACGTGCAGTAACCAGTGAGCCACACTTATTGTGTGAAGGCTACTGATGATATAACCTGGCTCCCCAAACCTCAGTTGGTGGAGCGATATTCGAACTCACGACCCATCGGTCAAAAGTCATCTCTCCAAACCAATGAACTACAGTTGCACAATATGTCATATACAGCCTAAAATGCTTGAACCTTATCGATTAGGCTACCGAGATATGACAGGCATCTCGTGTAAAATGTTTTTGTGTATTTAATAAAACTTACAACTTATCGTTTTGAGGTACCGGGTCATCTTACTTTGTAAACTCATAACTCAGTTGTAATAATTTTGTTGTTAATCACATCCAGATAGTTTGCTCAAATAATTTGCATGCGTAAAGAAGATGAAGGTAGCTTTTCATTCCAAACCAAAGTTTCAAAATAAACATTTTTTTCTTAAATACAGGCATAAATAAACATTTGAACAAAATGTGCGGACTCATTATAAATGTTATCGCGTTCAAGGATCCCGAAAACTATTTGTCCAGTGGGATTCACAGACTAATTTCATATAGCTGTACTTAGTTTAGTTACATCAAATGACAATCACGCATACATTTTCAGCCGTAGAGCTTTTTACATCATTCACCATCAAAAGAGCAATAGAAGACCTTGATCATGTATAGTCAGCTACCAATCTCAGCATAATGACTTGTTGGTTGAGTGTTTTGAAAATGTATAAGCACAGACTAACAAAATGGTTTTATTTGAGCTATTCCAAAACAAATTATCTGGCTGCTGTTGATGTGTTTCGTCAATTTTTCATGAACCCCTACTGATATATACCTATGAGTTGTTTGTTAATGCTTATATTTTACCATCAATTAGTACAGAAGACCAGATTGATCGGTCTGTCTTGGCATGTAGGTTTCTTGAACATATGCTCTGATATTCTCTTAAGGTTTATTTTGATGTGATTTCCTTGGTGTAATAGTTCCGTAGATGGGCACTTCACAGCCTATTTGAGATTCTTCAGTTGGATGTGTCTGTATTCCAGTGAGTCGAAGTGTTCCAACTGACACCTCAACCCGGTGTTTGAAGCAGTCAGTAGTGGGTTTACGGTTCATTGAAAGAAGTGGACTATTGTAGGGTTATCAGAAGATCATGTTGACAAATGTTATCTAAGCTGCAAAAACTATCCACAATGATATGATATTAAAGGCGCTTCTAGAGAATAGAACAGACTACTAAATGTCCACTGTGTATGATTGCTGTTCTTTAGTTCTACATAATTGTAGACTGGATTGCAGCTGATGGTATTTTTCCCACTGTTGTAGATTCTGTTGGGAGATTAATTCAGATGATCAAACTGAGCTAGAAGTCAATCCAAACAAAGGCATTTTATTACCGTATGAAATACAAGTAAGTTAACTGTGAATTATATTGCTTCTTCATCCAACCGATAAATGACTGAAGGGTAAACCTTACTTAATTAACTTCCACCGAACATACGAAACAGTTTTCAGTTAGTTTGTTTGTGCCCAAATTAAAATGATACTTGGTGGATGATCAATTAGCAAATTGTTTACGAATTTCACTGTTTGCTTCAATATTTCTCACACATAGGTAGTTTTCCAACTGCTTTTCATTGTGTCGACAGGATTTATATTGAAAAACACGAAGGCCAGATTATGAAGTATGATTACTGACATAAAAGTGTCATGAACTAATAAAGCATACTACTGATCACCACTAAAATGTTTCCCATGGGTAACTAGGAGTATCATGTTAACACTACCACCCCTATGGAAATTGAAGGATTCGGAAAACGACAGCTTCAAAAATAGCACACTTTCCATTACCTTATGGTTTCCTGGTCCCGGCGGAATGTGTCTTCTGGCTGGATTTCATAAAGTCAAAGCTAAATCTCCATTTTCCTAAATGTTTATGTGTGACTAGCCTCAAGCAGATGTCTATTAGGCTTTACGGTCAAGCACCACCATTACTAGTCCGATTACCTTTTCAGTCACGTCAAGCAAAAGTAACCTTCCATGGTCATATCTTATCATAATATGAGCAATAAAATCTGCCCGAACAATCAACTAGTTGCTAATAGTATATCATTGTATGCTATATCAAAAATACTAATCCAAGTGGTATGGACCATGACGACCACTTCATTTACTAGATTTTGCCAGCTAATTTCTATAGGAATAAACGACTCTAAAGCACAGTAATAATTTTCTGGTTCATTCATCACTGCTATGTATAATCCCATGGAAAGGGATTTATCAATCGGTGGAAATGAACAAGTAATTTGGTACTCATTATGATATTAAGGATACTTATTACATGGTAGACGTTATGTTGAGTGGATAAAAAGCAAAAATCAAGAGTTCCCTCACTTTGCTGGTGAATTTCCAAGTTCTAAATTTCATGACCTTACAATTAGCTGTCATTTTAATAGTCATTCAAATCGGCGCCTCCAATAATTTAATTTGATGAACATGTACTGAAACAATAAACCAGGGTGAATAGCAATTTCAGTCAGTAGTAATGACTGTGCATCCTAATCGTATGATGGTGTCAGTTAGTTAATTCTCAGTCGTTTTTCATATGTAATTACTTGATGGAATTGTAAAAATCTATGGACAAGTGGCTAAAGCTATGATGAACGATTTTTATGACACCGTAGTTCATACTGATGCTTATGGTGCGGATGGTTGTGGGCCAAGATTGATGACCAGCATCACTTTCATTAGTCCGGTTTAAAGGACAATATGTAGATGGTAAATCTGGAAATATTTCATCACATGTTATATAAATCGTAAGAGGTGTTTTTTTTATAACACTAACATTTTCATCAAGTGCAGTAGCACTTTGTATCACTGATATCATAATGATAACTGTTTACACAAAGTAAATTTTTGCAGGTTACTGACATGAGACTCGAAAGTAGCCTCAAGCAAGTCAGTACCACTGTATCACTTCATGCTATATTGAGGACTATGCTCTGACACAGTTCCTAAGTTCTGCCCTCAAAATTAACGAAAACACTACTTTTGTCCAGTAATCGCTTTGTTATGTTTTCTGCTTTGTAGTCACAAATTTGGTTATTCCATCCGAAACAAATAGCTAATCGTATCTTCAAGCCGCGCCTTATCTACTGTCGATCAAACAACTCGAAACAATCTATTCAACATATATCCAAAAGGTATTCACATGAAGTGAAACAACACAGCTTACGTGTAATTACCATGTCTGATAAAGTTCAGCTGTTTACAGATCCGGAGACAATAACTTGCCAACCAATGTTAGTGAACACTTCAACAAGGCATAAAGTCAATTTTCATAATCTTAGTTTGGTAAGTTTGCCAGATAAAATTAATGTACACGACACTTATTCTAACAGTGGTTGCAGATAATTAAAAATAAGTTGACTTTTTTCTTTTTGTAGTTGGCTAATAAACGAGACCTTATTTAGGTATATTCATTATAAATCCGGTTTCCTTCATAGCACATTTGAAATACATAATGCGGATTCAGTTTGACAAAGTTGAAGTAATATTTCTTTCATACAACTAGTCGAAAAATACCGAAATGCGAAATCTCGCATTCACTGGCGAATGAATGTGACTTTTTTAAACTGCACTACATAGCTGAAATTGAAGGTCATCAAAATGTTACGATACTGGGATGAGTAAAAACTAGATGCAAAGGAAATAAACAAAAACTGAGAAACACTTCAGGATCTTGAAGAAGACGAATAGTAAATGTATGCACACCTTTATAAGATACTTTGAAAAGGGTAACTTCGAGTTTCCACCCACTACATTTCAACTCTGATAAAATTACCTAGAACAATATGCAGCGTACTTATGAAATGTTCTCTTGTGTTCATTTTTTAATATTTCCCGTCATCCATCTTGATCTAGAATATGCAGATGACACTGTCCAGTTAGGTGAAGACGCTTACAAGATGCAGTCTTCTGAACACTTTGAATGGCAATCTGAGAATGTTTGGGATGCGTTTCTCACCATCCAAATGCAAATTGTTGCTCCATGATTGGTCTTCAACGGTGCCCCACCGTGGCTAACAATACAGAGTGTGGTGGTTGAGTGTGTCGACCACTTCACTTACTTGGGAAGTAGGATCAGCCCTACACTAGTGGCTCAGTGGCCGATGAAATCTCGGCAAAGATACAAAAGGCTCGACTGCCTTTCGCCACCTATAATGCCGCCGTGATATACAGTTGTGTATTAAGGGTCGCGTATACTGCACTGCAGTCCGCTCTGTTCTACTGTATGGCTGTGAAACATGGCCATTGAAAGTGGAAGATATAAGAAGGCTTCAGGTGTTTGACCACCGTTGCCTTCGTAGTATAGGCCGTATTCCGTGGTGTCACCACCTAACGCAGACGTCAGATGTAGAGTTTTAGGGAGAAAAGGGAAATCAGTTGACGAGGTTATGAAGCTTCATCGACTGAGATGGTTGGGACGTGTGTTACGTATGTCTAGTCGCCGATTGCCTCGTCACACAATGTCGGCCGAAGTAGGTTGAGGCTGGAAAAAGGCCCGAGGTGGTCAGACTAAAACATGGCACCAATGTATGAAGTCTTTGGCTGTTGGTTTAAGCCATGTAGGGTGATGCAGACTAGGTGGTTGGGGTCCGCAGGACAAGAGGAACCAGTGATTGGAGACTCTAGATGATATGGCTCAGAACCGACGTCAGTGGCACAGATGTATACACACATTATCCTCATCTTAACAACGCTATACCGAATCTCACCATTTTGTCACTCCTTTTTCCCTTCTTCTCGTACTTTATATTTCTTTTGACTGCATTCACTTATCTTCATCCTTCACCTCACTACCTTTTTACTTGATGTACTGATATGAGGTGTGGCAACTCGGACCGTCACGCAGTAACGCCTGGTCGTAGGTTTATCTGGATGGATCCATCCTGAAAGGATACTTTTCACTCCAGTACTACATTAGAGTGGAACCTGGAAGAAAGGTGTATCAATTGAAGTCGTCATTGTTTAAAGTCTAGTCAAAAAGAATGACATAAGAGTAGACAAGAAGGTATGAGAAGAGAGAAAAGAAGTAATTGAGAATTCATAAAAAGTTTTAAATTTCGGAATACGAGAAACGGTGCATACATTCACTATTTTGATTCACATCATAAAAAACTTATGAACATTGATTTCTTACCTCTTCAGGATCTATGTCACGTAGCTTATATATCCTTAGAGGACTCAGACCAGTAGTCAGATACTTAATAGACAGTTTCCACGTCTTATGTTAAATATAACCCAGCATTGGTGTTTACCTACTAGGCTTTGAGTTATACACGCTGAATGAGGAAACTTTGATCGTGACCACACAACAAAATGATCAGTAGATTTCCATCAGCATTTAGGACTAGGAAATATGAAGTTGGTAACTCTAGTAACCAAACAATGTACCTTATCTGGTTGCACAGAAAGTAAGACTCGGCATAAATAACTCAGTTGAAACGCGATTGACCGCGATGCTGTTTAATGCGAGTTTGAATCTCTGAGATGACATCATTCTTCTTAAGGTTGCACGTCTTACTGACGAATGTTGACAAGCACAACTTCCTCTAACCAACTAACGACTTACGACATTATTTAGTTGGGCAATCTAGTCTGAGTATGTAGAGATATGAACCCGTAACCCATGATTTGACAATCAAATATTTGAGGTAATGAGCAACAATCCCATAAACTCCAGGTGTATAGATCTTCACTTATGTCAAGGATGATCTAATTTATGAGAAAGTTTCATTTTAGCTTGATTTTAATTCAGCGAACCCATAGTCTACTAACTAAGCTCTAAAATTCACCTGAAGACCAATTATTATTTTCATTCACTCTCTGGGTCGAGCTTGCATTTTATTTTTATCACTAATAGATATACAGCCATTCTTTCTTCATCACTTTACTCGCTCCTCTAGATCTTATTCGAGAAATATTCTCAAACGTAATCTATTTATTTCAAAATATTTATTGTCAAGCGGCACACAGCTTAATGTTGATTAAAACATTTATATTTCTCAACTACTTTTCTTTACAGGTATCTACTAATTTCTGTTCAGTAATTAAACCACTTACAAATGTAGAGGAAAACGAGTTAAAACTGGATGAATTTATAACTATTGAATCTTCTGACAATTGGATAAGTGGACATTCCACAAAATCCATTACAATTCATATCTGTCCTAAATCAAGAGGAAATTTTTGTTTTCAATTATTTTATCGTTTGTATACTGCAGAGAAGAGTAGCAGTCAGAAGAAATCATATGGTAATGGAGAAATGGAAATAAAACCAGGTTGCTATAAATGTTTATTTACTGTAAACTTCGGTTCTATTGTTAAACTATAAGATATACTTTTACACTTACAACTGAATAGGTTTTACGGTTCCAATCAACATACATAATAGCCTTGAGCAACACTGAATGCCACTACAAACTACACTGTCATCAGTTGATGATGTTTACGTTCAAAACAACGGGGAGAGAAGGGAAAATAACCGATATATTTACAAACACCGTTAACGCTAGTCGTAATAGGAATGTACACACCAGTATTTGGATCTGGGAATTCCTGTAAATACATTAGAGATCTCTAGAAGGTTATTCTAGTAATGAGGTTTCGTACTTATCAGAATTCTTCAACAAAGTTCAAGACGCTCTGTCGATTCACTGCAATCACTTGACATAAATCAATCAGCAAAAGCTCCACTTCACACTTAACACGGTCATTACCCACGCTTTGTTGAAACTGCTTCTTTTTTATCGTTAAGGTAAATAGAGTAATTCCTAAACGTGATAAGATGGTTCAAGCACTTCACTGTTGTATTCTGGTGGATTTTTATATTAATGAGATACGATTCCTGGAGTTTATTAGGGGAATACAACCACTTCTTCACATTAATGTACATAAAATTGACTGATATAATAACACCCTTATTTGTATTCACCTTTTAAACAAACATAATGCTTCCTGTCTTGAGGTAGTGTTCTAACCAGTTGATGCTAAGAAATGTCTTTTGACTGTCTTTCTCCAACTTATGGCATCTGTGGCTTTGCTACGACATTCAGCTGTCTCCTAAGAGTCAAGTATACTACACTGAAGCTCATTGTCTTCTACTATGTAACTGTGAAACATGACCATAAAAGGTAGAGGACACGAGATTTGAGGTGTTTCACACTCCATTTCTACGTAGTATGACTAGTGTGTCGTTATATTACTACATCAGTTATGTAGAAGTTGTGTGTATAGTTTTATGGAGGAGAGGAAATTCACTTGATATAGCTGTGAACTTTAGTCGAGTGAAGTGACTGGGACACGTGCTAAGTAAGCCTAGTCACCGTCTGCGTCTTTACACAATGTTGGCTGAAGTAAGTTAGGCGTGAAAAAGGGCCTGAGGAGGCCAGAAATAAAAGTGGCATCATTGTATGAAGTCTTTGTCTGTTGGTCTGAGTCGTACAGGGCAGTGTTGACTTCATGGCTGGAGGATGTGTGATAAGAGGAACTAGTGGTTGGAGACTAAGTGATATGGCTTAGAACTGATATTAGTAATGCAGATGTACCAATGCATTATCTTCAAGCTAATCATCAAAAAGCGTCCAATGTTTTCTTATTCCTCCTTGTTCTCTTATACTGCTTTCTATTGCTTTTGACCGTTTCTTCTCTATTTCTTTATCTTTCATTATATTGTTTCGTTACTTGGTGTGCTGACATGACCTGTTGCAACTTGGAAGCCTTTGCCATAATCCCTGATCCTATTTTTATGTTGATGATGTAGTTCAAATTAATTTATTATACATCTATTATAGGCAGGCAAATGACATCAACATAAAACCTATTACTGAAGTATACCTGTACAAACTGCCACACGTCACAGCAGTAATTAGAAAAAGTTTAATATCACAGTAGTCAGATTATCGATAATTTCCTTTCCTTCTCAAATTATTAGTATCAAAAAGATGATAAACTGAGTACAAATATTTTTTTAAACGTTCACCCTAGCATAATGCCATTTTTATCAACTGTTTTAAAATGAACAATCAATTCCGACAGTTACTGTTATCAACGATCTCCGAACCACAATTCATTGAAAGTTATCATCCTTATTAAAACGTAAAACAAAGATTTCACTGAATGAAATTTCTTTTCAGAATAATTTCATTTCCAAAAGCTGTACAATCGCATTTATATACAAGTTGAAGTTAGATTCTATCAAATTTGCTTGTATTCTTGTTTCATTGTTACAACAAGTGAAACCATGAAGTGTATTGATGTAAGAATAATATTTCATGAATTATCGAATCAATCTGGACCTATCGGAAAGTAAAGGTCAGGGAAGCAAGATAAGTAATTGAATGAATACTCAGTTGTTGGCTTTCAGGGATTCATTGTTTTGAAAGTAATTATCTTCGTGTATGACACCAGTAGGGGATCTACTGAAGACCTGAGAATACTGAACAGCTGGTCAAGTTCCCCGACAGTCAGGTCTCATGGCGAATGCATCACCACCCAATCTCTGAGTTGCAATTCGAGAAGAAGTAAAGATAACCGATAAAAGGAGATTATCATGATGTTCAGAATTTCAGAAATGGTACAGACTAAACATACTTTCTCTGCCGTAATCTAGTTTGGTATGTACCACCAATAACCTCCAAATATTGGTCTTTATTTCTTCTTCTTCTTCTTCTAAATATACCGTCATCACAAATGGTTATTGAATAAGAGTATTGATACCATGTCTTTATATTTGTACTTTGGCTTCGATTAGTATGTATCACAGGTGTTTTCGCGGTGCACTAACCCTTTGAAAGAAAATCTGATATCTCATATTTACCAGGAACGTCAAAAGTTACCAAAAACTAAATACGAATACTAGGAAGGTGTTTGCTGCCACTGGGGATCTCCTCAATACCTTGTATCCACAAATCTATTAAGAATCAGCCAGCCCAGCCGATATACTTATGTGCGAGGTTCTACGCTGGTTTTGTCAGTCAATCCCTTTGGCATTCAATGAACATGCAATCATTTAATTGCTGAGCAGATATTTAAGGATTGATAAAGAGCAACCATTTTCAATGTTATTGCTGCTGGCCTAATAACCAAACGACAAGTTTTCAGATTTAACAGTTTTATCTAACATATTGTCGCATTTTTTATTTGGATGAGAAGCTTTTATCACAGGTGACAGTAATCTGGAAAGATTATGCTAAAAAAGCTTAGTCGTTTGGATGAAATCTTCTCATTCGGAAGACATAAATCGATGAGCAGACTAGTAGCAAAAGCATTCTGAATAAAAATATTTTCAGTATTTAGAAGGAGAAAGAATGTTGATAAAACTGCTCCATCGTTATGGTGTTTTCAGTCGTGTCCTTTACTATCTTCAACAACTGATTTCTTATAATTTTTCAGCATTGACATAGTCTTAGTACAGGGTTGTCATTTCCCCTTTCAGTTGATTCTGACAGTAAGCGATCACAAAAACCCTGGATACTTTTTATCCTTTTCATAGTTCATTCTCAACCAAGTGCTCATTAGGGAGTTGTGTTGTATGCTATCAGAAAACAGAGGTATCTTTTTGTCTGAATCGTTACCTATATGTCGTCATTTTCTCTATTCACTTCTTTTAGATACTCAACGTAAATACCTAACCGATGATATATTAGCTGTGACAATATTTGTTGAAGCTGTTTACCCTACTCTACGAATTACTGATATCCATGGATCAGGTAGTTTGAACAGTATCAGCCCTGTTGAATTGTGGAGAGATTTGGATATAGACAGGTTTGAGTATAAATATTTCTCAATCATCAGATAAATTAATTTTTTCGAAATGTGCGACTAATTATTCGGAATAGATGCTCTAAGAAGCATTGAAAAGATAATTTTACCTAGAGAGTGTGACTGAGTTTCATCCTGAATGGTTATTTTTTTACCGCATGAAAGTCAGTATATTACAATGTTATATACATATATGTACGACTGCTAAGTGTTATAATATGCTGTTGTTTGGTTGGAGGCGATCGGCAGGAAATCCTGGACCTAGGTTCCGTGGCTTTTGAGACTCGTCAGTCGGCGAAGCATTCCCGCAGCTTTGGGGGAACTGATTTTCTAGATTAGATTTAATCTGACGCCATTCAGTGTAGTAGTCAAAGAGGTTACCAATGAACTGTTGGCAAGATATTCAGTAGTGATGTGGGTCCCAATTTCACAGGAGACATAAGTCCCGTCGAGGTTGCAGATATTCCTTGCTGGCTGACAAGTGTCAATAAAAATGAAACCTAGATCCAGAGTAGGCTGCCAAATGCCTCCAACCAGCTAACATTTACCTAAGTGCACCACGATGATGAGTCTCTCGGACTAGTGACCACATTGTGAGATAATAATATAGCATCTGGTTGGCACTCAGCACAAGATAACATGAAATTGGTTACTTTCCAGTGACTAACAGTGTCATATGCTGTTTATTTAGTCAGTAACTGACTTTACTTTTCCAAAGTGAATCGTCTCATATGGACTAATTCGTAGTTGATGTCGTTTTGGCCGGTATGTGAGCATCATAGTTAACTGACTTAAAACTATAACATTTTATGACCAATAAACTATTTCATACTCTGTATATCAATCATGTTTGATGATGTAGAATTTCAGGGAACGCCGAAAGTTAACGGCATGAAAAACATTGATCTAGTTTGGTAAGCCTTTAACTGACGTCTTAGATTTGGTAGAACTGTAAAATATACTTTTCCAAAATAAAACAGATTACCATTTTTTGCAGTAACCGAAGGATGTGTGTTCGCTACATGAATGACTCCAAGATTTAGCATTTAAGACCTAGAATCCTGTGAAGGTGACAGGTTTGTAAAGTATCCTTCAGGGACAACCGAACCGAATTTCGTAGTCATCTACTGATCACTACAAAAATATCAAACCCATATTACACCGCCGTGATGTGTTACTTATCTTATTTGATGTACTACACTCCTTAGTCAGAAAAATTCAATTAATACTTAATATTGCCAAATCAGCGTAGCTCACAATCGATTAGGCAGACAGATAGGTAGACAGACTTACAAAAAAAAGACGTAGAGGTTCACATAAAAGTGTATCAGTTGATCTCGACACATCACAGCAATATGAAAAGCAGAAGTAGATGTCAGGAGAATGACACCGAAGCGTACGAAAGAGGGGATATATATATCAAGCTTACTGTAAATTTTTAGCATGACAAAAAATATATACACTTGTACCATTGAGCTATATCACCCAAGTCTTAAACTACTAATACTTATTATTTCCAGGACTATAGCGGGAAAGCCTACATCTCTATACAACAACTAATGATTGACTTTTATTCATGATGTTCTAAAAGGATGTCTGGTGTAAATAAATAAATAGGCAAAATTACAAAAATCTTCTACACTGCAGTTATAATTGATGAAGAAGGTATATTTCACAACTTTACTAAATACCAGGCCAACTTTCATGGTAAAAATCCCTGTTTGACCTAGGCCTATGCTACCTGAACCACAGATATAGGGTATTTAACTGCAGCATTGCACGATTTGAACCCATATCTTTAAGGGGATGTCAGTTTGTTCATGGTTATAAAAACGTCTTGCTGAAGACTGCAAGCAAGTGAACAATAATTCTTGGCTCAGGGATTTCTATCCATTGCTTCCAACTACCGCCAGTCAATCAAACTGTTCCTTGAAGATAAGTCTAATAGTTGAGTCACCCTATTTCAGACTTCATCGACATAATTTCGCAAGGACCTAGAACAATATAACATGAAATTTCTTACTCTGTGGTGATTCATTCACAGTAACATCAGTTCTGTTAATCCAATCCACTGACAGATTACGTCTAAAAGTGACTGATTTAAGTTTTATCACTGTATGGAAATTTTATTTACCTCTATTGTATAAAGTTTTGGAATCGTGCCTGGAGAATGTCAGCTTTCATTCCATAATCTCTGTAACACCCGATGGTTACTTCATAATTAGCCTTTAAATGTTTCTTACATATTCATCAAAGGTTTCATATGTAAATATCTCTCTTCTCGGTCCCTACTGCTTATTATACAAAACAGTTCAAATTACCACTGTTTTATTGACAACAATTTAGCGATGAATCAGTTAACAGCTACTGAAATAATTATGCTTCTGATTGGAAGAGCCTATTTATTTCCTGCTTTATCACTTCATTTTCCAATTTTAGTCTAAATGCCAGTTTGGAAACTGATCCTACAGAAAACGAATTAAGAGACACAATCAATACTCGTCCACTGTATCGAGATCATCCAAATTCAGTAAACACTCGTGGACCAGAGTTTAGTATGCTCATTGGAACATCAACGGTTATTAAAAACGGTGAAGTGAATAACTCTAAGGCATTATTATGCCTACTTATTGAAAACTCAGGTCTAGTAGATGTAGAATTCGCCTTTTTATTTCCTGAAGATTTACTCATTGAACTACCTTCGTGGGCTGAAAGTGGACATTATGAAGCTATAGAACTTCAACATGTAATCATGCTGAAATTATTTGTTTTTCTCTAAACTTTGTGTTACATTTTTAGTTGTAGGGGAGGTGACGAATACTTCCAGATAAGTAAAGATAACTCAACTGACTTGTTCTTGTAATGAATCTAGGATTCTGCATAAATTAGCTTTCTTATAATTACCAGAAAAGTTTTCAGTTTTTGTCAATTATCTCAAATATCATGTATCACATAGTCACATTTTGTGTAGGAGATCTAAACTTAGCGCTTGAGTGATACACAAGATTATCTTTGGAATACACTAACATAAATAGCAGATTGAATCTAAGATTCATAAAGTATCTGAACCTCAAGTTTCGGGATGTCACACCTTCAAAATGGCAGTCACAAGAAGATGTTTCGTTTAAACAATTAAACTACAAATAAAAATATAAAACATTCTGAAGATAAATAAATATTATGTGACTGTGTCAAACTAGTAGGATAGGAAGCGAAGGGGTCAAAAAGTAGTGGAAGACCAACCAGCTTTAGAAAGAAATCGTGCTTGAAAAATTCCTTAACACTCTGAAAACCTTTAGGCTGACCAAATAACTGTAAGATTATTATGCTATTTAGCAGTAATAAATAGTAGTAAACGAAAAGTGAAAAGAAATGTAGGTATAGATATGAGATGAATAAGATGGCAGGAAAAACGATTCAATTATCACCACCTGTGAACTATTTATTTTCAGTAAACAAATCATGGAACTAGCAAATTGAAAACTGATGTCTACAGAAGCTGAACAGGCTTGCCTATAGCTGATTAGATGGTGACTGCAAGATTATTCCTTCAGGTCCTACTATGTCAAAAGGATTTGTTGGATAAGTGGAAGAGCGAAGGAAGTTTCGGCCAAAGCTCGAATAACCCAGGCTATAGTGTGCAAAATACTACTGCTGTCTGTATCAGCAACAAGTTTTTCTCGCAGTTAACTTCTCTTGCTGTTTAGTCATCTTATGCTGTGAAGATCAAAATGACAGAAGCCAGTTTAACACCATTTCTAGTCCGTAAAAACCACGCTGCCGATTTCACCTTCCGCAAAGTCAAACAACTAACATCTCTTCCCAAGATTCTAGAATCTGAAGTCATAGGTGTGTACTGTACTTCTGAGATAAGCATATAGGAGACAGGCGAGGTTACTCACTTGACGCCACTTTGCCAACGTAATCAGTTTACAAAATTCACCTTACTTATTTCCGGCTAATCAACGGCTAGCTCTCCTGGTCTGGCTGGTGTAGATATAAAAATGAACTGTGGAGCAGAAAGTACACTTCTCGACTGAATACTTGTCAATAGCCGCTTATACACTGTACTACTGGATGAATCTGTAAGAACTAGTAAGGATCTAGCTGATGTCCATTCGCAATATCCGTCTGCGCTCCCACCGACTGCAGTTTGGATGATTCAAAGGATGAGGTCTATCAAAAGCTGTCAACTTTGCTTCCGAATGCGAGACGTTCAGATGTAATCATAATGGTAGATGACTCTAACGCTTAAGTAGGAAAGCCGAGCTAGTCACAACGACATCTTTGAAGTATTTATGGAATTTCATGCCAACTAACCATAAGTGGTGATAGTCAGTTGCAGTTTTGTTCTGATACTAATTTCAGGCATAAGGACAAGCAATGTCTCACATGGCACTCTCCGAAATCAAACCAACGGTCCAGATAGGTAGATCATATTGCTGTAAGCCATCACTGGAGGGGATCAGAGGAGGATTACTGCTCTTTCTGGAGTGCATGTTGGACTGCGACCAGGCAATAACCCGAACATGCATGCGTACATCCTGATGAAATCATTAAGCAAACGGAAGTAAGGCAGTTCTTTTTTAGCCAAAAAAGCAAATATCAATCCTGGGCTTAAGATATTGATGGCTCAGCACAGCAGTAATTTTACCGTAATGTAGAAATATCGGAAAAAACAGTTGGTAACCCCACAAAACAAGGCTATTGGAGAAAGTGGATCTGTACAATCTACTCTGATCTAACTGATATTAGAAAACTTATTTAAGCTGGCTCTTATCACAGTGAAGAGGATAGCAGCTTAAGTGTAAAATGACTTAAACTTTCATGGTGAACATCGGTAGAGGTGCATAACAATGGTGGGGGTGAAGAAGATAACGTTCATAGTTGACTCCCGACAATTATTTAGACATATCAAATGACCAGCTAGGAAACGTCTATGACCAAAGAAAATATCATCTATAAAGACCAATCTCTAATGATGTATCAAGACAGGCTATTGAAAGTTTTTGGGAAATTATGAAAGACGGTTAAACTGACTCCAATCGAAATCCAGCTTTACTTCGCTAATTAGTGAGGACTGCATGCCTCAATACACTGTTCTTTCTCCTTTTCTTTTGCTTTTTGTATGATTTATATTCTTCAAATCACCTGGCAATATCCATTCTGGTCATCTCATCTTCAGATTGTGATAACTTCTTGGTGGATACTGGACACTGATCTGCCCTAAACGGCCTCATACTTCATCCTTCCAAGTTTCAGGTAGTTAGATTTGGGTTAAGATGTCAACAAGGCTTGTGCTGACCATATTAGCCCCATGAATTTTGTGTCATCCTTGGCTCTATAGAGCATAATGTATCTGGTGTGACTTTTGTTTTTCTTCTGAATCTTCTACTGACTGGGTGATTAGATCGTTGGAAAGATTCATCGGAGGATGAAATAGGTATTCACTCCAGCATTCCAGGCTGCAAACTCAGTCACGCGATATGAAACACATTTACATATAAATGCTGAACCGGGGACACTGGGAGGATTAAGATGGACTATCACTCGTTTCATCGAACATCGTAACAGATCTTAGTTGGTCAGTGAATAGTAAATTCATTTATTTGTTTGGAAATATATATAGACGTTATGAATTCAGCGAACTTGAACTTCAATAAAACGAGGTTTTCTGAAAATGGATAAAAGCGGGAAGTATACCCCTAATGATATAAATACCTCGAAGGATATAAGTGTAAAACTTGGGCACTGTGATAGAATTTAATTCCATATTCGATTTTTTTTGTTTGGTTTAAAACACATTGATAAAGTACTATCTAACTTATAACGTTTCGAGCATAAATTATTGCTCATAATTATATGAATGTAATCGCACCACTTTCAGCAATCAATTTTTATATTCATATCACCTCATATGATTTGTTTCTGTTGGTAGTAAAAATTTCTATATCTCTGGTACAGGTGTTGCATCATTTCTACTACATGTGTTGGATGTTGATTTGATGAGCAAAGATTCTGTGATCAATCTCTCTCTGTACCTAATTATATTGGATTCCAATACAGTGGTTTTATCCCACTCAGCCTATCGTGTGGTTGTGTGTTAATGCATGCATTAAATTAGCCGTGTTTTTCTAGATTATTGATCTTATTCGGGTTTGTCATTCTATGTTCAGCTAAATTCCCATGTTCCGTTAATCTAACTGACCCCAACCAGGTACTTTCACCTATGTTCTTGACTTCGCAGTCATTACATGGAATTAGATAGATTAGATTATTTTGCTTAATTGGTTCTATCGGACCCTTAAAGGGGCAAAGCTTATCTCTGAGTGAGTTTGTAGGTTTAAATGCCACCCTATTTCCATCTATGTTGAGGATCCTACGTAAAGTTTCTGATGTACCTCCCTTAAAGGGTAACAAAATAGAGGCTGTGAACGTCTTTCTATTTGTGTTGTTGTTATTATTTCGTTTCTTGTTTGTTCGTACAAATTTCTAATAAACCTGTATATGACTTTCCAGAAACTATAAGGCTTCATTGTTGAAAGATGGATGGCATTAGAAGGATGTAGACTTGTGATCAAAGATGTCCTTGATTCACTGTATAATTTCAGGGGAATGCTGTAATGTGCATATTCTACAATACTTTTATGATCAGAGTTGTGTTTCAATATATTCAATAGCTTTATTTTCTTTTTATAGATGCATATTGAAAATCATTCACTGTTTGATATTCATCCAAAACGAACTTTATTAAAACCTGGAGAATACTGTGAAGTTATGATTACATATAATCATAATTTGGCTGGTTGTCATCAGTTGCCGGTACTTTTAAAAATCAATGGTGGTCGAGAAATCAAGGTAAACATTTTCTCTCCCGTTCATATTTCCGTACACAAATACTTGTATTTTTGACGGCATTTATATGTATTCTTTGAGGTTGAATTTCGACCTGCAAACGTTCAGCTGTCAGAATGGATGCATTTTACTAAATGCTGATACTATTTTGAGGTATAGTTTCTTGCTAATTTATTCTCATAGAAAGTGATTCAAAGTGATTTACCAGTGACTTATTTTAAGATAAAGTTTCAAAAGTTCTAATGAGAGTTTCGAGACGTTCATGATAAATTGAGTCATTAGTTGGGATGGGTGATATAAGCTGATGGTGGCGCGCTATCATAAATCGATTCAATATCACAGAGTCACTTATATGATTTTGAACAATAATATTGCAGGAAAGTTTTATAAGTGAACAGTGACATATTAATAAAATGCCTTACATGGTACGGAGTCGAATCTTGTTTTTCTTCGAAATAAACATCTATGTGTTTAATGAAAGCATTCATGTCTTTCTAAATAGTTCATAACTGTAAGTTATTCATCCCTAGTATTATTTACGGTAAGTTACTCAGTCGAAAAAAGTACTCACCACTGTGTAGCGTTTTTATTGTTCAAGGTTGTGAATATACGAAAGAAGATCTAGTAGTTTTTATATGTAGATAAGTATTACTGGCACCAAAAAAGAAAAAAAATGGAAGAATTGTTGTTCATTGAATAATTTTACTTAAGTATTTTAATTTGATAATTGAAAATATCCCTCGACTGTTCATTTTGCAACATCTTTGATTAGTTTCTATGTGATTTTTCTACAAAATACTAATTAAATCTGATTTTAATGTGTTTAGATTGTGAGAAAGTCTAAAGTAAAATTGCATCGATCACTTTTAAACGCTTTATTAAACAGTTCAATGTCTAGCTTAATGCTGAAAAACCTACAGTTCATTAGGCATTCACTGACTATCAGCTATCTCTTGTGTTTACTAGATAATGATAAATAACTTCCGAAAGACCATGCATTATCAGCCATTGTGTGCTTTTTCATACACTAGATAGCGAGCCACGCTTACTATGTGAAGTCTAATGACGTTACCTGACTGTATAAGCGGGATACGTATCGGTGATCCAACCTTTGAAAGTTGACTACTTATGCGAATAAGCCGCAATCACACTAACCTTAACAGTTGTACTCTTGTAATAAATAATTTCTAGTCAATATCTACTGCTTTGAGTTAAGCATGTTGATTGAAGCTACTTGTGTACAGTAATCGAAACTTTATAAAGCAACAAGTTTAGCTCCCAAGTGATATGACTCAAGACTAATCACATTCATGTAAATGTATTCACTAAGAATTACCTTTAGAATTCAGAATATTTTGTTGATTTCTGTGCATTTATTCACCCACACAAAACTCTTTAGTCACGGGCACTTTATTTCATGATTTTGCTTTCCATTCTAGTCTGTTTATTAGAAATGTCACAGTGAAACAGTAGCATTTACTGGATAACGTCTCACTGTGACACTTCTAATAAACGGATTAAAATGGGATTACAATCTATCATAGTGCCCAAGTTTTACTCCTTAATTATAAAATGAACGTAGTTATGGGTCACTGGTTAAGTGAATTTTTATTTTGATTAAGATTGATTTCATCTTTCGTTGTATTTATTTATGGTAGGGCAGTGGTCATTATTCTTTGCTTAAACGTTTCGTCATATCAGGAACCTTGTGAGCAGTTATCATATGGTAACAATATCCTTTCAAATTCAGACATATCGTTATTCATTCACTATTAAATCACTTTTTACAAGCCACATTAATGCTATTTGCAAGTAAACAATTTAGCCTTTAAATATTATTTGACATTACATTCTGCTTTACATAACTGGTAGAAATTTGACATTTGTGGTGTACAGCTTACTTTAATAAGTTAATTTATGTTTTGTTGCATTATAATTAATTTGTAAATTATAAATTATAAAAGAAGTCTCGTCATGGCTTTATTTTTAAGGGCTACCAGACTACATTCCAAGGAAGTCATCGAAAATGAACTAGATACTATACAAAAGCTTTTTTACATACTGGATATCGCATAAACTTCATTAATAAACACTTTAAACCTAAAAATGAGAAATTAAGTGCCAAAAAAGAACGTATTCACAAGGCTACCATTCAAAAGCAATGAAGTGAGTTCACAAAACAATCGCTGACTGAATGTCTGCATCGGACTAACTTATCCAGCTGCGAAATCAACAGCAAGAAGAATATGATCAGAGAAACTAATTTAGATGGGGGGCCTTTTCATGTTACTTCCAATTGCATTTGTTTATTCACCTGTACTTCCAGTAACATATATGCTGGAAGGACAGAGAGGGTCCTTACTGAACAAATCTCTGAAAGTGTCCTGAAAAGCTTGTCATTGAGAGGTGGAAGGCTGCCAAGCACCACCAGTGGCAAGCAAATTCTCGATACAAGTCATACCGTCGACTCAAACATAGCTTTTAAGGTAATCAGTAGACAAAGAAATAGTAGGTTGCTACGTTATCCAGAAGCAGCAGCAATCTGTCGATTAAAACCAGACTTATGTGTACATAAGGAGCTTCTGGTTCATCTTGCATTTCCTTAGAGGGTCGTTCTTTTCCTACAGCTTTATTTACCATTTAATTCTTTCATCTTATTGTCTTACATATTGTTCTCAGACATTATTAATATTGACATCATTTTCGACTTACTTTAACCCATTATATCTCTATCATGTTTGTTAGCATATGCTTTTCCATTCCTCTACCATTGATTCGTATACTTCGCGTATCATCTTCGTTGTTCTCCCTCTTCCATCGGAATTCCTACCATCCTGAGCTGCAATCGCATTCCTGTACTACTATCATATTGTATTTTGCTTTGTGTTTACCGATCGATTTTAAAGTCTGACTTGTTGTGACTTGTTCTTTGTATAGGTTGTTTAGATCTTAAACCTTATCATTCTTCTCTGTTCTCACATATATGAAGGATATATTTGGTGTTTTAAAGATGGATAGTGACTAGCAATGGAATCTAGGATGCGCATTTCGTCCTATTTGGGACTCGTAAGCTCGATGAAATGCCCATCCTGGATTCCACTGCTAGCCACTTTCCATTTTTACTATAACTAAAACAAAGGTATATTGAGGCATCTGCACAGGAGCCTATATACCAATAGAGACCGACCAATTCGGTCCAATCAGTGACGGTATAACACAAGCAATAACATTATATTTGGTGTTGTTTACTACTGAAATGTATCAAATGACTTATGCTGGGCACGGATAGCTTAGTGTATACAATTTTAAATTAATTGCCTATGTGGAAGATTTAGAGCACAAGAAATGAATTCAATTCATCCTACAATATTTGCTGTTCTTGTCTAGCAAAAATATGAACAGTGGTAAACAGCCAATCATTTCTCACCAATACATTCAATCTTAATACATACAACAATGGAGGGTTGGAGCGGATAGTAGCGTACGTAGACAAACTAAGCTCGCATTCTTTAAGCTAGACGAGGTAACATATAAAGAACAGTATATGATGTAAATTAGCGAACAATCAACAAGTTCCTAATGGATTGTTTCATTGATATTTAAAAAATGCTAGGCAAATGGACATTAAAAAAGAATCAGCAGATAATTGAGTATTTATGTTTGTTGATTTAATGAAAACATTATTCACACAGAAAAAATGTAAGCGTAACAGAACAATCAAGAACTTTTATTGAATTACATATGACCGATTTAAAGCAAATTCGATAATATGGCTTAGCTACGGGATGTGAGGAGTTGAAATATTGACTGTCATATGAATACTGATGCTACATGACATTCAAGAATGTTGGGTTTGCTGTAAATAAATCCAAAACTAATATATTATTTCATATCTACCCACCCATCCGATTTGAGCTTATCGCAGCTGTAATAACTAAGGTTTTCCATTCATATGTCCTATTAAAACTGTGAGCTCTGCTATGCTAGGTATAGGTGAATCGATATTGAAGATTTTTGACACGTAGAAATCTCTAGAACTAAGTACTAAATAAAAGCAACTGTATTTTTGAGCATTTTCAACGAAATATAATAACAGTAAACAGTTTTACTGGTTTAACAGAATCTCTCTTACTCAAAAACAAACATCAGTAGCGTAGCACTTGTGATAGTTTCTGGTCGACCCAATTTACCAAACTTCAACACTGAAAAGAAGGCAATAATAGAGAAGAATAGAATTTTAAATAATAGTGAGACGTAATTTGTCTGAATCATTTGATGTATTTGTGCAATATATTCTGACCGACCTGACCACACACTTACTTGCCATATTTATTCATATGAAAGTTTATACAGAGATGAGGGATGAGAAAAATGAAAAGAGATCAGGTTGGAAGGCCAAATGAAAGTCCAAAATAACAATAAAAATCAATAGAGCGAAAATAATACTACATTGAGCTTGGCTTCAAAGTTGAACTCACCAAGGGAGGTTTAATGTGATAGAAATTGTTTTGAACACACAAAGGCGGTTTAAAATTCCTAATACCTGAGGCCTCAGCAAATTTAAGGATCCATCCCTAACCTGTATCGTAAATACGTGCAAAGTACGTTGACATATCAATCACGTAACCTATCTTAAAGGTATGTTCCACAATCGAAGAACTTGGACGTCTGTTACCAATGTTTATGAGTTCAGGTGATTCAATTTACTGCTGAAACCACTGGAATATGCTTCAAGGCCCTCACTTGCACTGATGTATGAGTCCTTCCTATATATGTGTCACTGCACGTACACCTGAATTGCTAGGAGAGGTCATTGTTTTAAAATTTATGATGTAAATATTAACAGGTGAATAAAACAACTGAGCGAAAGAGACCCGGATAAGAAATGAGGTATATATTTTACAGAAATACTCTGACATTGTCTATATTGTCAGTGGTGTCTAATAGAACAATTTTCAGTACAAATATTTGCTAGACTATCACTTCCAAATGAGAGTCCTTAAAGAACTGGCAATCTTCTATGTTTTTTTCACCTTTGGGTAGCTAACAAAAATATGCAAATCTAAGCAGTCTGGTTTTATGGAGTGAATCATTCGAGAGAATCTGATCCTAAATACATGAAACAGTCAACTGCTTTGTCTACAGAATACTCCTCATTAGTGCTAATGGTTTGCCTCGAATTATATTTACTATATTATCCACCGTACAGCATGATAACCAGGTTGTTATGGTGACTTAGATTCTCCATATGAATTCTGATCAAATCAGACGAATATTTCACCAATACTACTTTCATTTCAACACGATACAAAAAATAAGCACTAGAGGAAAGTACAATCAAATTATAAACGAATTTGTAACTGAAGTATTTGAATTTTACACTGCCGGTATTCAACATGTTGCCGTGTAAGCCCAATGTGGCGTTCTGGATTAGAAACCCTACAATAAATGAAGATTATAATTGAAATTACGTTTGAAACTACTCATTTCACACATTGTTTGAACGCAACAATGACGACTAACGTAAGTCACACTATATAAAGCTTACATGGCAACCTGCTGGATACCAGTAGTGGATTTTAAAACAGCAAATTCAAAATGAATTGTTACTGACGCAGTCAGTCTTGTCATACATTCAACCAAACTTGAGTGGAGTTGACTGAATTGTTATCTGAGAATTTCTATCAGAATAAACTCAACCATAGAAGGAGATAATTATATCGCTTGACAACTGGTATTCGGTTTACAGTGAAGGCTAAAGAATCCCATTAGTTGCACACTGTATCCAATTTGTCTGTAGGATTGACCGGAGTATACAACAGAGATTCGAAGCAGTTTACTGTACAGGTTGCCAACAAGCATATCAAACGTACTTGAATGACTTTCTGTCGATTGTCTTTTGGTCCTAATGTCAAATGTGGTCCACTGCCAAATCGAATCACTTAACTATGTGCTTGAATTACTCTAATAAACCCTTTATCTAATAATTGTGAAGCTCAACTGTTATACAGTTGGTCATTTGTATTATTTAACAACGATACACTGTCCATAAAATTTACCGGGATGTTTCATCTTTCCCTATTACAGTTAAATATGATTGGAATTACTCTGCCTTTAAATCAGCCATATCTACAGCTTACAGATCGTAAATATGTATTTACACCGACTCCGGTTGGTTTAGGCGACTTTCGTCTTGGTTATCTGTTCCAAATGAAGCTAAGAAATCCTAGTTCAAGATGTTTGCATTTTCGTGTTAGTCATCTTGAATGGATACCTGAGAGTAAGATGAGTATAGAGGTGATGAAACGAGAAACTGATGAAAAGTACCTTGAATACGGTTTACCAATATTGTATTGTGTACAAGATCAAGGATTGATAAAATCAAATGGATTGTTTACATTGAACTGGAGATTTCGTCCTATTGAAGCGAAAACTTACACTGTGAGTCCAGAAAGCTTTTTTGTTTCATTTTATTCATATACTACTTCTACTACATATTACTTACTTCTTGACAATATTTATAGAAGACCTTAACATTTTCAATGATTATTGTAATATTTGATCTTGCTACGAGATATTATCTGGATAAACATAAACTCCCAAGAAATAACTGACATCTGTGCGATTCTAGTTTACAACTCTGTAATAAAACAGTTCCTTTCCTCGACAAAATGAAATCCTGTGAAAACAATAGTTTTAATAGAATAACATGGTTTCATTCTATTTTGGTGTTTCTCATCAACTGCTGACAGCCGAAAACAGTTTTGAAGATAAAATATACTAAAATGGTTACGTACCTAAACTTATTTGGTAGAAAGTTACCGGCATACATTAAAGACAGCACTGATGTTGCATAAAGGAATCCACAATAATCAATTAGGTAGTTATAAAGGAATCATTAATGAGTTTTTCCATTCATGGAAAGGTTTGTTGAATCTCCTAGATATGGAAACAAAAGTTGAATAACAAAAGTAGGTAAATGCATACTAGATACTAAAAAAGGTGTTAAGCAAAAATATAAAAAGGTTACATGGTGTACACTAGCTAGGAAAATAAAATGAGCAGAATTTCAAAAACAAGGTCAAGAACTGTCATAATTGACTTGGTATGAGTGGCCTGGCGGATAATGTTCTGGTGTTTGAGGTGAGGGATATGGGGTTCGAGTCCTAGTGAGGATAAAAGCACTCTCTGGGTGGGAAGAAGAAGGGGTGAAAGTACGTCCAGCTGACGAGTCCCGAACAAAATGAAACGTGCGTCCTAGATTCCACTGCTATCCACAGTCAGGTCAGTTATGACCAAATATTCAAATAATATAAAGGCATTCTCATAGGAGCCGACATGCCAATAGGGGCTGATCAGTTCAATCCAATATTACAACGGAGAACTACATTAATCAAGTGATAATAGTAAGGTCAAAAGTATGAAATGGAATAAGCAATAAAGATGTCTGAAGTGATAATGTCACGGAAGAAGCATCACGATTACCAAAGCAATAATAGGTTTTGATAATAGACACAGACTAACAACTGTTGTTTTCTTTTCTGTTTAAGTGACTCACTACCTATTACTTCAACGAAACTCAATGGATTCAAGTCTGTCTGTTTATGAAATATGTTAGACTATTTCTGAATACCGAATTCACATTCAGTGCCAATGGCATTACCAGAAAGTGAACTGCTGAAATCTTTAACATCCGTCAGTAGTAAATTCCACAGGATATTCGCAGACTTATGATCAAATCGCCTTCCCTCTGTTCGTACCTTGGCGATTGCTTATGAAGTGGGGCATACAATTACATATAGCGTGAAAATGGGGCGTTATCACTCTTAGATTATCTCATCTAGTGATTCATTCGATAAACAGTAACTAACCTGGTAGCTAAACATGTTCTCTTTAATGCAGCATTATTTCTCTCACAAATATCACCATTTGAAACCAAAATGGTGAACACAGGTTTCTTCTCAACCGCATCATATTTCCCATTTCCGGTTGGTCCTCTCTTGTACTTATCAATGCATTATGTCACTCCGTTGTCAGGGCGGCAATTTCGAACAATGTTCCTTTCCTCTTTGAGTCTTTGTTTTGAACCAAGTTATCGTATGCTCTAGAACTTTCTTACCATTAATTGAACGAAAACTGATGGGACTAAAATCCCATCCACTCCATGAATCCTGCTGATTATTAAATCTCTGTATATCGTCACCTGCAGTTCATTGAGTCCCAAGCATGAGAAAGCCAAACTTCTCATTCTTGTCATATTCCACTGCGACTTCTGTGTTTGGATGAGCTTATCGAGTAAACCAGGTGAATAATAACCGGACAACCATTGAGCCATTGTATGTATGAACAAACTTATTTATGATTCCCGTGTATCTGTCTATTCGATTGTGGCGAATTCAGTCGCGCAACATTAATGTTGTCTTTAATGTAAGCCGGTAGTTCTCTACAAAATCAATTCAGGTTAGCAAACATTTTAGCATACTTTATCGTTAACATTGCTTTTGATTGTCAGAAGCTAATGAGAAACACCAAAATAGAACGAATTCGTCGTATTTGATAAAACTTTTGTTCTTGCTCAATAAAAAAAAGATATATTATCAAAGCAACTTCGTCAAATCTCGACTAAAGCTGAGACTATGGAAAACGACCACTCAGTATCATTCTCACTGTCACTAGAATATACCATTTTTCGAAAGAAGCTGTAAAAACCTAAGTTGGTTACACTTCATTTACTTATCGGTGAGATTTGTCTGAAGTGCTGAAGAAAACGCTTCCTCAAGTCCATCAGAAATCTAGCCTCTACTTTGTTCACATAGCAAATAACGCTCTGTAACCTAATTTCACGCCTTTATAAGATCATTCCTAGCTAAACAGAGCGAAAAATGATTTTTATTGAGTCAATTTAAAAACACCATTGTCTGCTTTGATTGAAACCTGGTGGTCATCATTAACAACCAGAAGGTTGATAACTATGTAGCGATTAATAATGGTGTCTACTTCGGTTTATGAACAAAATCTGTATTTTGGGAAATCTGGCTCGTCAATTCGTAGCACTGTATGTTGAGAAGACGTTCTAATCAGAGAAGGTATCGTTACTTTTGTGTGTTATGGTAGATTACTTTTACCACAAAGTTAAGATAACTTAACGTTGGATAGTGATAATCAGTCATCTAGATAGTGGTGAGTTTTACGCTCCTGAAGCCATTTAAACAGTATTCGAAAAATCCTCGGAGGAACAGAACTTTTTATTCCTTACCTCCTGCTTTTCAAATCCTAAGCTGAATGTAATACACAGCAGTTACTTCACGTCTACGTAAAATAGATGCTGAAAATGGAAAATATGAAGAGGGTAGACTTTTCTCATCATAGATATCTCGGCAGTATTGCATTTGGGTTCTGGGACCACAGATTGAGTAATGCTGGGGTTATGGAACAAGCCTGTATAAAAACTCTGTGAACCTTCACCAACTGAGCTGTGTTGGTTACGTGATATATAAATTAAGTCACCACCTACCTCACTGTCCTACGTAAGTCAAAGTAGCATTGATGTGGATTAAAGCCGGGAGTGACTAGATTGAAACGCACCAGTTCATGAAGTCTATGATCGATGTTATGAAACGTGTAGAGTCATGTGGGCTGCTCATCTGGAGTTATTAAAGCAGTAAGAACCAATGGTTGTAAAGTTTAGGCGAAATGTTCAAAACCAGTTGCAATGATGGAAATTTACACACTATTTATCTGATTAAAGCTTTGAATACTTTACTAACTTTGATTTATAGGTTCGCTCTTTCATGACAAAGACTCTATTCTTTTTCATACAGTCTTTTCTTCTATTCATTTCCCATAATGTGCCATTGTGAACTATGACAAAGTGAACTGATTCGCAACTGTACAACCGTTGACATTGGTTTATCTGTCTGTCATAGTGTATTCTTCATTGTTGTGTAGCTGGTCACGCAGCGAAACGCACACCTTGTTCTTTTCTAATAGTGATAGAGAGATGTTTTCCCAGCATAGCAATACATCATATTAATCTGTTCATTTTAGGCATATTGTTTCATTCAAATTATGGATGCTGAGGAAACACCCGAGAATACTGATCAACCAGTCTATTCAGATACTATATTATTAGAATTGATAGCTATCGGTTATGATCCAAAACAATTTGGACCAAAAGAAGTATTGGCTAATCCACAACGCGTTCGAATTCCAACTGCCATAGAGGTAATTAATTATTTTATATTGTTTTATTCATCTCAGTTTGTAGAATTACGGAGTAACACAACGATTTATTTATCTTTACCTAAACAATTATTATTGTTATTTGTCCCTTAGGTTCATAATGAAACATAAGGCTTCAGTAGCACGTCTCCAGTGAACTCTGTTCTCCGAAATCTTTTGAAACTGGTTCCACGACAGCCCACAAGCTCTCATTTCCTCCTCGCACGATCTCCTCCATGTCACCCTCGGACGCCCAACTCGGCGCTTCCTATCGAGGTTCCACTCAAAGGCCTGACGCGTGGTGTCCTCAGTCGGTCTTCTCAGTGTATGCCCAATGCATCTCCACTTCCTTCTGCATATTTGTTGAGCGATGGGTTCTTGGTTGGTTCGTCCCCAGAGTTCCTTGTTGTATATTCTTTCTGGCTATCTGATCTTCAGTATCGAGCCAGCGTAGGTGGCAGTTGTTGATGAATGTCTGTAGTTTGTTGAAAATTCCTTTCCTAACGCGCCAAGTCTCTCATCCACCACATAGAAGCATTGATTTGACGTTGGTGTTGAAAATCCGGATGCTGTTCACGCTTTATGCTGAGTGCAGTGCAGAAGATCTCCACACTGGTTTCAGGTTAATGAACGCCTGTCTTGCTTTTCCGATTCTGACTTTGATATCCTCGTCTGTGTCGCCTGTAGTTGAAACAGTGCTTCCTAAATAGGTGAAGGAGGCTACTTCCTTCAGGTTTCTCCCATTAATGGTGATTGGAGTTTGTTGTTGGTGTTGGTTGGGTATCTTCATCACCTCTGTCTTCTCTATATTCACTTGAAGTCCCGTCTTCGCTGACTCGCCTCTTCCGTCAACTTGTTAGTTTTCGCCTGTAGGTCTTCGAGTTTGTGAGACATCAGACACAAGTATTCGACGAAATCCAAGTCTTCTAGGATCTTTTCCTCAGTCCAGCGTATGCCCCTCTTCTCGCTCCTCACGATGTGCTGGATGACCCAGTCGACCTAGGTTTCGTGCTTGTTGACACTCTTCAGTAAGTCGTATCCGCAACCTCGATGGAACTGATGTCCCGCCTAAGATTCGAACCCGCGGGTTCGAACATGAGTGTACAGTGTAATTAAACAAAGGCCTGTTAAACTACTATATGATATTTACATAGAAAGATACTTATAAAAAGCATTTGGATATAATTATATTACATATTTTCTGGATCCATACCCTGTTTATATCAGCCATCTATTTATCTGTCTCCACTCATGATAATGAATGAACAAGAAAGTTAAACTTTATGGAATAAATGTCATGTTTCAGAGAAGAGATATCAAATCTGATGGATGTAAGTTGGTTGAAGGTCGTTGGTAGAAAGCCCTCCTTGACCTAGGTTTTATGCTCGTTGACAGATACACTTTGATGACGAGTGCCAACAAGCATGAAACCAAGGTCAATCAGGGCTTCTTACCAGTTGCCACCAATTAACTAGAATTTATCAAAGTGAACCGTGATGGTGAGCCTCCTTGCTTGGTGACAACACCACTGCAGATATGATCGACAGAACTCGGTGTGCACTCAGGTCATTTTAGTTGTTGCTAGGGTGGCCTTTTAAGTGATTAGAGGATGACAATGATGATAGTGAAAACAATAACAAAATCTCTCAAAGTTGAGTGACTTTAAGGACAACCTTTAGGCCACCGTAGCAACTGCTGGAATAACCAATTCGGTTTCTCTATTTTACGAAAATCCGCCTCTCCAGCTAAAATGAAGAAAACTAATTAGTTATTTGGATCGTTGCTATGGTCACCCCTACTAAGATAGCTAATTATTTTTCTTTATTTTAGGCAAAACTCTCTTTTAAACTAGAATACCGGAACCTGATTGGTTATTACACCAGTTGCCAGGGTGACTTTTAAAGTCATGCGTAAAGTTTATATAATCTGAGCAGTTAACCCCTTTGAGTCTGCTAGTGAATTGTGCATGTGTGTATGTATAGATGGAAATAGTATTATTGTCGCATGGCAAGTAAAATGTTTAAATTCTTAATCAATTATAAAACTAAGTGCAAAATATAAAATTATGACGGTGTAACTAAGATGATAATGATAAGATTACAAACAAAGATAGATAATTTTGAGGGGGTTGTGGAGATTTGGAAATGTTTCAAGTTGTTATTCATCGAAGACTGACATCAGTTGGAGGAACAAAGGAAACCTGGGAGCACTGGACAGCTGTTTCGTCCTAGTATGGGACTCCTCAGCAGTGCGCACCCACGACCCCACCAGCGGGGATCGAACCCGCGACCTTCAGGTTCCGCGACCAGCGCGTTACCATTGAGCCACTGGGTCAGAATCCAATGCTCCATATTTCCAACTTCTGTTAGCTCACGATATAGCGCGAAAATATATGTACCATTTAAGAGTTTAGTACATTTGAATGAAATCCCTATAAGAGGAATAATGAACTGGGTGAAACTCTGATCCAGCTCATACACAGTAGAAATGTAAGCAGAACTTGCCTAAATTAGTCTTAACCAAGGACTGATATCATTTACAGTAGTGTTGAGGATTACACAGAAGTGCAAAACTGTGGAAGCTTGATTAGGAACTACCTTGTGATTCACAACCATGTCTGTAGACACCGCCATTTCGATGACTATCCGACCTTACGGCTAGGTATAAACCTTGGGCTAAACAGTGCAAACTTTGGAGAAGTTGCAAAAAACACAGGAACGGCCGTTCAGTTCCCCCTCCTTCAAGTGATGATCTAGGTGACGTCAATACATGATACAATCAATCTGTTCTCAATACACCACTTAAAATAAAAATAATTTATTCATATAATTACAAACTTAGCAACAAAATACACATAATACTTACTCCAATGTTCCAGGAAATGTTTGAATATATTCACGATCTTGATTACGATCACGAGAACGTAACAGAATTTGGGGTCTTCGAGTTTCAAATTGCAGCTGAGATTTAAAACAACCAGAACTATGCAGTCTGTGCTCGCTTCCATCTAGTATTTTTTTTGAACACCAGCCAAAGTAACAGTAGGAGCAAAAAGCAAACCAAAATCGACCGGTAAAGTAGCATAAATAAATCAATAATAATAAATAAACGGTTGATACTAGCGGCAAATAGCGAAATTACGAAAGAACTTTAATTTCAATACTGATTTGTGATAGAGGATGCAGTGACTGGGATCAAAATAAGATTATTAAATAATATAACTAGCAAGCGTATCGGAAATGTTTATCAGAAACTAGTAGCCTATAGTTAATATTTCCACCCACCCGTAATGCAGTGGTAGGTGGGAATTTCCCTATGTCTATTGTTGCTGTGATTCATAAAAGACATATGTTCAGGAGCAGAGAAAAAATAAGACACCTCATTAATAATACTAATGCACATCCCTCCTACTGTTTAAAATGGTAGTCACTAGGTTGAATTATCAGCAGGATCACTAGTATTCACAAATCTACAGTTTAATCCAGCCGATAAGACATAAGTGTGATGAGATATTAATCAGTTAGCAACACTTATACTGTCTTCACTATCGTGACAATTATTCATCAAACTAGTGTAACCCAGCCTACATGATTAATTTTAGGTACTTTTAAATCAAAAACATCAAATATTTTAAAGACTAGGACGAAACAGCTGTCCAGTGCTCCCAGGTTTCCTTTGTTCCTCCAACTGATGTCAGTCTTCGATGAATAACAACTTGAAACATTTCCAAATCTCCACAACCCCCTCAAAATTTAATTGAACTAGTGCTCGTTGGTGACTAGCTTCGAGAAGTATTCCCGAAGTTCCAATGACAAGTCGTGACCGGTGGAGTCAAGCCTGATGGCCGTGAGGACAAATACTCAACGATGACATTAGGTGGCGGTTCGCGCTATATCGTGAGCTAACAGAAGTTGGAAATATGGAGCATTGGATTCTGACCCAGTGGCTCAATGGTAACGCGCTGGTCGCGGAACCTGAAGGTCACGGGTTCGATCCCCGCTGGTGGGGTCGTGGGTGCGCACTGCTGAGGAGTCCCATACTAGGACGAAACAGCTGTCCAGTGCTCCCAGGTTTCCTTTGTTCCTCCAACTGATGTCAGTCTTCGATGAATAACAAAGATAGATAATTATTATACTGGGTGAAATGAAAATTTGGACTGCGACCGGATTTGAGCCGGTGACCACCGGCTTTGTCAATATTGTGTTCACTGTCTACCAGATGGGCGAGTATTAAGCTTCTGATGGATTTCACTGATTCATTTGCGTAACTGAATAATCTGTCCCACAGGATTATCCGAAACGTAATGCTGTTTTACTGTGTGACACATCCAGCAAACCAACCGAAATAGAACTTCGTATTAATGTCCATAGCAGACACTAAAGTTCATTGCTACAACCCGAGAATTTTCAGCGAAGCGGGTAGTGATCGTTCAGAGGAGTTCCTAGAAGCATTAAAAGCAGGTGAAATATTGATGGCTAAACATCTTAAGATAAACTTAATATACAAATTAATCATAGGGTACATCCTCAGTCGTGTATAGCACTAGACAGTAAATCAATTGCACAGAAAGCTGGTCGGTTTTAACAGCTGCCAGAATAGCACATAACATTCACAGTCACTGCGTAACACCAGTTAACTGTTGTTATTTCGATCCATGTGATTCTATTCTAAAAATGCTAAGCTGTAATACAGCTATACTGAACTGATACTGTCTTTTATTTTACAGAATCATATAATCCCTACTGACCGAAATTTCAAGTTATTGGATAAACCCAATGATGACAACTTAACGCTTCGAGATATTCCTCCACTTTCACGTAGAATCAAATGTCCTATTGATTCATGGGTCAGCCTATCGCATCACCTACTTGAATTGCATCGCATTGTTCTAGGGACACGATGTAGACGGTTGATTCATATGACGAATAGATCTGGTTCTGATAATGATGTGAATCATTTACCTGTCAGTAATCGTTCTACTTACCGATTTCGATGGTTTGCGGAATTAGCAGAAGAAATGGAGGTTAGTAAAGCATTTTCTTTTGGTGTTCTCACGAATTGTTTCTTTTCCATTTAAAAGTATTTTCATCCTCATATCAGGCAATACAAAGAGCCTTAAGTCCACTGATAAGAGCTTATTTGATGCCTAGTGCAATTCACTTTTTCAAGGCGGATTTTATTTCATTCTTACAAATAATTCCTCTTATTTCTGCTTCACATTATGGTGTTTTCTTCGCTGTCAAACACTGTCATAAACCCCTCGATCAATGAAGTTAAACCCTAACTCTGAATTAACAAAGATGGAGAATTTCGGGCATTGGGGATTATACTTTTTTTTCTAAAATCTATCAAAAGGTAAATATTTGATAAACACACTTCCCTCCGAACTTGCTACGCACCTCCTTTTCATAATTACTTGTTTTCAAGCTCCAGGTAACATTCTGAACGTGACGAACTGTATGTTGCTAAACTCTGTTTTAGTTATGCTGATTCTTCTTAAGCTGTCACAGTGAGCTCCGTCTTCTTTATTTTGCGCTGGGGTTAGATGGAATTGCCTCTGCTTTCAATGCACTAAATATCATTTTAGTTCTCACTAATAATTTTTTACCACCATTATTGGTAGGGAGCGGCCTAAATCAAAAGCAGTATTTAGTCATCAGCCGCCAATCTTGTTTCATGATATTGGATGCTCAGGGAAAGCCTTACTGGGCAACTTTGTCCTTCAGCTGATCAATTAAAATGAGCATCCAACTTCTGACCTAAAGGCTTTTTTGTAAGGAAAAAGTGTATATAAATAACGTGTTTTGTGAAATAATGTTGTCTTCCAAGCAGTCAAGGGCTGGTCTTTGGCCTCTGGTTTTCGCAGTTCAGTTAATTATTAGGTCTGAGGGAGAACAGTCGCTGTTCGTATTCAGTTCAAGTATCTCGTTGCCCTGGTAGGGTTCTCGTATTATTCTGTCAGCCATTTCCACTCGGTCACTTCTACTACTATTAAAGAATTCTGAAAGCCATCAATGTCACACTGCTTTTAGCCGTTTTGTGTTAAAAAGTCAACTTTCTCAATTTCACTGAGTTCCGATACATACATCGTATTCAGGTTATAACTGAACTGCAGATAACTGAATTGTAGTTTGAACGAACCGAGAAGAACAGTGGTATCAGAATTAGCATGCATGTACTCCGTGGATTCTCCCCCAGCTACTTTACAACCTATAAAACATGTTTATGATGAATAATATGCTATACAACGTACTAGACCTGGACTTCAGTCTGTAGCGTCATAAAAATGGAAACATTAACAGATACATTTGTCTGAAAGACACGTGGAGTGGCCTTTACTTAAACCCCAGCAAGTTTTGCCCAATCAGTTACAAAAAAATGTTCAGTAAGAACACCTTTCAACCAAACGGGTAAACTTTGCCCTGAAGAAAATATTCAGGAAGACCTAATATTTACCGAAAACTGTCTACGCAAAAATGGTTACCCACTAACGTTGATTGACAAGTACGGTAGGACGGAAGAGAAAAGAATTAACTGCAGTACAGTTGACAAGAAGCCTGTCTATCTACACTTTGTCTTCAAATGGGATGAAATCTCCACACGCATGGGCTACAGACTAAGTACTCCACTAAAAATGACCTATCCAGTCCTTAAGTTAGTCTGTTTGTATCAGACTAAATGCTCATTGAGACAGTTCGAAGTGTACAAATTCCCAAATTTTGTTACTTCCAACTGTATCTGCTAATTCACATGTACGTGCCAAAGCACATACATCGGAAGAACAGAGAGAAGGGTTCATATCCGCATTTCCGAATATATCGCAAAAAAGTTGAGTCTGAAGAGTTCTCAGGAATTAAACAGTGCGATCACTGGACATAAAGTCTACGTATTGTTATTCAAAGTGATTAGTAAACAGTGGAAACTAACTCTCTTGCGGTTTACTGAAAAAGTTGTAATTAGAAGACCCAGACCTGACCTATGTATTCAAAAAGATACTGTTGTCAACCTGGCATTACCTTAGTAAATTTAATCTTTTAAATTTGTAAGTACAAGTTTTCATGACCTTATGACCCTTGGGTTTTCAGCTCTTTATTTTCCGATTGATTTCAAAACCTACTATCACTTTCTAAGTTGTGTTCATCTTATTTCTTAATACAGTGAAAACCTGTTCACCTTCTACTATGTTTACTTAACCATAACGCCCTTGTTAACTAATTCAAGAATAACATTATGCACAATCCCCTCCCATTTATATATATAGTTAACCTTTGGCGAGTCTTAATAACTTGATCAATGTCGGTCAACCTAAATGTTTGTTACCTTCCACCTCAATTCGTGTAAGATTTTGTCGATTTATGTTGTATAACATATTACTCGTCATAAACATTATATTCTAAGGTTGTAAAGCAGCTGAGGAAAACCTACGAAGCACATGCATACTAGTTCTGCTATTACTATTCTTCATACTTTATTCAAGAATTGTATGAATTATAGTTATTGCCCAGTTTAATTATTTCCCTGAATGTTCTACTCAATGTTTTATGCGCCCCTCTCGAGATAGATTATCAGGGATTCTTCTGTTCCTGTGATAAACTTAATGACCATCATATTTTTCATACCATTCTTTTGAATAAATTCACCTAGTTACCGTGTACTTCATAGTGCAGCTACTTTTTGTCGCTTCTCAAACCATGGTAACACTATTAAGTGTTATTTTGAAGAATTTTGTTTTCTCAGCATTTGAATGATATTCCAATCTTATTTACTTGGTACGATTGCCATTCTTCTAACAATTTGCATTCAGATTGTGCCTTATTTCCAGTTCTCAGTATATTTTTACTTTGTTATTGATTAGGATTTGCGAAAAAATGATAAAAATGCATGCACCACTCTCTGGTCATGTTTTTCTACAAGACATTTAAAAACATAACTCAATAAGATGAAATTCATAGCCACTCAAGTAGTACGTAGGAAATTGATTATCTTTAGGGTATTGTTATCTGCTAACTGATACCGTTAGTAGAACTAGTGAAAATAAGAGGGTGCTGAAAAATTATCTTCTTGGAGTGAGTGTACACCTTAAAACCTAATATGTTATCAAACTCAGGAATTTCAGACGATGAGGTTTAGTCCATACTAGAAATCACTTCCAAACTGTTCTTTTCCGTGCAAATCACTTAAATGAATAGTAATTCACTGTTTATTAGTGACCATCTGCGACACTAGTTTTCTCAAGCTGAAATGAGATATAATGCTTAAGATTAACCAGTTAGAAAGTGGGAATGGATATTCGATGCTGACACTGGATAACAGCAATATCTCGGAACAAAGTTCAGTGGTGCAAAATAGTGGCCTTTCAACCAAATAACTGAAGTGTAGGTCGATCAATGAGATTGCAAGATTCCGTGATAATAACCACAGACATTAATTAATAGTCACAAAATAAAAAGGAATAGATATCCCTTGCATCTGTTTTTAGTTACACTCTAGATTATCTCTTACCACGATTCCAAATATCATCAGATCGTAAAAGTGGAATGTAATAATTGTCTGATGTGATGCCTGTAGCAAATTATTTTCCACAAAAAAGTACACCTTTTCAGGTTACCACACTTAAAACCAGTACAGTGCGTTGAAACTGAAAAAAAAGACAGTTCTCAGAAATAATAAAATGTCGAAAAATATGACAACATCGAAACCTTAGAGGTAAAGAATGACAGATTATTCAGTTTTTTTAAATTAAAAGAATATGATGAAGCATAAGTACGTATCAATGAGATGAATTTTCAGAAATGTCATTAAAGGCCTGAAAGACTAGATACCAAAACTGAAGTCAATTATAAATGAAATAAATTTGTAAAATCCTACTTAAGTAGAAAAATAAATTTCTGACGTTTCGCAACTTCGTGGGAATCGCTTCTTCAGAGAATAAAACCTGTAAAAGTTATCGATTGTTTAAATAGGTAGTGGTGACGAATCACGTTACATTGTCTACATATGATAATAATATGAACATAAATGTCATTCTTATGCTGGTCAGAAAGCGCTCACAATTTCTTTGTTATCGATTAATTACTCTGAAGTTCAAAATGAGGTGCTAATGTGCATATGTGACTGACTGGGTATGAAGATGTACAAAAATAATATGGATGACAAATTCGGTTTGTTTCTGTGCATGCACTTTTGTTCTGATCATTGTATATGATGCGCTATTTCGGAAATTCTGTCCAAGTTGTTGGTTGAATAGTTAGGCCTTCCTTTCTACTGAGTGCATTAGGATACCAAATCTCCGCTGAACCCCAGCCTCATCATGAAAGTATTTAAATTTTGTTTAAAGTCGACGCTGTTCACGTTTAGAGGAAATCTATACAAACAAACTTATGGAGTAGGCATGGGTTTTCCGGCGTCTCTATTGTTTCAAACCTATCCATGTACCACATTCAATCTGTCATCTTCTCTAACGCCATCAAACCACGTATTTAGCTCAGATAAGTGAATGATACATTCGTAATTTTAAAAAATCTGACCTAAGAACCCTTTCGAAACTATCTGACACTTATTATCCACATATTAAACCACATGTGAACATGAAAATGCAAGCAGTGAACTACCATTCCTAGACTGTTTGGCCAAAAGGAATGGAAACGGAAGTCTACGCTCATCGATTTGTCGTAAACCAACACATTCAAATCGACATCATGATTTTTACTCAGTGATAAACTTTCACTTGCTCGGAGTCTATTCAGGAGAACCACAAAGCTCATCACGAATAAGGTGACAGGTAAACGGAAGTAAGTAACATATTAGATGTATTGCATCCCAATAACTACCCTAAGAATGTCGTTCAAAAGGTTCAAAAACATGAGCAGAGGGACCCAAGAGGAAATTCAAATGATGATTCCTCGATTAGCTCAGTAGTCCTACCATTCCCCCAAGATACAACCGAAGAGTCACAAAGAATGTTAAGAAAGCACCGAATTACAGCCTTTCGCAAGACAACCAACACTTTATGGAATACTCTAGCCCACGTAAAAGATAAAGTTCCTTTTACATACACGCGAAATTGTGTCTACAAACTAGGCCGTGTCGATTGTGATGCCTATTATATTGGAGAATCATCCCAGGAAATCCTCATTATAGCCATCTACCACAGTCACAAAATCTATATTGAAAATATTAAAATTATTCAAAAAGGTTTCTCAAACTACAAAGAAAGAAGAAGAATAGCTGAAGCATTACACATGATGTTGAATCCTAATGCACTCAATGGAATGGAATGCCTAACTATCCAACCAACAACCTAAACAGTATTTCCAAAAACAGCGCATCATATACGGTAGTCAGAACAAAGTTGAATGCATACAAGCAAGCTAAGTGTGGTCTAATTCGTCACTATTTACTTTTTAGACAATCGATAACTTATACAGGTTTTATTCTTTGAAGATATGATTTCCATGAAGTCACGAAACGTTAGAAATTTATTTTTCTACTCAATTGGGATTTTACAAATATATTTCATCTACCCAATGCTCAACTTATTGAAATCTATCAGGTCAAACTTTGGTCCTGATGTTTTTTTACATTTAAGTCAATTGTTATTTATTGACACATAATTTCTCGTTGATATGCTAAGTCGAATTTCTCGACCTCTGTTAGCAGATGGGTGGTGGGTTCGAGTCCTAATGGAAACAACATCACTCACTGGAGTGCAGGTACACCCACCTGCCGAGTCCCACAGGACGAAGCACGCGACTTAGACTCCACAGCTAGTCACCAGATAGACCACAGTTTTGGTCAATATTGAGTATAGACTCTATCTCATCGCTAAACGTCACCTAATCATCGAATCACACAGTTGTCCCCAATGTCTGACAGTTGTAAGCAATTAGCAGAACGTCCTGGACCTAAATTCTGTGACCTCTGCAGTTCAATAGAAATATGTGACTGAAACCTTGAAAACAGTGATGATTCACCTCATTCAAATCAGCACTTCAGTTACTGAAGTTACAAACTGGTATGCTCCCCAGGATAGCTATCTGTAGGTTCTCCTCAGTTGTCAAAACATAAAATTTTAACAAACTGATATGGTCTTCAGGTGTATTGAGCAAAAACTTTCTTTTCAGTAGTGCGAACGTATGAATTGAAGTTGAAACAGAAGGACAGGAATTCTTGAGGACTATCACATTTCCCAACTGAATTACAATAGTAAATGAAAACATTTTGAATTTGACCACATGATTTAACTGATAAATACAAACTTACACACTGTCATTTGATGATGATTTTCTTTACGCCTAACCACGTTCATATAGCCCGAATTTGCCTATAATTTCATATGTTAAAATCTGGCACAAAACAAAAACTTCACAATCATTTCGCCAACATTTTCTTTCTAACTTACAGCTTATGCATTTATGCAATGCAATGCACAGTTAGTGATCAACGGACAGAAAGTTTTCAAAACCAGTTACAAGACAATACCATTAGTTAACTTTTGCGCAAAACATCTTTGGAAATGAATGCAGTAATTGTGATTAGTATTTGAAAAAAATGTCGAAATGTACTCAGCAATCGTAGAGTAGGCAATGAGCCATACGTATTCTGTGAGGGCTAGTAATACTACCTGGTTTCACAAACCTCGGAAGGTGGAGCAGGGTTCGAACCTGTGACCAAATAGCTCAAGGTAATCGTCCTAAGTCAATGAGTCATAGCTCCACCTGCAATTACAATTTAATCTCTGATTGACTGATTTTCAGTACATTAATCAACGGATTCGAACTTCAATTTATTTAAAGTTTCATATCACCGGAAGTCGTTAGTTCGTGAGTATCTAGTTTTCTCTGCCTCCCAAAATTTTGTTTTCCATTTACTTAACCAATACACCATAATAATTAGAAACACCAACTTCAGTGTCATTCATTACACGTACCACTTGTTAACCGATTGGGAGTGCCGAGTGTTCAGCTAGAAAATGTATTTTTGTTGTACACGATTTTTACTGAATATCAGCTGTTTGCCCTTCTTCATTTATTCCATACTCTATTAGAATGTTACCGTAACTCCGAAATTGGGCAGAATTAAACCTGGTAAAACGATACAGGTTCTAATCACCTATACGGCTAGTGGACTACCACGTTTTACAGAGATAAACTTAGTATGTGAAGTAAGTCAGATTCATACAAGTCCAATCATTTCTTCGTTATTTCTCTCACTATGGTTTCCACCATTTCTTTTGTTTTCGTCCTGACTAACAATGTAAATTATTCGAGACAGTAGTAATTTGTAGCTCAGGATACAGATGTGGAGCACAACAAATAATTATGAACGCATATTTTGTTACTCAACTGTTTTTCGGATGCACTGAAACATGCATGGGATCAAATTTCGATGCAGGACAAAATATTTTCATTTCTGCCGGTATCCACACGTTAAAGTCACTACTTTTACATCATACATGAATTTTACAGTAGCAGTACATTTATAAACATGGAGAAGTAATGAAATTTATAAAGTCTTCAGTAACTAAAATGTGATTATATTAATAAACCATTGCAAAAACGCTTACGTGCAAGTGTTGATGTAAATAGCTTCGCTATGCATGCTTCCCGCACATGTCAAATGTAAGATGATACTCCAGAACTGATCTGCTGCAAGTACTCCCAGTTTAATGATAGGGAATGAAGAAGTGGTAGATGTCAACCACTTCACTGTAACAGCCAAACGGGCTGGTTGTTGACGAAATCTCAACTCGGATATAGGCCTCCTTAGCATTTGCTAACTTGCGTCACCTGTGGCGCCGACGAGATATGCGATTATCTATGAAAGAACGAGTACACTGCCCTACAGTCTGTCCTATTTAAGGCTGTGAGACATGGCCGTAGAAGACATGAAGCAGCTAGAGGATTTTAGTCGTGTCTTCGTAGTATTATTCCCGCATGGTGGGATCACCGCGTTAGCAGTGTTGAGGTCATGTGAAGGGTACTAGGAAAGACAGGCAATTCGACTGATGCGGTTGTGAACCCTCATTGGCTGAGGTGGCCTGGACATATACTGTGCATACCGACCCACTATCTACCTCGACATGCCGTGCTGCGGGAAGTTGAATTATGTTGGAAGAGGCTTCATGGTGGCCAGACCAAGACGTGGGGCCGGTCAATGAAGTCTCTTGTGGTTTGTCTGATCTGTGTGGAGAAATGTACAGTGTCTAGTTGGGGTTTCAGGGACGAAATGAATCAGTGGTTGGGAAATGAATTGACGTATTACAGTTGAGGAGCTCCACACATTTTGTATGTATTCCCTAGTGTCTAACGTACAGGCGATTTCCGTAAAAAATCCCATTCATTTTGTCCCGTGGCATTTCTCCTCGTGATCTTTACTCAAGAAATGGAAATTTTCTACGTAGCCTAACATTTTGCATGCACTGTTATTATGAAGACAGGTCAGACACAAGCTTCACCAGGCTTCCAGCTTCTCTACTTCATTAATGTTTGTGTTCGAATAACATTAATGTAGATAACCAGTCAATCGGAAGCCTATAAGGTTTTCCAAGAGATATGAACAAATCCTTATTAGTTGTTTCTAGTAAAAGCATTTTACATAATATCAATAATTTGTACTTTCTTCGCCAGAATAAAGACAAGTTTACCTCTCTTGGGCTTTCTGACCACCCCGTCATGTTATCGACTTCTATATTAGTGGACTAGTACTTTTGTACTATGCGTGGTAGGTGTGATAGACATTATGGAATTCAAAATACTTATGGGTGTTCAGTATATCTCATTATAGTATTAGTATTATCATTCACTTCACCACCATTCGCAAAACATCGCCAAAGTAGATTTATATCACTTAGTGTAACCACCTTGCAACAACTTCGTAGACAGAAAATACAGCCATGTAAGCAATGCTGATTCCAGTAAATGACAAATGCTTTTCAGACACTTGCGAGTGAACCTAAATCTCTAAGTGGAATTCTTGATTTGTCTTCTTGTTAGCATCAGTAAACCACACAAACCATCTCGCATTTTAGTAAATGAAAAAAATATCACTTTCTCCCAATATTGGCACTGCTTACTCCTTGTCAGTGACCGAATGCTACTAAAACAACTTATATTGATCTTTCATGCAATAGGATAGAATAGTGATAATTTAAAAAAAACTTTGGTAGGTGTAAGAAAGATAGATAACTAAAGCTTTATGGTGATTTTATTTATTTTAAGGTAGTATTCACCACCGACTGGAATCGGTTGTAGAACCTTTGAAAACCTGGGAGCATTGGACAACTGTTTTGTCCTAGCATGGGACTGCTCAGCAATACGTATTCACGACACCACCAGGGATCGAAATCAGGACCTTCAGGTCACGCAGCGAATGCGTTGACCATCCAGCCAATGGGTCTAAGTTCAGTAGTACACAGTCCCCTACTTCTGTCAATTCACGACATAGCGCGATTATTCGCCAAGGTCTTCAGTTAGCATCCGCTTCATTTTCGACATATTGGCCCAACGAACCAAGGTTTCTCAACATAACTGCAAAATATCTATCTGAACTACTCAGAAGCAAAGCGGATGCTAACTGAAGGCCTTGGTGGATCGTCTCGCTGTGTCGCAAACTGAAAGAAGTTGGAAACTATGGACCGTTGAACTACAACTCTGGTTGGATGGTTACAGTACTTGCAACCAGACTTGAAGGTATTGAATTCGATCCCTGGAGAAGTCTTAAGTGCGTACTGCTGAGGAGTCCCACACTAGGGTGAAACACCTGTCTAATTCTTCCAGGTTTTCAAAGGTTCTGCAACTGATTTCAGTCCATAATTAATACTACCTTGAAACTAAAGAATCGACAGCTGATAGTTTGAATAAGATTGACGCAAAGGTGATTCAAATTATGTGAAAATGTTTACTAGCAACTAAATCGAAGGATGAAAAACAACAAAACTCGAAAAACAAACCAGAAAGTTATATAAGGACTTTGACATAAATATTAGCAATAAACTACGCTGAAAGAGTAATATTTCAGTGTGTGATATCACTATTATTATTAGTCCCTTGGGTTCCTAGTGGAACATAGGGCTTAGTAGCACGTGATATTACTAAGGAAACTATAATTATGTTCTGCGTTAGTACCCAAAATCTACTCTTGTGTTGGTGATTTTAAATATCACTGTACTACTACAGTCTTATGAATAGCTAGACCAAACATTGGAATGCTCATCCGTATATAGTGGGTTTGAACCCTACTAAACATAATTTAGTTTTTAAGTCTGCTGACGCGGTTATTGAGTTTATTTATTGATTTGATTATAATGATTATCAATTATTTAGTTAATTGACGAACAGAGGAAAATAAGTATTGTGAAGAGTTGAAAGCTTGGCAGTCTGAAATAGACAGATTGAAAGTTGAATTTACAATTACAGAAACTGATTTAGTACCAACTCATGAAACGAATAAGGTAAGTTTACTGAGAAAATACTTTAAAGTGGGCTATATAAGTTCTTAGTCATTTTCAGATACATACATAAGAGAACTCAGTTTTACGGCTTAGTATACAAACGATTTTTTGCATTGATTCTCAAAATAATTTCTATACAAGGATAGTTCTTATCACAAACTGTCAGCCAAATGCACTGACATTATAATTATGTGCTAGTCACGTAATAAGAAATTTTTCTATTCTGTATGAAGATAATAGTAGTATATTATTCATTTTTGCAGTGTTTCTTATTGTTTTGGCAGCAGGTATGAATCCCTGCTTGGAACTATCTCCATATTGCTCATTTCCCCATGAACGACATTACTTCAAAGATAAGACCATCTGGTATGGTACAGCCTGATAGAATCTGATATTGATAGGCGGATAAGGGTTAAAGATAAGAGGTACTCACAATGGTCATCAGACTAAATTTAGAAACCTCCATATTAGCAGTTAAGTGATCTGAAGAATTTAACTGCCAACTGTTATACAACCCCACAATGGATCTTACCTGTGATACATCCTCTTGGTGACTTTGCTTTACGCAGTTTATGCTTCAGACACGTGATACATAGTAAAGGCCCTGCCAATAAGCGCTTCTTTTTATGCAACTTCTTCAGTGATAAATCCTAACTGCTGAGAGATCATTTAGATCGTAAACTTATGGTGATCGAATAACCACAAAGAAACCATGTAATGATTTTTAGCTGTACCAAAGTAATTATAATAGTAATAATGAAGGTATGAAATTGAAGTATCAAAAATATAATGCATCCTAACAACCAAACATTCCTCTATATAATGCAGTATAATAAGACGTGGTATATGTGAATGGGTATACCCTACCGCGAATGTGAAAGTAAATGAAGCACTGTTCGAACCCTTAACTCTGTGATTAAAAGTTAAGTACCTAACCAAGTGAGTTATAAACATCATTATTCTTAAACCTTTGTGTGTACAAAACAAAAATAGTTCATGTAATCAATATCTAGATACGAATATCATTTAAAATCAAGTCACGTATATCCCAAACAGTACGTGTTGCCAAAACAATGGTGGATAGTGACTCATCAGCTGGATGTAACTGCCTCACAACGAGTGACCTTGTTCCCGTTGAAACTCGAACCTAGCATCTATCTCCTCAAATCCCAAAGCGTTACTCAGTAGGCTGCTGAGACAAGATGACCACTTCTTGTGCGATGGATACAGCTTGATGTTATAGCTTGTGGTTTTCGTCGTTGACTGGACGGAGATGGTAGCCCAGGTGTGACACATGAGGTTCTGTAAGTACTGCTCAATACTGCCGGTAAAAATCATGTACAACTGTCTGCGTGAACTAGGCTATGATTCATATCTGATGTTTGAAACGATGTAAATTAATAAAGGTTTGGCTATATGAATCAATATTTAATACTTAAATGTCTAAATCACTGGGTTATATTTCCACACCTTTATGAACGACGCTGTAAGCTACATAGTACATATACTACGTATGATTGGTTGTTACAATAGTTGTTAGGGTGCCCTCTAAAGTGGTCCACGTAGACACCCAAATACGTAAATCATGAGGCCGGCCTTCCTCTACCATTACAACCTACCTTTATAAAAGGCGGAAAAGTTGTTTGATACAGTAACTGAGCAGCTAAGCGACAAAACGCATTTATATAAGAATAAAACTGGATAAAATGTAACTCAGTATTATACGTATTGTATATGTTTATTTCACATACCATATGATGGTACAGTATTTTCTAAGTAAAAAGACTACAAGTTATAACACCACACTATACCCGTTGCACAAGAAGTGGCTATTATGACTCAGTAGTCAATTGGTTAGAGCTTCGGTGGGAATATCACTCGTTGGGAAGCAGTTACATCCAGTTGACAAGTCCCAAATATGACGAAACCACTCCATCATTACTATAAGACTATAAGATTACCATTATATGAAGAGGAAAGCCTAGAAAATGTCATCATGTTAACGATTCTTTGGATTACATCAATATAATTTTCACTTTCTTTTCCAATTATAAATTCAACCATATAGATAACTAAAAAGAAGGCGAATACGGTGAATCTATCATCTGAATCAAGTGAAATGGATATGGAGAAATTTTGTCAAAAATGGCCAAAACCAACACGTAACAAACCAGTCTACATTTATCTAACAATAAGTGCTGAAGTTATCAATGAAGACGCAGCAAAAGCTTTTGGAATGAATAATGAAGAGAACACTTCATTTACCGATTAGTAAGTCGATATTCCTCTGGTTCATCGGTTAGAAGTTGAAAATCGCTCATGATATGAAATGCAGTCAATTGAACACAGTCAGCTGAACTCAGTGATACCATTTGTTACCAGGAAATTTCTCACATTAGCATAAAGAGTTCGTACTGCTGAGGAGTTTCAAAAGAGGGCTAAATAGACGATGAACCACTCTCCATCATAATATATGTAGTGCTTTTTTTAGAATCACAAATGGAGACGCAGATATTGTGCTAAGACTAACCAACAGCCACCAGTCGGTTGTTTTCAGAGTACATTTGAATGTTGAATCATTATAACACAGTGGTGAAATAATTTAACACTGATATTTCCCGGGAAAGATATACCAGGAACAAAAAGCAAAACATTGCTAACATTATGGCATACCTAAACGTGTCCCATTACGTTCTTGGAGAAGATAGTAATCAATCGTGGGAAACTCTTGGTGTGACAGCTGAAAATTGAGCACAATGGCATCACATATATACACTCTTCGTCACGTCAGAAGTCTTGAATAGCTTTACGTATTTATTCCCTCTAATCTCACACACTTTTGTCGAATTCAGTATTATTCTTTCTCGATCCATTTCTTTTGTATACTTCTGTAAAGTAATGGCAACTTAAACCGATACTCTTCCATGCGTGGTTCTAGGTTGAATTAATCTTTCCAATCGGTGGATAGTCCCAACCCAATTATCTCACTGTTGGTCTTTCTAACAGCAGTGTCTACTAGTGCTGGTTCGAACCTGTGAGACAGCAGCAGTCCCTTTAGGGTTACATATATACACTCTTAGTAAACATGAATGCTACACAAAACATGTTGGTCTTTCGCACTTCCGTGAAGATCCAGTGCAGATATACTGTGGTCTAGTCACTCAGATTACTTAACACAATCTGAACTTCATTAGTTTACTTTCATCAGCAAAAAAATAAACTGTATAACATAAGTGTACCGAAATTTTATTTGTCAATTTAAGGCGAATTACGAAAAGTGGAACTACATGCTGAGTTATATCAAACAAGCCGCCACCGTGGTTGTTAAGCTACAAGACTAGCATCCAAGGTGGACTCTGATTAATCCTAGGTAGCTGAAGGCAACTGATAGAAAATTCTAGACGAAGAGATGTGACTCAGGATCAATCTTAGTGGCACAGATGCATCCATATATTATCTTCATATAAATAATCACACTAAATTCCATTCCCAAAATAAAGTGTTTGGATATATATATATATATATATATATATATATATATATATATATATATATATATATATATATATATCAATCCTTGTTCTTTCTAAATTTAAGTTCTGCAAATTTGTAATATATAAAACAACTATCGTCCAATTTCTTCAGTGAGTTCCAACCTTCATTTGCGACTTGAGTGATTTTACAGATCACAGCCTCCCATCAGAGTTTGAAGAAATCCAAATCAAGGTCAGCCACTAGTGAGCACCGTATTATGAATTCAGTTTTTTGCGTAGCCCAGACGTTGGAAACTCCGAAGCACTAGATTTCAAACCCATCCCTGAATAGTGACAAGCTTATAGAGACTTGATTTCCAATCTCACCTTCGGCAAATACAGTATCCCTTTTAAAGGTAACAAATGATCTGCTGCTTCCTGGTTCGCAATATTTCCCTAGCTATTGTAAACCTATGATGACTTTAGTGAGTCAGCCAATTTCTCCTCTCCTCCCCACAAACCAAATAAGTCATGAATACTCACTTCCGTCAAATAATTCTGTTCATAGACTACCGTGTTTATCCAGAGACTAATAATCTCATTTTTATTGTTTTGTTTAGTAATTTTTAGTTAGCGACAAGCTAGAGGTTTAAGTATTACTATCACCATCAATCAACCAAATGGACAGATAAACATTCTTACTTCTAACATGCCACTATAAAAGCCCTGATGAGTGCTTGTCAAACCATGAATTACTGCTTTAAACGTTTGACTTACAATCCGTGGCCATGAGTTCGAACTCCACGCCAACTAATGACTTTTGGATGGTCAAGTAGCCTCAGCACAATGCATAGCCCACTGCTTTTTCACACATTTACGTGTTACCTTATTTACTGAATGGTTTGATGAAAGTAAAACAAAAATAGGAAAAGCTTAGTTGTCTTAATAATCTGAATAGTATTCAAATCTAAAAAAATGCATTTTATACTTCCTTTTTTGGTTTGCAGTACACTTTTCTTAAATTCTGCTCATTCAGCAGCAAAAGCAATAAATCTAACCAGGGTACAAGATGGTATCTGGAAGTTACATCAACAATTGTTTATTGACCTAATGACATCTTTGATCGCCGATTTAATATACAATGAAGAATTTGTACAAACAATTCAGAGAGTGGTAATACCACCTGAAAATGTGATCACTAACTCAGAAATACGTAATGACGAAGACACCGATGATCCAGTCCCATTGTGGACACAAATAAAAGATGGCAGTTGGAAGATAAATGAGCCAGGACAAAATGATTCAACTAGTAATATACCAAGTGTTAATCAAGAGACACTTCACTTACAAGACTGGATACCTGAAATTGTCAAAGAGATGAACAATAAACAAGATATGAGAAGCGTTTATGAAGAAACTGCAGACAACATGTGCATACAGTGAGTGGCATAATTCCTTCTAGATTTATATCAAGTATAATCAGTAAATAAAAACATGATTCAACAAATAGTTTGCAGGGATTTATTGGGACGAGACTAGTTAAGAAACCATTGAAAAGTAAAAGTACTCAGTAACTGTTTCACCGTAGTTTGAAACACCACATCACTCTATATCCATGACCCTATCAGGGTCTCACTGTCAGTGCGTTACCATCCAGCCACTGGGCTGAATTTCAGTGGTTCATTATTTCCAACTTCTGTCAACTTCCGAAGCATAAGTTCCAACCTGCGGGATCAAATAAATGAGTGAGGTGGATCCTCACATTATACCACAGATTGGTAGAAGTAAGAAATAAAGGGATATTGGATTTCAACCCAGTGGTTGACTTGTAACGCCCTCGCCGATGAATCTGGGTCCCGGGGTTGACCCCTTGTGGGGCCGTGAGTACCGAATGTTGAGGAGGATGGAACAGCTGCCCAGTATTTTAGGTTCTTGTAGTTCTGTAGCTGATGTCCATACGCGATGAAAATAAGTATCCAGCAAAATAGTATTTTTACTTGTTATTTAAGTATACTACTAGTAACCAATATGAGTAGTCACGTTTCTTTCTAACCAGATTGTAGAGGGTTGAACGTCAGGGAAATTTTCCCCAGGATTGAACACACTAGAAAAATATTCATCCCGAATGAGTAAGGAAAGATGAATGTAACTAGCTACTCTGAATGAGACAAAACGTGATAAAAAGCATGATATATTTGTAAATTATTTATATGTTGGACAGCCTATGTATTTCTCATAGCCGACAAGCTGCTAACTGTCCGCCTGTAGTGTTAAAAGAATTATTTGCATTGGAAGACAACCAGCCAACTAATACAGAAGATCGTCACACACAAAGGAGAGTAGTGAATTAACGAAATACTGCTGAAGGTGCGTAGTTGGAAGTCTTTCATTTTGGTCAGAGGATTTCCACCAACCAAAGTAGGGCGATGATCGTATCAGTTATTCAGGATGAAAAGAGATAGTTACGGTTCTCAGAATCATATTTGTGAACATGTTTATGATTATTCAGGTTGAAAGAAATCACGGTTCGCTACAGGATTCCAATCAACAATCCATAGACTCTAATCCTATTACAACTCATGTTTCATTTCAACTTCAATAATCATCCCAATGTATACAAACAGAACATCAACTTGCTTCAGTAGCTGAACATCTGCCTTACATAGCAATTTTAAAACTCATGAATCCATAGTTAACAGACTAACGTTCTACGTTAAAAATGCATAGTTATGGGCAGTTGGATTATCCTTCGTAGAAATGCATTTGATTGATTTGGATACCTTGTGAATAATATAAAGGTGATTAGCATAATCCAGAGAATCACTACGAACGAGAAAGCACTGAAAATCCCTTTCGTCCCTAGATGAAACAAATCAATAACATAAGGTCAGAAATGCTTGCTGTGGTTTATTGGTCCAAATATTCATGAGTTGGAATTCCGCTCTGATTACCAAAGTCTGGAGAGATGCTTAGTATTACTAAGTCTCATAAAAAAGCTGCGTTTCATGCCCTACAACACGATGTGGTTCCTGAGTACATTAGAAGGCATACTTGCATATCCCGTAAAGCATAAACCAAAAGGAAGGAAATATTGGTACCAGTAACGATTAAGGACTCTTCATAATTCTTTTTGAATACACAAAAGTGGTGTTCTGGGGGTACACATGAGATTACACTGTCGATGACTGGAACCTGAATCATTCAGTGCTGAAGAAAAGTCACGAATGACTCCTTGTAGGAATGGATTACGTACACAAACCGGTCAGCCATATAGCTGCCTAGTCCGTATTCCTTAGTGATCGAAGCCTATCGACCAAGATCACAATATGACTAATAAGCTAAGCGGTCCGTCACTTCGGTTACCAATTCGTGTATTGTCCTATACATGTTAAAACGACAATGCAACTAAACAACCCAGTATGAGGCCATGAACAGCGAATTGGTTTTTGATTTATGATACTATCTCGCTGCTGAAACCAAAGTATGCGGTGTGGAGTTCGAATTCTTTATCCACCATCTGAAATTCGAGTGTCATCACTACAGATGAATACAATACAATATGTATAAACATATCTTTCTTTTTTTATCACAGGAATCCAGTATTTCAATCACTGGTTGAAGATGTCCTGGCTGGAATGCTGCGTAATATTACCGACGAAGTCAATGAGCACGAATATGAAATAACCACAAAACCTAGAGTAATCGCCTTACCGCCACGAAACAGAATCGAAGATAAGTAAGCTACAACAAAATGAAATTCAGGAATATTTAGACATTTTTTATAGTAAGATTTTTAACTGCTTCAAATTGTTTGAATAAACACACACGTGATTAACATTCTGAGTATTCTATTATTTTGAAAAACTTGAAAATAAATCAAATCTACATTGTACTTTAACAATGTAACAATCTAAAAACTATGAGAACCACCTCCGGAAAAATGGAAGTGAGGACCGTTGAGTTTAACTTTGTGGAATTTTCAAACAATTTGGGTGACTCAACAACGTAAAACTCAATAATTAGTGCATGCAAACAAATTTGGTACATGTTTATCTACTAAACAAATGGAGCCAGATGATTTTGTGAGAGGACTTCCGATACTACTCACTTGTTCAGGTCGAAGGCGATGGAGTCGGGTTTGAACATGAGATCGATTACTCGGTAGTCGATTGCTTAACCCGATTAGTCACAATTCCACACCAACCTACGTGTTGGTGTCTGTCTACGCAACCTATAACCAGTCACGGATCGGCCACACTAACTAAAAGACTGAGAAGTCATGAGCTGCCTGGTTGGACATTCAGTTGCAAGCCTAGGTTGCAGGCATAAGCCGTTTAACGGCGATAACTCTGCCAGAACTACCAGGACACAAGTGCACCTTGACAGGCATACACTAGGAAGTAAACAAAATCCATGTGGGTTTTCCCGAAAACAGAAGATCATATCTGTTCTGAAGGACAACGTCACCACTAAATTTTTCACTCAAGCATGAAAATACACGAAATGTAATTAAGCTGATAACAACTGAAAGGGAAAAGGGGGAACTGAGGAAATATTTACGATGCAAAAGCTAGGGAAAATGACAAAATCGCATTATTGACAAGCAGAAGACCGGAGTTTCCTATCATTGTGTACAATTTATGGAATATCTTCACATTTGCATGTATGCATGGTGGAAGAGTGAAGTTTACTGAGCCATGGGAATGTTCAGTAGTGAATGCTGGCCATCAGGAATATAAGTAATGTTTCGGTTCTTTGAAAGCTGATATGCAATATCTTCAGCAGCTTCAATACGTCTGAGTTCGATAAGACCTTCACCCGATGATCCAAATGATTTGGCAAGCAGTGTTGCAGCCTCTGAATCCCCCTCCGCCGATATAATAGCAGCTAGTTTATGTTGTTCAGCCTTGAACAGAAAAAATGGACAAGAGAATACATAAAAAACAATTCAGATTAGAATACTGCTTAATCAGATGTCTTAAATGGTCTAATGAAGAAGGATAAAGAACGCTTGAATTAGTACAACCCAAGGAGTAGTAAACTGAAGCGCGTGGTGCCACATTTCCTTTACAATCACGAATCATATATTGAACAACAGTGAGGTACTAGGTCGTATGCAATGAAAACTAAGTAATCGCCCTTCGCTGGATTCTGTGACATGTGGTCGAAAACTGGCACTTCCAAACGACCATATTTCTTTGTTTCTTACTACAGTTACTATGCCCGAAATTAAAGTCACACTAGAATTTAAAGACGTCATGAAATGTAAAAGCAACATACACTTTCTACAGTCACTTTCAGTTCAATCTTTCCAGATATAATGGAGGTAGGTTTAATTTCTTCTACTAAACAGTTGTCACTCATCTAAAACCTATTCAAGTGAATTCCAGTACACGGACCAAATCCTAACAGTCGATCCCGAAGTCTCTATCGAACGCTTTGGGTGAATGTAAGGCATTTTCCGTTCAACACATGCGAAATTATTCTGTGGAGTGGCAAGATATAACAACATTTGCTGATTTTAAAACAAGTAGTATAGTACTATCAGTACTTCATGATTGCGATAAGAGACTACAAGGTTACCGAGTGTTATCTGTATAAAATGAAAACGAACAAACAATTTTTGAGATTAGTACACAGTACAATGTAGAGTAAATTGTAAGGAACTGAAGATAAGTGCTTCCGCAAAGAGGCTTTTTCGGCGAAAAGATATTCTTCTTTCAATCACTTGATTTCATTTTCGATACCTTTGTGGGATAGAATTAAACTCGAATAAAAGTAAGGGTAATCAGGTAAAGATACGGTTCCAACATATGAACTTACTACACTGGTTTCGCTGGACGGTTGCGGACGATTATACACTATTTGGTTCTTAGCTTACCACACTGATGTAGTGCACCCTTCTTTAGTTTTAAACTTCTTAATACCTACATTTGTTCTTCCTAGCTCCATTTAAACTTTCATTTTTGTTCATTTCAATGTTTGTGATTTGCTAACTTTATTTTCTGTGTTTTTGAGGACCGAACCAATTCTATGAGAAATTCTGAGTTGCCTTTCCGCCTGTACGCTAACAGCTATTCAAACCAAACAGTTTTTTAGCTACTAAACATGGTGTCTTTTAGCGACTGTGGACCATGAGTGAAAAAATGCTTTTTACGCTTCAGCCTTTACTGACCACGTAAACGATATATAATAATAATAGTAATAATAATAATAATAATAATAATAATAATAATAATAATATAGTAATAATGACAGTGGTAATAATGATATATAATGACGTAATTCGACTCAATATAGTGCAGATGTTTACACACTAGAATATGAGCCACTCAAGGTGCTACCCGGTTGCCCGTCAAAGTAGGGGATCCATCGCTTGGAAATCGAATACTAAAGCCAATGGACCACATCTTCACAAAACACGAAAGAAAAAAATTACACAACTACGGGAATGTACACACTAGTAGGAATATATAGTTGTAATTAGGATCCAAAAGAGCAGAGTCATACCTTTTCCACCAAATATCGTGCACGCTCCGCTTCCTGTTGAGCCACCTGTTTAGCTTCCACCGCCTCAGAAAATTCGCGGCCGAAAGAGATTTGAGTCTAAAGAATATCATGACCCAAGATAATAAATAATATGTAGCATCATTTAAGTTAAAACAAATACACAACACGTTTAGATTAGGGTTTGAAGAACTATAAACAGTTAGTGAGCTAGTTAACAATTTGACCACATAATCTAGTGAATAAATTTGAATTTTATTCCACCCACTGCTTCTATCTAAGACCCTTGGATCTATTATGTGCTGTAATGTGTAGACCTGAAACTGAAAAAGCCAGTTGAACAAATCACTTTATACATCAGATGTTTCGGTGTAAAGTTACTAGCTAATATGATGTTCACCGTGTTTACAAAAAACTCAAATACACGAATTAGTTGTACGTTATTCGGTTTAACGATTACACCAGTGTGGATAGCGAAAAAAAGCTGAGTCAAACATTATGTGGTTTACAGTTTGCGAAAATTCTCATTTACTTATACATTTCAAAAATTGATAATACGAGCGAAGGAATAGTTCTATCCAATCAGCTCCTCATCAACGGTTAACTGGAAAGAAACATTCATTCACTCGTTATTTGTTTACGGTTCGGTATAAAATCCTGTAGTAGTTGTTTGAATTGTATTGATTTTCATTCACAAGATATGCATAAATGTCGACAGAAAATATATTAGATATCGAATCAGGACGTGAAATTGTTTTATAAAAGAGATATGACCAACAACAATAGGCAGAGAAGTTAATATCCTGAGCAATAAAAACTCCAACTCATCAACTGGAAACAACAATAGTTAGTCTCATACTTCACTTAGGTCTCAGTTTTCCCTCAATCTTATGTGAATTTCAATTAGTCACCATTAGATTAGAAATTTGTACGGTACAGAATACACCCAGTGAATAGATTTTTATAGCGATATCACACGCACATAAGAATTACATTCGCAGTGATAGAAAAGATATTTCACAGATTATTCTGTTAAGGAACTCAAGAGAACACAGATAACTAAGTACTAAGAAATTAGTGTACAAGGCCTTTCAAATACAAGATAATACGTAATGAAATAGAATAGTGTGATAGATCTATGTAGATTGGATACTATTTTAAAAAATGCCAATTAGAATAGGAAGGTAGGAAAGGTTACATCCACTGAAAAACCTAATTAAACAAATTTATTTTGAATACAGTTCATACTTGAAACAGTGTTCCAAAATATGCTTAAAGATAAGTTTAGAAAACAAATGCTAAGTGCATCCAACACACCTTACAGCATTAAAGCTAAACTGGTAAAAATAGGTTGATGTGAACAAAGGTAGTAAGTTCACACAGGAGATAAACGGAAGGAATTAGTCCTACTTTGATAGTATACAATCTTTCCCAGTAAATATGACAGGTGATTTGTGTGTGGCAATATTCAGAGACATAACATAAGAATCGTATAAATTATGTCAACTCGAGTGAGCTATTTTTTAGTATTTAAGATTTAGCGACACTAACCGATATGTCTGAACGTTAGATGGCGGTTTCAACATGTAGCACCTATTGATTGGAAATCAAATGTCTGAGCGGTCAAATCATAAAGCCATTGGAAATAACTAGGTCTGCGTCAGAAACAAATGAAACTTTCAAAGATAGTAATTATGAAGTATGCATTCCACAAGTTCAAGGTTAAAAACACGAACTCTAACATCCATCTTCTATTCATTGTGATAAGGATTGTATGGAACCTACAAACACGATATGCTTTACATGTAAATCTTGCTTATATTAAATGAACAAAAGTGAGTGTGTTAATTTAGAATAAGACCTAAAATAAAGAAAATCAAGGGAATGAGTTATTTATTGAACTATATTCAATGTTACTTACCAGAGCAATATCATCCAACAATATGCCGAAAGATGAAGCTCGTTCCGTAAGGTCTTCATTTACCCTCTGGCTGACCAATTCCCGTTGAGTTATTAATTCACTTGCATCAAACTCTGCAACAACAGCTTTCAGAACCTCAGTGGTAATGGATGGAAGTACACGTTCCTCATAATCGAAGCCAAGGTTTTGGTAAATTTTGGGTAAAAGAGATGGTTCAGGACGGAATAATATGCGCAATGTTATGTTAACCGTTTGTAAATCTACATAGCCAGCAATAAGAATAAAAATAAAACCTCAAGTTTGCGCAGGAGACAGTGAATGAAGTTGAAAGTAATCAATCAAAACGCTGAGAACAGAAAACCAGTGACACGAGGTAATTAGAACCATCATATTTTATTGATAGGAAACAAAAGACGTGAAAACCTTTTGGTGCTTTCCAAGAGAATATCGAGGTTCAGGACACTATTTCACCTATGAAACCACATCAAGTATTAAGAACTGACTATTTTTCCGTATAACTTCGGACATTATGGTCAAGAGTTACTGGTTAGGATAACTAATGTACCAGCTAGTATGTGAGAATTCAATGGAGTTCTGTTTAACTGATCTACATCGTAGGTCATTGCAGTCTATAAGACAATTCTTCCTTTGACAGCCATACGGGAATCAGGTTGGCCAAAATAGTACTTAAAATCCTAGGGTGCCATAGTTACTAGATGCTTGAAAAAAGCTTGGAAACAACAGACTCGAAGAAACATGGTACGTCTGAGACACGAAAAAAGACATTGATCAAATCCTCACTATTCGACAGGTGTTGGAGCAAAGACATAGATATGGGTCCCCGACACTTACCGTATTATTTGACCTGGAGGTGGCACTCAATCTCATCGACTAAAAGCTATCATGACAGTGTTTGACTGTGAAGGGAGTTTCGAGAAATTATACTGTGCTAATCAAAGCTCTTTACTTGAAGTAACACCGCACAAAGGTTTGCGGAGAACTGCTGTCCGGGTTAGTGGTGTCTGAAAAGGATCTCCACTATCACTACTCTTAATCAACTTTTTTCAAGGTGAACTGGTGAACACGACTCTACGAACCTCTAACTTAGCCAGAGTTGCTTTGCAACCCAGTGGGCATCTCGCTGACGTAGAGGATGCAGAAGGCAGCGTCGCACATGTCAGAGGTAGGATGATGCTTCGTGACCGGTCTTAGTTTCTAATTAAAGAATAGAGAGTAAAATGATCTGATTCGTGGACCTAACTTATCTATGGGATTCTATGAGCCAGAACGGATGGGTCTGTAATGAAATAACAGCTCTTACTCAGAAGGTATGCATGGTATTCGCCGAACTATGCTACTTACAGCATTGATGTAACATAGAACTAAATATCAAACGGTTGATGTATTGTCACAGAACACCCTCTTATTGTATGTGTGAGAAACGTGGCGGCTGAAAGTAGATATGAAGTGGTTACAGGTTTTTGATCTTCGATGTTTCAATAACATTGCTTGTGTGTGGTAGAGCCATAAAGTAATGTTGACGTTAGACCTAAAGTACTTGGCTAGGAATGTAATTCATTCAATTAGGTTGTGGACTTTCAAGGAGTGGGACAGGATGGGCACGCACTGCGCACGCCAAGCTACTGCCTACCTGAGCGCACGCTGATATTAGAAGCAGGTGAAGGTTGGAATAAAGCCTAAGGCGACCAGATAAAGACATGATACCAGATAAGGATTATTGGTCCTCAAGATGTTGGAAGTTGGACATTGGAGACTCACTGGTCACACAAAATCGTGCACAGAGGTGCATATATATTTATTCTTTATCATCCTCTGACATAGCATTTGAGACACTTGGATTCGAATCCCATCTGTCGCCAGTTGATATAAAGTTAGTATCTGATATACGCGTGGACAATCGAACAGTAAACTTAAGGCTTCACTCTTAATGGTTTATCAACTGCTAAAAAACAGAAAGTATAATGTCAAATAGAAACGCATACGAAATATGACGGTTTATAGGTGCTGTCAGTGACCTCAATATCTTCCCTTTTCTAGAGAGACACTTCCTGCTGACTTGGTTCTATTAGTCGACGTGAAGCTCATACATACGAACACGTGATTTTTTGCGAATACTCGGGATGAAAAAACGGGTTGGTGTTTCCTGGGAATTTCGGGCTTTTTTGAGGAATCCATAAGATAATGACTCACTCCATATATCTCCTGAACTTAGAAAACTTTTACCAATATTTGCTTATTTTACTTCTCACAAACAACTCAAACTAATTCAATTCTGTGAGGCTACATGGTGATTATTTTGTCGCCCATTTTGAATCAGTTGGATGAAGAAGGCATTTTTCAGCTGCATTCGGAGTACCCGTTTCTACTACTCTCCAAACATTATGTACACTTAAAGCTTCTATACAAAATATCAGTGAAAGTCAGGCAAGCTGTTTCACTAGTGCCCAAGATATCTTGACTGGATTCAGCCACTACTTTGTGGACGTACTTAGCTAGTTGGTTCTCTACGGGAAGTGAGGCATCTATGCACACTGGTTTTGAAGTAATATATTAAGTTCAGTCGACACAAAAATAACAAACACTCCCAATCACATCGTGTTCCCGAGGCCGTTTATCAGAACCTCGGCCAAACACGAACACGTCCTTTATACACATCCGGTTGACATACCTCTAGCGACGATATCAATCTCTCTGCAATTAAAAATATTGTTTGGAAGTTAATCAATGACTTAAATGGAGACACTAGGAAGTCTTTATGCACTACTGGAACTATCCGCTCCAAGGAACAACTCAGTATGAGCTCTGCTACATACAACGTACAGAAGGACATTCAATCACATTTCCTAGCGAAAGTCGATATCACAGGATGAATTAATTGTATGAATTAAATCGCGATCAGAAGTCATAAAATGTGACTATTTCCCAGTGTCCAAGAAAATACCTTATTTCATAATCTGATGCTAGGTAAGAGGTTAGTCGATTAATTCCTAAAGACGGGAAACCAGCGTCGCCATCTGCAGTTCCTTGTTTCCCAAACTAAAATGTTGGTTCATTAGGAAACCTATCAATATGGAAACTTAACAAAGACAACTGCTGTGCGGCTACCTAGAGGACTTTTGTCCGTCTTCATAAAATATAACGAAAGCTGTCACCTTGAAGTGGTGATTGGGCTTATATATCACAATGACAGAACGATCTACACTGGTTGGAAACCTTGTTCACTCAAAGTCCTATCGTATAAGAAAGGTCTATCAGCAGATTTTCCCGAACTAATGGGTGCACGTGAACGCATCCCTGGCTGCAGGTTCTGAGTACAATGAAGAGCGTGCACAACTTAAAAGTAGATTGAGAAAAGGTCTACGCAACGACCACGAACAGTGGTGGGCAATGAAGGCTAAAGAGATGGGAAAGGCAGCAGCGATTGGTAACAGGAGACAGTTATTTAGACTTATTAAGGAAACTAGGGAGGGGAAAGGCCAACAACAGTTAGTGAGGCTTTAGCGGAGAAGGACGGATCTGCGATTCGCTTGTAAGGGAGACGACTGGAACGATGGGCAGAACACTTCGAGGAACAGTTTAACTGGCCTCCAGTCACCCTTACGTTGCTCACTATCCAGTCGAATCCTGAATGGAACATTGAGATATGCCCCTAAACACTAGCAGAAGTCAAGAAAGCAGTAGATAACCTGAAACGGGGAAGAGCGGAAGGGCCAGACGAACTAACTCCTGAGGTATACAAGAATGGTGGTAAGGTGCTCTTAGTCAGGTTAACGGAAGTATTGACCAGTATATGGGAATCGAACACGATCCCCTCTGACTGGTCTAAATCACTGATCATCCCAGTCTTCAAGAAAGGCGAGAAGTCCTCTTGTGATAACCACAGAGGAATCAGCCTGAAGAACATACCATCTATAATTCTAGGTTCTATAATTCTCCGACGCCTGAGTGGAGCTCGGGAACAGCAAGCCCGAGAAAACCAGGCAGGATTTAGACCCGGCCGCGGGTGTATCGACCAAATATTCACACTGCGCCAGGTCCTGGAACATAGACACGCTTACAGACGCCCGACAATAGCTGTATTTCTCGACCTGAAGGTGGCATTTGACTCCGTCGATCGAGAAGTCTTATGGCAATGTCTCTCACTGAAAGACGTGCCGAATAAGTACACCACTTTATTGAAGGCTCTCTACTCGAACACTTAGGGGCGTCTTAGAGCCTTTAGTGAGACGTCCAGGGAGCTATGCTCATCGAGTGGTGTCCGTCAAGGGTACCCACTGTCTCCATTCTTATTCACTTTTATCATACATATTCTCATGGAGGCCTCCCTCTCGTCACCTGACTACACAGAGGTTGACCTAGTCACAGGAGAATTTTCGTTAGACCTAGAATATGCAGATGACATAGTCTTGTTTGATAAAGACGCTGACAAGATGCAGTCTTCTGAACACTTTGGGCTGGAATTTGAAAATGTTTGGGATGCGTTTCTCACCATCCAAATGCAAATGTGTGCTCCAGGATTGGTCTTCAACGGTGCCCCACCGTGGCTAACAATACAGAGTGTGGTGGTTGAGTGTGTCGACCACTTCACTTACTTGGGAAGTAGGATCAGCCCTGCACTGGTGGCTCAGTGGCCGATGAAATCTCGGCAAAGATACAAAAGGCTCGACTGCCTTTCGCCACCTATAATGCCGCCGTGATATCCAGTTGTCTATTAAGGGTCGCGTATACTGCACTGCAGTCCGCTCTGTTCTACTGTATGGCTGTGAAACATGGCCATTGAAAGTGGAAGATATAAGAAGGCTTCATGTGTTTGACCACCGTTGCCTTCGTAGTATAGGACGTATTCCGTGGTGTCACCACCTAACGCAGACGTCAGAAGTAGAGTTTTAGGGAGAAAAGGGAAATCAGTTGACGAGGTTATGAAGCTTCATTGACTGAGATGGTTGGGACGTGTGTTACGTATGTCTAGTCGCCGATTGCCTCGTCACACAATGTTGGCCGAAGTAGGTTGAGGCTGGAAAAAGGCCCGAGGTGGTCAGACTAAAACATGGCACCAATGTATGAAGTCTTTGGCTGTTGGTTTGAGCCATGTAGGGCGATGCAGACTAGGTGGTTGGGGTCCGCAGGACAAGAGGAACCAGTGGTTGGAGACTCTAGATGATATGGCTCAGAACCGACGTCAGTGGCACAGATGTATACACACATTATCCTCGTCTTAACGACGTTATACCGAATGTCACCACTTTCTCATTCTTCTTTTCTCTCTTTTAGTACTTTATATTTCTTTTGGCTGAATTTCCTTATCTTCATCTTGCACCTCACTGCCTTTTTACTTGGTGTACTGATATGAGGTGTGGCAACTCGGACCGTCACGCAGTAATCCCTGATCCCATGTTGATATTGATGATGATGACAGAACCCAAGCAGATGTCCCATGAGCTCTGCGGTCGCGCAAATCTTTTACGGATTCAGGTATCTTGTAGAAACAACCTGCACGGTGTGGGCAGCTAGGAAGTGTCAACCGCCAGCACGCTTGCATTTGTACACAAGACCTAATCATACAACCCATCATCTTTACCTCTGTCTCCTTTAAATTAAACTCTTGACATTAATTCTTACGACTTCCCCAACCTCTCACTCGGAGACCATTACCGATAATCAAAGCCATCGAAATCTCATTCCTACTCTTATGAAGTGGCTGCTATTTCAGTTTTCAACGTTTGAACGCTACGCCAAGTCGGACAGGAGAGATCGCCCACCGGAACTCTGGAATCGCGAGCGATGGATGCACGCTGTATTCCTAAAACAGGTAAACAGGACCCGAGTGAGGTTATTCACTTGACCTCAACTAGCCATTGCGGTGTTCGAAGGTTCAGTGGCTAGCTCTCACAGACTCTGGGGTGTAGGAATAACAAGTTGTAGAGCAGAAAACGAACACGTCGACCGGATAACAGTCAATAGCCCCGATGGTCTAGTGGATAAAACTTTGTAAAAGACACAAAACGATTACTGGGCTTTGATCGCAGATGTCTTCGCAGCATCGCTCGCGTTTGGTAGGATCACCGTGTGAGTAATGTTGAGGTCAGGCGAAGGGTACTAGGCAAGACAGGCAAGTCGACTGGTTGTGAACCTTAGTCAACTGAGATGGTTTGGACATGTACTGCGCATGCCTAGCCATCACTTACCTCGACGTGTCATACTAGGGGAAGTTGGATTGGGTTGGAAAAGGGTTTAGGAACTCAAGACCAAGACGCTGCACCTGCCGATGAAGCCCCTAACTGGTCTGAGTCATGCAGAGAGGTGTAGATTGTCTTGTTGCAGTCCCCGAGACAAAAGGAACCAATCGTTGAGAACTTTTGGTTAGACGGCTGAAAGTCGGTCACAGTGGTGGTGCATTTACTCCTTGACGTCTTCCAGAGCTGGAATATTCGCACTGACCTTTTTCGTCAAATCGCTTGTTCTCTCACACAACTTTGTTTACTTCGATATCACTTCTTTTCTATCCACTTGTCCTTTTATACTCCTGTGAAGTATGGCAACATGAGTCAATACACTAATGTGCATGGTTCTACGTTGATTTTGGTGAATCAGTCAGTCAACAGCCGTCTGTATGCTGTTCGACTGAATGGATCTGTATGAAATTGAAAGAATTGTAAGATTGGATAATGCCTGTTCGTAATCTCAGCCTACGTATCCCTGACTTCACTTCGGATGATGCAAAAGAGTGAATGTTACCAGAAGCTGCCCATTCCCCTACAGAAAGTAACAGATTTAGGTAGTAATGATGTCAGATAACATTGACACTGGAAGGAAAGCAAAGCCAATAGGAAACGCATCTCTGAGGTATCTACGGAATGCCAAGTGAAAAAACGTACAACGGTAATGATCTGTTGAAATTTGTCCCGACAACCACTCGTTTCTGGCCAGCACTGTCTCCAAATATAAGGACAGGTTCGGTGAAGGATTGTAGCTATCTGTGGAGTTCTTGTTTGGACTTCGATCATGCGTTGGTATGCACTCGTGTATGTATGTGCCTTACTGGTTGCAGGAAACAGGCGATAGTAAAGCCTGTCTACACTCGATTGGAAGATGAGGATGACAAGTGCGTACTTTAGGAGGCAACTAGGTATTTAGCAGAACGTGACAGCAATCCACATCCTGAGGGAACCTGGAGCGATGTTCAGTCTATAGACAGCGGTAAAGATAGTTGAAAATCGACATCAAAAGGTTAGCAAACGTCACTAGAAGTTCGAACGGATTGCTGTGAGACTTATTCTAAATGGTTCTGATCATAAGGAGGACCTAAAGCAACTTCAGCGTAAATTAATCAATAGTCTGCGCAATGATCGCTAGTGGTGTTGGGTGACGAAAGCGAGAGATAGGGAAAACATCAAAGTTAGGTGGAACACTGAAGCACAGTTCAGCTGGCTCACAGTAACGCTCCACCCTGAACCTGAATGGGATTTATATCTCTGTCCTCCAACTTTTGTTGAGAAGACTGCTTCGGATCTGAAACGATGTGGAGCAGCAGGGACTGACGCTTTGTAACTCGGAGCTTTTCAGGATGGAGGTAGGCAATTACTGATCAGAGTGATGGAGGTATGAGGCAGCTTATGGGAATCGGGGTTAGTTGCGTCAGCCTTATTCAATACAGCTTTTTCAGCTTCGTTTATTTAGAGTAACCATCAGGGAGCGAGGGTACTCCTATTCAAGTACCGAACGCAGAGCAAATGCCGGTATAATAAGCCGAGAGAAGTCATAAACCTAGAGGAGTAGCTGGGAAAATGCAAGCAAAAATTGAAAATGAAGACTCAATAAACAACTTTGAACCATGAGACAGTAGTAGCCTATGATCACCAATCATATCACAAAAGGCGGGATTTACCTCCTAAATGAAAAGATCCATTTATAAATAAAACTGAAAATAAGAAAATATTTCTGCACGATAGTTTTTACAAGCATGTTGCACAAAACTTCCCCATTTCCAACTAGGATGTTGATTCTAAGTCGAATAACCTGTGACATATATATATATATATATATATATATATATATATATATATATATATATATATATATATATATATATAATCTTCCATGTGATCTTTTCATCTGCAGGATTCTGCTGCCACGACGACCCCTATAACCAATGAATTTTTTATGCACTGCAGTAACTAGGTGTACGAATTAAGAATAGTGATTACAGTTGTATGAACGTAAGCCAACAAAAATAACTTGCAGTATGAAAACATTATTCATTATTGCGAATGTGATTAGTGAACACCAGAATGTTTCATTTGGTAGTTCACGGTCACCTGATGTCATTGTTTTGGAGTCAGTCCTCTATCTTTGTCAATGCTATCGACATGGGTAGCTGATGAGTACACAAGCGCGGGGAACATTTCCATACGACTGAGTGGAATAGCACATCTATCATTTTGTAGATAAGCAGCATTACATTTACCTATGACAGGTGTAGCTTTCTCGTTTGGAGCTGTGTACTGATGATTGGTGCAGCGAATGCTAGATATAAAACAATCCATATAGACAAAACCGAATATAACAGCATTATACAATAATGAATTTAGAGCTGAGATATCAGATTGCCAATAACGTAGTGTACGGTGCAGTAGTTGATCATGATCTACTGCATCACTGCAAAATGTATGTTATAGGCAAATAGTATGGGCCTTAGTTATTCGACCAGTACCTGTTGTAGAACCGTCACGTCATTAACGTTGAAGTGAGGTGCACAATTTAAGGCTGAGGGCGTCAAATGATGAGGTTGCGTAACTTCAACTCCAGCGGCTTGGATGTGTTATACATGTCGCTACCACTTACCCCGTTGTACGATACCTTAATTGGACTTAAACCGAGTAAAATATGACCATACTCAAATGTGGAAACGGTTCATGAAGTTCGACTGCTGCCTTGAGCCCTGTAGGGAAATGTAGGATTCTGTGGTAATTGGAACCGTTATACATAATGCCAGGTACTATGCTTACGCTGACTGACTGGACCACTATTCACCTACAGTGTGCTTTCTTTATTAATCCCATTGCAATAATACATATGTGTAACAATGAAACAAAAAACACTTCACAGGATTTCGCACTCACCTTTCGAACCGGTCACCACAGGGACATTTCTTGGTCTTGATCGGATATCAAAAACAATCGGCTTCTGAACCCATGGTATGATAAAATGAGTACCCTCTCCCCTCACATCACTTCTAACACCCTTGAAACGATCGAAAATGACTGCACGATGACCACCATCAACTGATAAAGTTAGACTATTCGGAAAACTTTTTACCATTGTAGAGAACAAGAGGCATGATACTGCCTGCCGCTATCAAACCAACACCAGCTCTTGACAAATACTTGAACAAAGGAAATGCCATTACTCACAACTAAGATGGGAACACGGGTACTTTCGACTAGCCGCGGATGGTTGGTCCGGCGTTCAATATCTATTTAAAGAGATTGTGTAGACCAGTTGATTTCTTCGTGCTCGCTACTTAGTCTTGTGTAACGGTCCCAGGCCTTCGGCGGATTCCAATTTGGTGGATACAGCTACTCGCCTGCTTTAGCTCTGGTATACCCAACAGAAGGTTGAGTGCTGGTTATTTGCCTGGGACTGTGGTGCAGTTAGATTCTCTCATGTCCAGTTGCCAGATAGTTATTCAGACTGGTCACTGGAGACAGTTAAAGATAGTGAAAATATAACCTGTGAAGACTAGTTTCTGCCAGTAAAAGGCGAAGAAAAGGTGAACTGATGGAGTGATCTGCTTACACGAAGTGAGACCAGAAGGGTGCAAAGATATGGAGAATATAGGTAGCATAAGATGCTTCTAAAATCCAGCACCAGTAGTGTCAGTGCAGCCTCAAAAACATCCCCAAAATCAATAGCCTAGGGTTCGACGACATCCATCATGGATGCTGACTTTGATAGTTTAACTAGACTCTCCAAGCTGAAGGCACCCGGTCAAGCATCCTCGCCATTTGGCACGCTGTCGTGTTACGTTGCACTACTCGTATTCGAATCTCTAGCCAGTTAGTTGTAACGCACCGGTATTTTGGCACAACCATCCAAATATACTATTCTATCCGCCTACGCTATTGTGTTCTTCCTTGGTCTCGTATTCGTGGGTATATGACAAGTCCGAATAATTAGTGATTGGTCTTTGCGTCTGTCAAATTCGCACCAACAGGAATGCGAAACCCCTGGAGATAAGTAAAGTTTTGGAGCCACCGCTTCCAAGTTTTGAGGCTCGGCTCTGTTTGTTCGGCTGTACTCTGACGGTCGCAGGAGTCTGCGTTTTTCTTGCTGATAGCTACGGAGATAATGATTGTCTATTAGAAGGTAGGTTTCTTGCAAATTACAGAATGGTTTGTTTTTGGGGTTCGGAGGGTCTGCTGACAATATCAATCAAGCAAGCAGCTGCGAGCAAGTATCAAGCGTCACTTTGAAAATCGCCGGAAATAGGATGATTGGAGGATGAGGAAAAGAGGAGTGAAAAGCATCCATGTAAAGATTAGTGTTGCTGGTAATAATATGGAAAAAGGGTGGGTCTTATTGCAGATACTTGTGTTGGGAAATACAGGTATTGTAGAGCATATCACCAGTCGCTACTGACAAATGTTTCTGGTAGGCCGTTTGCGCTCACGTAATCATCCATTGGTCGTTTGAAGGAGCCGACTGACGTGGCTGTGGCTACCCCCTTCTGTAGAGAGCTCCATGGGGCATATACTTTGTGCGAGAAGTTTGATCTCACTCAAGTCTTTGCACTGTGGTGGGGTATGCTAGTGGGTTCCCATAGGACTATCTGTTTGGGCCAATAACGCTGGCCTGTTTGGGCGGTCTACTTGCTGAATGATCTGGCAGGCTGCTATCAGGTCACCTCGTTTCCTTTGATAGCTTATTGTAGGCAAGCCGAGTTTTCTGAGGCTTTGCGCATATGTTTTTCCACTGTTACTCTGACAATCAAACTTGTCACCCTTCTCCGCACCTTCTCGAGTATTTGCATCCCTTCTTTATCAGTGCAGAGTGGCCCTGCGGTGTCGAACACCACTAGGTGTGACGTGACATAGGTTCTAGATACCATGAGGCTGTTAACGGAACTGAAGAAGCTTTCACTTAACCGACCTCTGCCTCTTAAATCCGCGGATAACTACTTCTTGTGGTTGTCGTGTACAAGTAAGCAGAGAGGAAAACGTGGCGGTTTCAGTGTTTCAACCATTTTACGTCTTTCTTATTGGGGTGTCGCAGGATAGCCTTGAGCTGTTGGTGACTATCGGAAGCCTTCGCTGAACCTGCCTTCATGTTACAATCTTTTGACCACAAGATTTACAGGTTTGGCAAGCGTAAAGTTACACTTTTCACCACGTTTTGCTAACTAATCATCATTGTTCTCACGTCTAGTTTGTATGTAAGGTCTTCCTTTCGGTTTGGGTACCCCTTTGCGGGCTTCAAAGTTATACCAGAAGAAGGAAGGACACAATAGGGTAGTCAGATGAACTACTGCACTTGCGAGGCCGCGTCAGTACACTGATGCCTTCCGACTAGCTGGCTAGAGGATTGATTACGAGCAGCGCAACTTGACAAGACAGCTTGTCAAATGGCGTTGATGCTCGACCGTGTGCCCTCAGCTTAATGAGTCCGATAAAACTGTGGAGGTTAGCATCGATGTTGGATCTCGTCGAACCTTAAGCTATTGATTCTGGGGAAGTATGTGATGCCACACAAGTAATACGGAGTAAATGCTGTTCCAGCTATGTAACTTGCCACGTTCGGGGCCTACCCGACATCCTTTCCTCTGAGACTTGGCGTTAGACGCTAGCTTCACAAGTCATAAGATAGTTGATCGCTGCTGCTTCAGATACTCTCATAACTATCCACACTCCATAGGATACAGATCAAACCCTTATAACAGTTCTTAGTCTGCCTTACATTGTGTTACGTCATCAAACAGATTTAACTGACTACTTTTGAGTGCTTCCTAGACTCATTTTATCCTCCTGAAAATTCCACCAACGTTATCTTATCACATGCAGAGGACAGCCACAAATCCTTCGAACTTGTAGGCTACCCGATGGTGCGAAATCAAAAGGGAAACGCAGCGGCTTAGACAGGTACGAATAATACATTTTGCGAACCACGCCAAAGAGCTGAGATGCTTTGAGTGACTGACCGATTACAAGATCGTAGAGCCGCAAACCGAGGTGATATGACAGCGCGCTAAATGTCACGGATGCTTGATTGCATGCCGTCAGCCTAAGTAGTTCATCAAAACTCCAAAGATTAGGATCAGTGTTGAATCTCACTGAGCCCTGAGCTACCGATTTTGGGGGATTTTTCCCTGTAACATCTCTTTGACTTAAGGGGGGAAAAAGCATGGTTTTAAGCTGCAGGTGAAACCATGTGAGGCTATCGTGAGCCTGATGAAATTATATGCGACCTTACTATCCGAAAAATTTGTTCAGGCGATAGCTGTGATAGAGTGGCAGGAAATCCATTCTTGAAATCATCACTATTGGATTTAGGGCTTTCAGAGACCAACCCAATTTTTCAGCCATAATCTGCTTCCTGATTCAGAGTTACAAACACCAAAGCACTGACTGCTTTAACTGGATCTCAAATTGAGTGTTAGATGGATAAAAGGTTTTCAGTGTATAAAAAGAACATGTACTTACTCTCTTCATTTCACTCAATGCTTCTTTCAGATCAGATGGTTCCTTCGAATTCGGACCTCGTAGGTGGGACGCTTGTAGTCAGGTAAAAACTATCCTCTTATTCCGCACTTCTAGTTGATAAGAGACGACGGTCCGAAAATCCTGAGTTGAAATAAGAAGCAGATTTCAAAGCAAAGTGTAGTTTGGTATGATCCGTGGCCGTAATCTGCCTTCCGGATAAGAAAAAGAAAAATAGACGCACTGAGGGTGGCCATAGTAACCTTATAATTTGTGAAAAGAATATGAAATCTAAATGTGCGGATACGTGTAGAATCAGCAGCCACAAAGTTTTTAATCGTACTAGTGAAGCACAATTGAAGTTTTTACGGTGATTTTCTGGGGTTCGAACTCAGGCCGAATTACAAATGCCAGACGTTTGTGAATAGCCGTGCCCTTGAGAACCGGTATGAGCTTGTGCATGTATATGCTAAGCCTTGGAAAAGCAAGAGAAAATATTGACTGTGATTTCGAGGGACAAGTAACCGTAGAGCGTGTAGCGTCGGTTCAAAGGGCTTATAGTATGATAAGAAGTTAATCACCATTATTCTAGTCTGCGTAACGGTTTTTCCGAAACCATAAAATACCTTTTGGAGGAGGTTTGTGGAGTTTAGCGCTGGCCACAGGGTATTTCTTCTCACTCGCGAAGACTTGTTCGTTACCAGCGCAGGTCTAAAGGCCTCTCCTACACATTGGCTTTCCGCAGACGAGGACGTTTTCCTTAATTCCCCGCCATCAGATCCGTCATCTTTTCATGTCATTAGGCTGGTCTGATGATATGCGTTATCCTTCAACCTGCTGCCACATACCTGTGCCATATGATACCACGCTTTTCCTTCGGGGAAATCTCTTCTCCCTGTGCTAACCTTGATCCCACTTGGAAAAGTTATCTCGTCACAGCTCTCCAGAATTTCTGTCATAGAATGGGAGTGAGTGGACAGTTGTTAAACAGGACTTCTAGCGTGAAATCACTGCTAGAATAATATGGGCACCAGGGTACTAGGGAAAATTTGTCTACAAGGAGCAAGAAGTAGATTGTTTATCGTGGTTTGGAATGGAGGAGACGTTAAATCCGGAGGTCAGTTAGGTTTAAAGAAATAGAGGTTACACCAGAGAGGCTTCACGGTCTGGCGTTCCCGCCCCGCATTCGAACCTGCATAGCCCGGTGTTGTAGTTAGCTACATTACGACTGGGCCATTCTGGCCGCGACCGACCTCTTGAGGAAATAATGACGCATCGAGTGTGTTAGCAGTGGTGGTTTGTCAATGATTTACTTTTTGTCCTCGGGTGCAAGGGCGCTAAAAAACTGATGGCTGAGTGGCTAGCAAATTTGTATTGGGTCGCTAATAATGAATGTCTTATTCTTGCGTTAAAAAAAGATCTTAATATGAGAGAAGCCAGTCTACAGGCTTTATCACGTTGATACATCTCATAATATCTACAAGACTTGGGCCCTGAGTGATAATGACGAAATGTCATCAAAAACAATTAAAAACTGCCGAAGGTCCTGTTAGCTATGAAATGAACAAGGAAATATTACTTTACAGCGTACAGAGTGTAAAGTTCAAATAACAACAAATATTGTCTTCACTTAACAGGTTTAACGTGAGGGATACCAGTTTACGAGCACCGTCAAATTCATGGCTTTTGAAAGTATCTAGTAATAAGCAAT